GCTACAACCCAGGCTGACTCTCCCAGCTTTGCCTCTCTCTTCCCACGTCAGGGAACACAGAGAATTCTTTCACAACGGGCTCCCAAGCCAGAACAACAGCATCATTTGTATGTCTCTGCAGTGCTGGTATCAAACAAAGACATTGTCCCTGCCATCACTGCCTTCTTTTCCCTGGCTCTCCTGCTAAGAGCAGCAAAATCCCGCAAGTCTTCTCCACAGCTCAGCCTACCATAGCCAAATCAGCTGAAAGCATGAAAAATAAAATAAATATGTGGCTCAAAAGCCAGCACAAGACTCACATTAGGTGTCAAAGAAGGCAAGACTGCATCAGGTTTGTATGTTGGTTTATGGGCGAGGACTGGCAACTGTTTCTATGTCAGCTGAGATTTCAGTAAATATACCCTCGCTCTGCTCCCATTCAATAAGAAGGTGGGGCTTGCACAAACAGGAGCATACCATCACTCTGGAGGACCATTTTTTATGGAAGCCAAAGGTACCACCCTACCTATAAAGAAGTGGGATCTACAGGTTCGGGAAAACCTTAAGATTTGCAGAAGCGTAGAAAATATTGGGGGGGGGGAGTTATGATGGGCTAGGGCCCCCCAAAACAGCACAATGCAAGCTGGAACATGTTCAGTGGCCATAGATTTTTGACTGACTGTTGGGGGCTGTAGGGGCAGGTATGGTATACTAGTTGAGGCAGGAAATAGAGTGAAGCATCCCACTTGTGGACTTATTGATGGCCTCACCTGCTGACTGCTGGAACTTGTTCTTATATTATAGAGTAACAGCCCTCACCTTAGATGATTTTAAAGAAAGATCCAGCAATTTTTTATGAGGCCTTTGTTTGTTTTGGTAATAACAAACAGCACATATAAAAACAGTACTACTTAAATGAGGTATTAAAGAAGGAGAGGAGAACCGCCAGCCTGTGGGGCAAATCTGGTCCACAAGGCTGTTTCCCCTAAACCACAAAACATAAAAAGCCATGTAAAAGGATCAAATTGAGAACATATAGGTAAAGGGATCCCTGACCATTTGGTCCAGTCGTGACCGACTCTGGGGTTGTGGCGCTCATCTTGCTTTATTGGCCGAGGGAGCTGGCGTACAGCTTCCAGGTCATGTGGCCAGCATGACTAAGCAACTTCTGGCGAACCAGAGCAGCGCACAGAAACGCCGTTTACCTTCCCGATGGAGCGGTACCTATTTATCTACTTGCACTTTGACGTGCTTTTGAACTGCTAGGTGGGCAGGAGCTGGGACCGAGCAACAGGAGCTCACCCCGTTGCGGGGATTCGAACCGCAGACCTTCTGATCGGCAAGTCCTAGGCTCTGTGGTTTAACCCACAGCGCCACCCGTGTTATACACACACACACACACACACACACACACACACATATATATATATATATATTCTCTGCCCAGCTGCTGCTGCTGTTCTCAAAGTCATGATGAAGGCTGCTAGGGTTGGAGGCTGAGGCAAGGCAGGTGGAAAGAGCCATTGCCTGATGAACAGTTGAAAGTGTCTCTCCCTTCCCTGCATGATTAGGAAACTAGCCTTAGGGCTGGGCTTAATCACTTTGATTCTGCCTCAACATTTCTTTTTGAAACTGCAGCCTGCCTTGCCTCTAACTTCAACATTTTATGAATGGGTCTGGATGTAGCCCTTTAGCAGGGCCAAGGAAGCTCTTTCCCAAGGGCTTCAGTCTATGAAGAGGCTGTGGTTTTGTTCATCGGAAACAAATGGTTCCTTTTGCTGTTAGACGAGCGGCGGGGATCACCGGAGAGGCAGCCCGCTGGCTCCTTTGTTCTCAATGAGCAAGATGATGGGGCTGAAAGAGGAGGGTGCTCTTTCCGGCCACATGGCGGCAGTGGAGCCTTGCCCCCATCCACTGGGACTGCCAAAGACATCCCCCCATCTTCTACTGTGCAGAATGAGATGCATTGTGCAGTTGGCACCAGCCTGGGCTTTAGCCTGTCAGACTGAAATCAAGAGCAACTATTTTAAAGGGATGACACCAGTGGTGTAGCGATCCACAATTGCAGGGGTGGGGTCATGGGTCAAAGACACATTATTATTCCTCTTGCGGCAGAATGCCTGTCTCCTACAGCCGCCCAATCAGCATGAAACAGGACCTTTTTTAGCCACTGTATGCTCCAAAGAGAAGCATTTAGGGAAACGGAAAACAACAGATGCTTCCGTTTCAAGAGAATGATGTGCAAGTTCTTTTATGCGCAATGGAACTTCAAGGAAAACACAAGTTGCTCTGAAATAAGATATTGGAGCCCTCCAAAACATTTGCCCATGTACGTGCACAGGAAATAGTAGATTTGTCCGAAATGGAACACCTGGATTGTTCTGATGCAACTCTAATGATGACTATTGTGTAATTACGAGGTTATTGTATAATCTTAGGTAAAGGTAAAGGTACCCCTGCCCGTACGGGCCAGTCGTGTCTGACTCTAGGGTTGTGCGCCCATCTCACTTAAGAGGCCGGGGGCCGGCGCTGTCCGGAGACACTTCCGGGTCCCGTGGCCAGCGTGACGAAGCTGCTCTGGCGAGCCAGCATCTGCGCAGCACACGGAAACGCCGTTCACCTTCCCGCTATAAAGCGGTACCTATTTATCTACTTGCACTTAGGGGTGCTTTCGAACTGCTAGGTGGGCAGGAGCTGGGACCGAAAGACAGGAGCTAACCCCGCCGCGGGGATTCGAACCGCTGACCATGCGATCGGCAAGCCCTAGGCGCTGAGGTTTTACCCACAGCGCCACCCGCGTCCCTTTGTATAATCTTAGAAGTTTGTATAATCTTAGATAGGGTCTGGGTTTGCCTACCATGAAGGGACCTCTGCCCTTCTGAATTTTGGGGAAGCCATGATTTTTCAGAGTGGCATCATAGTGCTTTAAATGCTGTTGGGGCCAAATCTTGCGGGTCTCTAGCTTTAAGCCCTTGCGATCCTCTTACTGTTGCCTTTCTAACACTCTCATGTTATATTTATTTCATAATTAATTTCATGAAATGTATATGCCGCTTGATGGTGTGATAGGAATTTTATGGTTTTAGATATATGGCAACGTTCATAACCACACGTACATAGATCAGCACAGGAAGGCCAACCTGGAACCATTTTGATTCCTAAACTGAGCAAATGTTTCTCTGCATGGTAAAGATGGAAAAGCCTCCCCATTGTCTCTTTCCTCACAAATCCTGTCTCAAGGATATGTCTGTTTGAATAAGGTGTGAGCCTGTGACCTGGCCCAGGAAATAAGTATTTTACCACTACAAAGGAATGGCCAGGCTCCCCAGGCAATCCAATCAAGTAACTTGCCAGACAGGAGATAAACTGTGACAGGAGAAAAACAACATTTAAATTTCTGTGATGTAGGTGGGATGTATTTGAGGGGTGGTCTTAGGTTACACCCCTTCTGTGATGAATGCATAATGTTTCTGGGGGTGGTCTTGATCTAGAGGATGGGAATTTCAAAAGTCTTTATAAGCCCTTGCACAGCATTTTTGGGGGTGCTCTTCCTCTCCTGCGTGTGAGGGGAGCACCCTGTTGCAACAGATCAATAAAGATCAAGCTTACTAGCTGCTTTGCTTCTCAATATTCTCTGGTTGGCCTCTGTTATTTTCTCCTACCAATAGGGAACCTATGTAAGGACTCTATATGGGCTCTTGGATTCCCCATAAGGGAAAAGGGCATATTTTTATTTACAACAATGGTAAAATGAAACAAAATGCAAAGGGCTTGAGAGAAAGAGGACGTGCCAGAGAAACAGCCACTGTTTAAATGGCTCAAATCTGCAAGCCTAGGAACAGCCCACCCACCACTGCTGACTAGCTAAGGAATGGGGGAAATTCTATGGACAGGCCAGGTGCCCACGTGTCATTTCGTTAAGAAGACACAGTGAGGAGGGCCCCATCTCAGTGCTCTGTACTTTTGATCAGATTGGATGGCCGCCAGCTCCTATCTGCTGCCAGTCAGGAGTTTTGCTGGACTGAAAGGAACAGTTTTGTGGACTGCAAAGAATCCAACTCAGGCTTGAAAAATGTGGGTGCCAACAAAACAAAGCACTGCAAACAGAGTCAATTGCTTTTGTGATTCTTCACAGAGCATATTTCTCTGCAGAACTCAGTACTGACTTTGTAGGTTTGTATTCATAAAGTTATCACTCTTCATTTTCTAGCCTTCGTGGTTAATGGGATTAGGGGAAGGGCTGTAGTTCAGTGGTAGAGCACCTGCTTTGCATACAGAAGGTTTCAATCCCTGGCATCTCCAGGTAGGGTTGGGAATGTCTCCTGTCTGAAAACCCTGGGGAGCAGCTTCCAGACAAATGGTCAGTAGATGGACCAATGGTCTCACCCAATACAAGGCAACTTCCTATGTTCCATTATGTTTGGAAGTTGTGTCAGTGAAAGTGCTCAAAAGGAAAAGCTTCAGAAGGCTAATCCATTCACACCCAATCGCAATTGTCAACCATGTTCCTATCACTCAGGTTGCAAAGCAGACCAATGAGAGGTGTGAACTACGGACATACCAAAGGAAAATAAAAGAGGATTGTGATAGCGAAACATTGGAAATTTAATACAATACCAACAAAAGAATGGCTCTCAAAACTAAGTGAATATCTAGAACTTGCCAAATTAACAGACCTAATAAGAAACCATTCAAAAGAAAGATTAAGGAGAGAATGGGATGTCTTTATAAATTACATGGAAAAAGAAGGCTTCCAGAGCATCACTTGGCTTAGCGTAGGTTGAATTCCACTGACAATCAGACAGTTTCTGTAAGACTTACCATCTAAATACAGTTATCTGAGGGGCAAATTGATGTACTAAGTACGTTCATGGATACTGGGAAGTCATGATTCGAATTAACGAGTCAAGCCAAAGCTGTGTAAAGAAGGCTTGTACTCCCTATGTAGAAGTTAATTTGAAAATATTTGTTTTTTGAAGTTAGTTATCCATTTTTTGTTTTTATTATTTTTCTGTTTTCTTCCCCCTCCCTTTTTTATTTTCTTTTTCTTTTCATTTTATTAATGTATAATGGATGTATCTACATGTTTGCAATAAAGGATTTTTTTAAAAAAGGTTAAAAAAGAGGGGTGTGAACTGAGGAGATGGAGTGTGGCCTAGGGATAGCTCTGAGGGCCAGATTCGAAGGACTGGGGGGCCACATTTGTCTCCTGGGTCTGAGGTTCTCCATCCCTGCATTGGAGCATCTGGCTGTCCACTATCAGATCAGGATCCTGAACTAGATGAGCATTTGGTCAGATCCAACTACAGGGGCATTCCTTTGTAGGTATAACGTGTGTCAGGTTTTTTTGTTTGGAGGAGAGGTGGTCACTCCAGCACCCAGCCCTGAGATGGATTTGCCCTCGTGCTCAGTGACTTTCAGCGATCCTTGTTTCCCCTCTGCCAGCTTCCTTTTCAGGCTTCCCCACCCACCACTTTCCCAATGGCTACATGCTTCCTGAGCAGTGGAGGTGGAGGACCTGTGGGCAGGAACAGCCTGGCGACTCGCATCTATGGTGCTGAGCCATAGGCAGTGCAAGTTCCACACGTGTTGCGGCTGCTGTTTGCCTCTACCTCCTTTCTCTGTGTGCTCACCTTCTTTACTTGCTTTCTCCCCCCTTCTAACTGAAATAGTTTCTTGAGTATGTGTGAATGGTTTCTGCCTGTGCCTTCCTTCTCCTTATTTGTTCCCACACCTCCTCCCCTTTCCCCTCTTTCTCTCTCCCCACACAGCTGCTCCTGTCCCAATACTGTGTGTGGTGCCTTGCATGTCTGGGTCGATAGGGACTTCTGACAAGAGTTTCACAAGATCATTTTTTGATAGCACGGCCTACTCCATGTATTCCAAGTTCTTATTCAGGGAGACCTTTCCAGAAGAATGTGTAGCCTCCTTTTTCTTCCTTCAGTTGTCCCTTCTAGGGGGCAGTGGACATGTCTTTCACCACTGGATAGCTTCAAGAAAAATGCAGAGAGCAAAACCAACCACTGTATATGGTGTTTACTGACCTGACTAAGGCCTTTGATACTGTAAATCATAATGCCCTGTGGACTGTCCTTCTGAAAGCTGCCCAAATAAATTAGTGAACATCCTTTGGCTCCTCCATGATAATATGACAGCAACAATCGCAGGTAACAATGGCTCTCAAAGTGAACCATTCATGGTGGGATCAAGTGTTAAACAGGGTTGTGTTATTGCCCCAACTCTATTTATTATTTTCATTGCCATGATCCTACACTTTGTTGAAGGGAAACTCCCCACTGGAGTAGAAATCATATATCAAACAGATGGAAAGCTCTTTAATCTGAGTAGGCTGAAAACAAAGATTAAGGTTACCATAATTTCTGTCATAGAGTTTAAGTATGCTGATAACAATGTAGTGTGTGCACACTCAGAGGATGACCTCCAAAACATCCTAAATATATTTGCAGATGCTTATGAAAAGCTTGGCCTATTGCTCAACATCCAGAAAACCCAAGTGCTGCACCAACAAGCACAAAACAACCTCTCTGCAGTGCCACAACTCCAACTCAGTAGTGTAATGTTGGAAAGTGTTGATCACGTCTCCTACCTGGGCAGTTATCTTTCCACAAGGGCTGACATTGAGGCCGAAATCCAGCATCACCTGAGCTCTGAGAGTGCAGTTTTCTCCTGATTGAAGTGCAGAGTGTTTGAAGACCGGAACATTCATAGGGAAACCAAAATGCTTGTTTACAAAGCTATTGTACTACCAGCTTTACTGTATGCTTGTGAAACATGGACCACTTACAAAAGCCATCTCCAACTGCTTGAAAGACTCCAACAATGGTGTCTCCAAAAAATTGTACACATCACTTGGGAAGACAGGCAAACAATGCCAGTGTACTGGAAGGAAGGAAGATCACCAGTGTCGAAGCAATGATTCTTCAACATAAACTTCATTGAACTGGTGATGTTGTTCGGATGCATGATTATTGACTTCCAAAGCAACTACTCTATTCCAAACTTAAAAATGGAAAGCGTAATGCTGGTGGTCAACAAAAGAGGTTTAAAGACTCAAGGCAAATTTTTAAAAAAAGTAGTCTAAACACTGACAAGTGGGAAACACTGGTCGTGAGTACTCCATTTGGAGAACAGCCTTTACCAAAGGTGTCATGGACTTTGAAGTCGCTCAAACGCAGGATGAAAGAAAAAACAAGCTAAGAGAAAGGCACATTTGGCAAACCCTCACCGTGATCAACTCCTGCCCAGAAACCTATGTCCCCAGTGTGGAAGGACGTGTGGATCCAGAATTGGCCTCCACAGTCACTTACGGACTCACCGTTAAGACCATGTTTATGGAAGACAATCTTAGTCGGCTACAAGTTATCGCCAAAGAGGATGAGGAAGAAGAAGAAGAAGATTTCTGGGCATGTTGCAAGACACTATCTCGTTCCCAAGCCCTGTTTCACCCCTGGGGATGAGGTGCTAGGCAGCATGGATGCAGCTTGAAACCTTCTGCATTTCATCAAACACTTGATTGGGCCTTATCTCTTCACCTCTCCCCAAGGTTTTATTCCAGTGACAAATCAGTGGATCTTTCCTCCAATTCTTTCCCCCAAGTTTTCTGTAAGTTCTGGCGACATGAAAGCTCTAGTAATAGGTAATGATGAAAGATAATGAAAATAGTTCACAATGAAAATGTATGCCATACTTATTTACTCAGAATAATAAATAATAATAATAAATTTTATTTATATCTCGCCCTCCCCAGCCGAAGCCAGGCTCAGGGCGGCTAACAACAGTAAAATAATACAACATTCCAAAAGTCTTGGGACAAAAACTCTTTTCTTAAAACCCCAAAGAGCTACTGCCAGCCAGTGTAGGCAGTACTGGGATCCAGGTGGACCAATGTTCTGCCAATGAAAATTTTTTGCATGAGACATCTTGAGCATGCCCTTAGCATTTTCTTGGGACGAAACTTACATTTTTTGTGCCAGGAGTACAAAATGGTCTGAATAAGGGAGTCCACCTGAAAAGGATGATGATATGTTTCATAATTCAACTCCTGATATTTCAATATTTCTACTGTCTGGGACAACATATTCCAGGGCCAACCAAGCTGTCATCTCTATTTCAGGGAGATAAATTATTGCCTTCACTACAATGGACCAAATGAAGCAATTACCTTGAAAGCAATCACTGAATCACCTGAATCACTCCTGTCCTCCTGAGAGCTACAAAAAATGGAAAGGGATCAATCAGATATGAAGTATTTTGGCTTTCATGACATCACAGGTGTTGTATCTCAGTTGTATAATTCATTTTATATTCGAAACTGCTTATAATCACAATTTTTCCCCTGGTAGAAAGAACAAAAACAGCCCTGTCTATGAAATTTCACACAATCACTAGGTCTTAAAAATTATTCCCTTATAATATTACAGATTGCGGAAATTCACCAGGGTGACCAAGGCTATCCTCTAGCCCGAAACCACAACAGAACTGAGATGGAATGGATCCAAATAATTTAAACCGATGAGGCGTCAGCATGGATTAAGTTAGGGCTAGTTGGAAAGTAAAAACAGTCTGCCATGGGTCAATTTCTGGCGTAGCAACCATGACTCTCCCATTTTAGCACTGGTCACACCAAACTGAGCTTGCCTTTTTCAGCTCCCGCCCAACACCCCACTACCACAACTAGGCCTCACTCGCTCCTGCGGCTCAAGAAACAAACAAAACAGAAGATAATAAACAGCAGGAGTACAACCCCAGTCCTCAATATAATTAATGATGGGGATGAAGAATACCCCAAACTGTGTCAAATCGTAGCTTTGAAACCAGAAAGGGAGGGGGAAAGCTAAATTTCCTCCCCTCCAAAATAATCATTACCCCAAACTGTGCCAAATTGTTGCTTTGAGGCTAGAAGGGGGGGCGGGGGAGCTAAACAAATAAATCCTCCCCTCAGTAGTAGTAGTAATAATAACAATAATAATAACCCCAAACTGTGTCATATTATAGCTTTGAGAACAGAAAGCTGACGGTGGCAGGAAGCTAAATAAATTAATAATAATAATAATAATAATTACTCTGAACAGTGTCTAACTGTAGCTTTGAGACTAGAAAGTCATGAAAAAGCAAGATGGATGGAGAGAGAGAGAGAGAGAGAGAGAGAGAGAGAGAGAGAGAGAGAGCCTCCCCAAAGTTGGTTCGCGAACAGGCCTTGCTCTTTTTCCTGCTCAGAAAGCCACTCTGAGATGCAGAAAATCATTATATTAAGATCCACAAAGTGGGGGGAGGGAAGTCAAAGGGGATTATATGTTTATGCTTTTATTTCGCTTGTATATGTAAAATAGAAAATGGAAAAAGAAAAAAGAAAGAGAGAAAAAGAAAGCCACTCTGAGGCCCTAAGGAGACCAGGGCTGCAAAATTCCATTTGACCTCTGCCGTGCCTTAGAATCAGAGCCAGAGCTTTCACTTCTCTCGGCCTACTCCAATCTGCGGCCTGGTCACAACCACTTCTGCCCTATTTGCGCATTTGTATTGCATACCCTCCAACATTTATCAGATGAAAATAGGGACGTCCTATTCTGCATAAGGAAGCTTCTTCTGCATTTGATCTCCCACACACATTGCCATCATATACACACCTACATGGGTCACCTTGAGCCAATACTGTGGGATTTACTTCTGAATAGGCAGTGTAGGGCTCAATTTACAATAAAGGAATCGGCACTCCACGCACTTAAAAATGGCTGGCTGCTGAAGCCTGGCAATTCAATAATTTAAAGCGGACTGGTTACGTTTTACCTTCAGAATTATAGCAAGGGCCTCATATGCCAGCTTCATCATTTCCTTAGTTTGGTACAGGTATTTTATTGGTCAGTACAGTATAAGCAGGACTCTGTTTTTGCACCTACACACACACACACACCACTTTTAATCGTTCTCCGAGATGTGGAGAGGAGGAAAAAGGAAAATCATGAAATTCCAGGATCAAGTCGGAAACCATGATGGCTTCTGTAATTCCGGGACTGTCCCTGAAAAATCGGGACACTTTGGAGGGTATGCATTTGCGCCCCCATGTTTTACTCTGGATTGATGAATGCTGAAGCATTGATTAGCATTGCTGTGGAGTAGGATCTCTCATGACTCCACATACATGCACATGCTGTTTATTACATATTCTCCAACATGCCACCATTGAAAACAGGGACACGATTATGACACAGAAATACTCCCAAAAGCTGCAAAAGCCACAGAGGTGCCGCACCCTTCCAACAGCTTGTGGTCAGATTGGACCCTTGCCCGAGTACCAAATGTGTATTGAAGTAACTTCTGATATCACAAATGCAATTGTCAAGAGTGTATCTTGTGTGTAACTTTTCTCCACTTTAGTAAGGGAATGGGAAGCATGGAAGTATTGCCCCCCCCTTTTTTTAACTGCAGGGGGAGTAGATTGGTGTAGGCTTTCACCTTGCTGCCATCTGGGCACATGCCCCTTTTGCAAGACATGCCTCACGTATCTGACTGCGTCTGCTAAAAACTGGATTCTTGTCATTGTTAAACTGGACTTGCCTCGCTTGTGTTCTATCAATGACCTGTTCAAGCACTTTGTTTTGCTCCTCCTCTTTGCCCCTCTTATCAAAGGTGCCAGGGTCCTGATTCTGCAAAAAAGAATCAATGTGGCAGCAACACAAAGCAAGGAACAGGACTGTTTCTACCTTGAGGGCCATAGTTCAAGGACACAGGACCTGCTTTGCCTGCTTTGCCACAGGTCCATGGTTTAATTATTGGCACCTCCAGGTAGGGTCTGTCTGAATTTCTGCCAGTCAAGTATTGACAATACAGAGTTAGATGGACCAATGGGATAAACATGGCCACAGAATCACAGTGTTTGAAGGGACCCTGTGAATCATCTAGTCCAACTCCCTGCAATGCAGGAATACGTAGCTGTCCCATATGGGGATCAAACCTGCAACCTTGGTGTTATCAGTACCATGCTCTAACCATCCAAGCTATTCAGGGCAGCGTCCTCTGTTCCTAAGGTACAAACACAGTAAAGCATCCAGTTTGCATGACTGAAGGTCTCACCTTTAATCCTTGGTGTCTCCCGCTGTGCCTGAAACCCCGGAAAGACACTGCTGGTTACTGTAGAGGACACTGAGCTAGACAGTCCAACCATCCGACTCAGTAGAAGGCAGCTTCCTTTGTCCCTTTTCTGCAATGCCCTGTCATCTCTAATCCTAACCTACCTCGCAGGGTTGTTGCAAGGATAAAATGGGAAGGAGTAGAACCAGTTTGTTTGCCACCTTAAGCTGCTTAGAGGAAAAAGGACGGGATATATAAGCATAGTAGATTATTTACGCTGGTAATAAGGCATTTGCAGGGAGGCGGCAAAAAAGCTGGCCTTTGTGGGTGGTGGGCAGGCATGGGGAAGAGGCAGGCAAAAGGCAAGGTGTAAGACACATTTGCTCTGTGGTTCACTGTCCTTACCCTGGCCTCTTTACACAACCTGAGATGTGTGTTGTCAGAGCCCACCCTATTCACAGAACCATAAAATTGGAAGTGACCTTAAGGGTCATCTAGTCCAACTCCCTGCAATACAGGAATCTTGTCTGACACGGGATTTGAACCCACAACCTTGGGATTGAGAGTCTCATGCTCTGCCAACTGGACTGTGATTGCAATTGGTTCTAACTGCTTTTAAGTTTGAATTATTGCAACCCACCCTGGGACTTGCTGGTGAACGGCAGGCAATAAATTCAATGATGTTTGTGAGAAGGAGAAGGAGGAAGAAGACTGCTGAGATTCGTTTCAAAGCTCAGTTTAATAAAAGAGAACGTAAATTATTCTGCGATTTAAAATTGTAATACAAAATGCGGAAGAGGTTTGGGGTCCAGATGCATTCTTTAGCTGTCCAGGCTATGAATGGGTGCTATGGGGCAGCATCAGAATCAAAGAAGACAAAAGCAAGGCTGGGGTGGTGGTGGATACACACCCCATTACCCCTAAAATCCCCAAGCTGTTCCATTTACCAAGACAGGACTGTTCAACCTGAGCCCTTGCATCAACAGTGTAAAGAGGTTTCTTTACAAAGCACAGCAACAGTTCAGAGGCAATTCTGCCCTCTGGGAAGACCACAAGCTCCTTCCCATATGCTCACCAACTGGAAGAAAGTGACATTTAAAATTAAGGGGTGGACTCTGTGGTGGTCTTGCAGACCTCAGGCCTACTTATTCCCTGTGCCAAAATAGCCAGAGAGACTTTTTCTTACGAAAAGTCACTTACAGAAAGTGTGACTTATTCACACCCTCTCAGTTACCCACACGTTTACCAGTGGGGAGAGGTGGCCTCATGCGTTTTTTGTTTCTATCAAAGCCTAGAAAGCCTGTCCTGACTGGCGAATCTAATGCATGAAAGCAACCATCATACAACGAGAAAACCCTGATGGGAACTGAGGAGAATTCAGATGTGTTTTTAAATAAAGCGGATCTTCTTTCCCTTGAAGCCCAAGGTACTACTAGGCCCAATCATCCCACAGGAGTCCACCTTGGTGAAAATGGATTCAGGGGAAGAAGCCAGAATTCTGAGGCATCCCACCAACAGCTGAAAGGCCCAAAGTGCCCATCTTGTAGGCCTGTGTGAGAAGGGACAGGCTGGGATGAGAGGCCTCTGTTACTCTCATTGTGCTTTCTTCATTTTCTTCTTCTCCGATTTCACTACCGCGTCGTGAGCTTTTCGTTTCTCTGCTAGTTTGTTAGCCTGAGAGGGGAGGAAAGAATAAAATGCATTAGTTCATGCCTCAAAAATTCAACTTTTCTTTTGACACATGTGGTATATACAGCAGGGGCTGCCGACTTTTTTGGGTCAGTGGGCCCATTTGGAATTTTGGGAAAGGGCTGTGGGTGCCAGTCACAAAATGGCTGATGTGTGTGTGGGGGGAGTGTAGTGTAAGATAAAATGGCTGCCACATCTAGAAAGGCAAGAAAAGAGACAGGAAAACCAAATGCCACGAGCACTGCCACCCATTCCTCTATGTGAAGGGAAGTCACCTACATCAGCCACCCCTGCACTGGCTCAGAGAGAAGCTATTTGCAGTTCTCCTCTGTTCAAAATGGAAGGGAGGGAGCGTGTCCAATTCTGACGCCCAGTGAAATGTGGGCATGTTTAAAGAGGTGCGTTCAGCACAGCAGATGCCAAGTCAGTGCAAACAGAAACTGAGCAGGAACCGCAAACAGTCTTTTGTGCATTGTGGAATTCTGATATCTTTCCCAGCTAATATAGGAGGCACTGATGGGCAGCCTCTGTGTATATCACGAGCAATTTCACTGAGCAAACACCCCTTTGCAGGCCATCGTCCTCTGTTAATATGGGTGCTGGGCACCCGAATGCTTGGATTGGAACTCTCAAGCCAAGAAGACCTCGAGATTCAGGTTAATTTCTCGCAGAAGTGAAAGAGTAGGGGACATGGAGAGATTTTTGCAGCAACACGGCACTTCGGGTCACAGAGAGTGGCATACAGTTCATTAATTCTATGAACCAATGAATCTGCTCTCCAAAAGCAGCCCCATATTGACCCTATACACTCTTGCTCAAGTCCCCCCTTTCTCTCCCCCCCCCCCAAATGACATGTTAGGTCAATGCTTGAATTTTCAGCATCAGACAAAATAAAGCAACCTTGGCCAACCTAGTGCTTTCCAGATGTCTTGGACTACAGATCCCATCAGCCCCAGCCAGCAGTCGTGATGGGAGTTGTAGTCCAAAACATCTGGAAGGCAACAGATTGGTCAAGTCTGGATTAAAGCGTGTTTCTTCTGAAGTTGTCCCACAATCAAACAAAACTCACTGCTACTTAATCAAATGCAAACAACCAAGCTCTGGGCTCCCCAACCTGCTGCACCGCCAAAGAAAACAAATATATGAATAGATAACGAAACTATCCACGTGATGCTGAAACAAAACTCCATACACACACTATGAAACAGAAGGAAACAACACTACCCCCTTCTCTCCCACTCCTGTCTCCCCACCCCCAAAACTCACAATGCCTACGATAGCAATGACTCACACCAAATGTAACTGACTGTGAAAAAGACACTATGAACTAAAAACAAGAGATGATATATGGAGCACTGTTAGCCATGAAAATCTTTCAATAAAACCAATCTAAAGGAAAAAAAGTATGTGGCACACTCCACAAACTTAAGATCAGGTACGTTTTGTGTAGTGAGCACCAACTTTCCATCACTTCACTGCCTGTGTGGGGAATATTTGGTCCTCCAGTTGGACTACAATTCCCATCATTCCTGGTCATTGGTCGCGCTTGCTGGGGCTAACAGGAGTTGTAGTTCAATAACCTCTGGCAGGCCAAAGGTTTTCTATGCCTGCTTTATTGAATGCCAGATGTTGCAGAGGGAGAGCTAAGACTGCCTCAGCTAATACCCACAAACGCACAAGGCAGAAGCAGAGGACAATGTGGCCCTGCGCACATACAAGCCGCTTCTCTTCCTGCAATGGCAGTGCTGGATGCGTGACTCATAGGATATTGCTGCAGCAGAGTTCAATGTTTATTTTGTAATGTTTAAGGAAGGCGGGGTGTGGGGGTGTGTGTGTGTGAGTTGTGATAAGAAGATCCCAACAAAGAGGCTACTCTGGAATGGTAATCTTGGATTTGCCAATACTATTTATAACTTGAAATTAACAATAAACGCTAGTGACTGCCTCTTTTGTAAGTTTAAAAATTATCTAGAAAAAAAAAATCCTGCCTGTCTTCCTCCTATGCCTTGCAAGAGCTTTATGTTTGGAAACAAGGAGGGTTAGCTTTTTACAGCCTAGAGTCGAGCATCGCTAAGGCGGTTGTAGCCAAGACAGTGCCTTTCTGGATGTTGCTTGACTACAACTCCCATCATCCCTGTCCATTGGCTATGGTGGGGCTGATAGGAGTTGCAGTCCAACAATCACCATCTTGGCTACTCCTGTGCTTATGTCTGCAGATCAAATTGCTGTTCAAAGCCCATGACTCACTTGAAGAAAGGGGGGAAATCTTGGACTGCATCCAACAAAATGCTGTAATCCTGTTTGTGCTATAGCTCAGTAACAGGGTATCTGCTTTGCACACAAAAAGGTCCCAGGTTCAACCCAAGAAATCTCCAGGTAGGACTGTGGAAGATTCTGTCTGAACACTTGGAGAGATGCTGCCCACCAGTGCCGACAATACTGAGCAACGTGGACCCATGTTCTGACTCAGTGTATGGCAGCTTCCTATTTCCCTATTTAAATCAGTCTTTAACTAATCCAGAATGCGGCAGCTAGACTGGTGAACGGGAGTGGACACCGAGACCATATTATACCGGTCCTGAAAGACCTACACTGGCTCACAGCACGTTTCCGAACACAATTCAAAGTGTTGGTGCTGACCTTTACAGCCCTAAACGGCCTCGGCCCTGTATAACTGAAGGAGCGTCTCCACCCCCATTGTTCGGCCCGGACTCTGAGGTCCAGCGCCGAGGGCTTTCTGGCAGTTCCTTTACTGCGAGAAGCAAAGTTACAGGGAACCAGGCAGAGGGCCTACTCGGTAGTGGTGCCTGCCCTGTGGAGCGCCCTTCCATCAAATGTCAAGGAAATAAGCAACTATCTGAAGGAAATAAACAACTATCTGAAGGCTTCCCTGTTCAGGGAAGTTTTTAATGCTTGATGTTTTATCATATTATTAATAGTCTGTTGTGAGCCACCAAGAGTGGCTTGGGGAACCCAGCCAGATGGGAAGGGTATGAATAATAATAATCATCATCATCATCATAAATAATAATCAGGAAGGACCAATGGTCTGATTCGGCAGAAGAAAGCATCCTATGGTCCTAAGGACTGCACAACATGACTTCCTCCGCCTTCCCTTGCCCCCTGTGTTACTCCCCTTGCAAAGCTGCTCCAGATTTGAGGGGCATGTGGTGGGGAGAGGAAGTCCCACAGTGCAGGTGGGAAACCTAACAGGACAACTTTGTAGGACACACCCGCAACCTTTTCCTAGGCCCAGCACAGCAAGACAGCTCAAGCCCAGGACAGGAAGGAGTGGCCCATTGTGACAATACCTCTCGAATCTTGCGCCTCTTCCCAAACATGATCTTCTGGTACAGGTACTTCTCCCGCTTCTTCATCATCATGATGGCCAAGCGCTTCTCCTCGCTCTGCTCCTCCTGCGCCAGCCGCTGCTTGTCCTCTCTCAGGACTTTACCTGCCGTCACCTTCACCGGGAGGGCCTGTGGGAGGGGGAGGAGGAAATCACAAACTCAAAAGGGCAACCCGGAGGCAGGCAAAACTTTCAGGAAACAATTGTGCCTCTCCTCCCACGTACCTTGCTCTGGGTCCTCTGCGCTTCCATCTTCTTCAGCTTCCCCTCGTCTTCTTTCTCAGAACCCTCATCCTCGTCCTCCGAGCCTTCTGTGGCATCGTCACTCTCTTCCTGTTCTTCCGATCCGCTCTCTTCTCCTACAGGAAGGAACCACCTCGTGTTACTTTCCGTGAGCGCCACACAGGTAAGGCAGGCTTGCGAGAAGAAAGCCCCTCACCATTCACTGAACAGAACACATCAGAATGATTGTGGTGCTCATCTCGCTTTCAGGCCGAGGGAGCCGGCGTTTGTCCACAGACAGCTTTCCAGGTCATATGGCCAGCATCACTAAACCACTTCTGGCACAACGAGACACCGTGATGGAAACCAGAGCATATGGAAACACCGTTTACCTTCCTGCCACAGAAATGCCTATTTATCTACTTGCACTGGTGTGCTTTCGAACTGCTAGTTGGCAGGAGTGGGACAGAGCAACGGGAGCTCACCCCGTTGCAGGGATTTGAACTGCCGACCTACCGATCAGCAAGTCCAAGAGGCTCAGACCGCAGGAACAGTATTCTTCAGCCACCAAATTTATGGGTAAAGAGAAATGCTTTCAAATTCCTCCTGAAAGTTAATAATGATGACAACAGGTGTGTCTCACTAGGGAGGGAATTCCGCAACTAGGGAACTACCAATGAAAAGGCCCTGTCAGGGGTCAATGCCAATCAGGCAGCCCCCAGTGGCACTGATTTTCAAGCTTGGGGGATTCTCAGATGTTGTGGAACTGTCCCCCCCCAATAACACTGACTAAGCAACTGGGGATTATGGGAGTTGCAGTCTAATATTGGCAGGGGACCCAAGTCTGAAGAACCATGGGCCCCGGTTCACGGAGCATCGCGTTACCTGGCTCGTCACCTCTCTGCAAGGCTAGCAGTTTCAGCTTCTCTGGTGGGATGTAGTCCCCTTCCTTCTCAGTCACGAACGGTGAGAGGTGAGGAGGCAGCAGGACGCCGAGGAAGTAATCTGCCACCGGAAGGCACAGCTTGGCATTGACTGAATCGAAGACCCACTGCGGCTGGATGTAATACCTGGGGAGAAACACAAGCCCAGTCTCTCAAAAACCAGAATGGACAAGTGATCCAGAACCGGGTGGATGGGGGGGGGAATCTGAGACCCTTGATCTTGCTGTGAACCTCCAAGCCTTTATCCCAGAGGTAGCCAACCTGAGGCTTTCCAGATGTTGTCAAACTACAGTTCCCACCATCCCTGGCTGGAAGACATGCTGCCTGGGGCTGATGGGAGTCCCGACCAAGAGACTGCTGCACTCACCTGCCTATCACTTGCTTTTCCAGACTAGGCCGGTCGACGATTTGATGGGTGATGGTTGGGTCCGTCACATCATAGGTAGCGCCAATGCAAACAGACTTGTCCCAGGACACTTGGCCCCCAAAGCACCTGCCAGAAAGGGGACGAGGACACACACCCTCTTGAACCAATCAAACAGGAAGACCAAACCCTACAGCACAAACCCAACCATGCCTGCTCAGAAATGAGTCCTACTGAATTGGTTGCCAGTCTGTTTCTGCACACAATTCAACTGAGGTCCAGCTCTGAGGGCCTTCTGGTGGTTCCCTCACTGTGAGACGTGAAGCTACAGGGAAGCAGGCGGAGGGCCTTCTCAGTAGTGGTGCCCTCCCGTCAGATGTCAAGGAGATAAACAATGATTTGACTTTCAGAAGACATCTGAAGGCAGCCCTGTTCAGGGAAGATTTTAATGGCTGATGCTATTTTGTGTTTATAATACTTTGTTGGGAGCAGTTCAGAGAGGCTCTGGTAACCCAGTCAGATCATCTTCTTCTTCTTCTTCTTCTTCTTCTTAAAAGAAAAGGTAAAGGTAAAGGACCCCTGACAGTTAAGTCCAGTTGCAGATGACTCTTGGGTTGTGGCGCTCATCTCGCTTTACAGGCCGAGGGAGCCAGCGTTTGTCTGCAGACAGTTTTTCCGGATCATGTGGCTTGTCACCTGGATAACACCCTACGCCAGCATGACTAAGTTGTTTCTGGCGTAACGAAACACCAAAACCAGAGCAGCGCACGGAAACGCCGTTTACCTTCCTGCCGGAGTGGTACTTATTTATCTACATGCACTTTTTGACGTGCTTTCGAATTGCCACGTTGGCAGGAGCTGGGACTGAGCAACAGGAGCTCACCCCGTTGCAGGGATTCGAACCACCGACCTTCTGATCGGCAAGCCCAAGAGGCTCAGTGGTTTAGACCACAGCACCACCCGTGTCCCGCGTCTTATTATTATTACTTCTTTAAAGCCCTAAATGCCTAAGGCCCCAAATATCAGCAAGGCGGCCTCCTTCCCTACAGGCTTTCTTGGATGTTAAGATTAGCACAGCAGGCCCTCTTGGCAGTTCACCCACTCTCAGAAGCTGGGGTGATGTTGGCGTGGGAAAGGGCATTTTCTGTGGCAGTCCCCCAGTTACGGAACTCCCTCCTGACAAAGGTACAGCTGGCACCTTGAATGTACAGGCTTAGCTGCATGTATAAGATCTATCTCTTTACCCTGGCCTTTGACACTGGAGGTGTGTGCTTTCAGGACTCACTTTATTCCTGTGATCACGATTTGTTTTAAACTCCTTTTAAAGGTCGCATTTTAAATTGCTGCGACCTGCCCTGGGACTTTTGGCTGAAGGGCAGGCAATAAAACAAATTATTAGAATAACTCAGTGGGGCTTACCTCCAGGTAAGTGGGGCTAGGGCTGCAGTCTTAGCCCTTAAGCCTGGAATGAGGCCAGGGTTCGGGGTCCTTGCATGTAGACTCCCCTCTTCTCCCCACCCCAATAGGGCCATCAAAATCCAGCCAAACTACCAAGGCCTGGGATGCACCTGGCAAAATCCCCAGAGCCAAAAGCCTAAGGCAGAGCGACCGTGCTACATACCGGATGATGAAAGCCAGAGGCTCCCTGGGCACCTCCCTGTTGAGGAAGAAGCGAAGGCCTTCAAAGAGCCTCTTCTGCTTCTCCAGGGCCTCCTGCTCCTTTTTCCGGGCCTCCTCTTGCTCTGCGCTCTCCTGGTGTAGGGGGGAGAAAGGCACAGTGAGATCCCTTCTAGGCTAAGCTTCCCAAACTCGATGCCCTCCATATGTTTTTGGAGTATGACTCCCATCAGCCTTGGGAGTTAGAGTACAAAGCATCCAGGGGCATCAGGTTACGAAGATCTTGGGTGACTTCTTCGTTAACCTGAGGCGAGTTCAGGGGAGCTCTCCCATCTCAGGTACCCACCACCAAGGCTAAGGAAAGCTACAGTCCAAGAGAAGCCCCTCTGACTTCTGGCCTTGCCTTCCCAGCCCCTCTGAAATGGGCTGGAACGGCGACTTATGCTGCGTGGCTTCACTGTTCCCACAAAGGGCCAGTGCCCCATTCCCAGCAGGCCACAGTTACAGGTGGTGGTGGTTTTTTTGGTGGGAGGGGTGGATCTGTGGAGGCCCTCCCCTACTCTAGAGCTCCGGGCAAGAACTTACTTCCTCCACGGGGAACTCATCCACGACTGCCTCGTCCTCCGGGTCGGGTGCCACCACTCGGGCCAGGCTGGCACTGAGAGCCGACAGTTTCTGAGGGGAAAAAGATGTCCAGCAATTAGCAGATACTTAATTGTGTCACCAGGTGCAGATGAAACAGAAACAGAGGCGGTTTGCCGTTCCCTTGGAATGATCATTTGGGGCAGGAAATAAAGCAGAACTGGAGAGTGGCCAACAGGGAACTACCAATGAAAAGGCCCTGTCAGGGGTCAATGCCAATCAGGCAGCCCCCAGTGGCAGCAGCAACCAACAAGGCCTCACCTGCCAATTGCAGGGTCCGATCTACAGCACTGATCTTCAAGCTCGGGGTTCTCAGATGTTGTGGAACTGCAACTACCACCCCCACCCCCCTCAACACTGACTAAGCTAGGTCAGGTCAGGTGTCACCACCTGGGCCAGGCTGGTGCTGAGAGCCGACAGTTTCTGAGGGGATAAAGATGTCCAGCAATTAACAGACTGTTGTTCCCCATCCAAGGCCCAGACAGGTGATTCTTGGGGACTCCTGCCCACTCACCTCCAGGTAGCTCTCAGAGTCCAAGGCGTACACCTCCCCATCCTCTGGCGTCAGCTCTGACAGGGACTGGCCTTCGATCTGAAATACACACAGATGCAGGGATGACCTCCTTCCACAGAATCAGTTTAACAAGAGAACATTCCTGCTGACTGGCAGCCCCAGCCTTCAGGGCTTTTCTGCCTTTAACCCTCCTTGACCCCGCCCAGCCATGGTGGTGATTGGAGGAGAGCCATCTCTCTCACCCACACCCAGATTTTGGTCTGTTGGGATGTGGGACGGGGCCTTTTCATGAGTGGCACCCAGCATGACCCTCGAAATTGCCTGATCTTTCTCTCTCCCCATCCCTTCTGTGCTTTTGTGACCAGTTCATTTTTCAAGTTTTTTGTCATTCCTTTTAAAGTGACAGGTCTGCTGCTTTAAAATCAAGGTGGTCCAACGTGATGACGGCCGAATCAAAATTTGATGCCCCCGCACTGCCTTCCCAAAGCCAAGTAAGCAAGATGCTGGACTTGGGGAAGGAGGCACGAGGGCTCTGACAGGGTCCTAGAGCCCTCACCTCCTTCCCAAAGCCTAGGTAGCACTTTCCAAGCTTTGGGAGGAGGTGTGAGAGTTCTAAGACCCTGCCTGAGCCTTGCATCTCCTTCCCAAAGCCCAGAGCCTCACTTAGCCAGCTCTGGGAAGGCAGCATCAAATTTTGGCCTCACTCCCCCCCCCTCACTTGACAAGGCAGTGAATGGCCCACAGGTTCCATGTCAAAGTACTCTTGCGGCCTCCTTGATATAAATATTTTGGTTAATGAAGGAATCAAAACCTTACCGCACTAAGCCGGCAATTGGGTATGAAGCTTCTGGGTCACCTTGGCCAAGTCACTGCCTCTCTCAGCCTAATCTACCTCACAGGGTTCTTGCAAGGATAAATTGGGAGAGGGAGAGCCACGTACACCAGCTTGAGTCTCAAGTCCCTGGGATTTCCCCTGCCCTCCAGTTGTTTTTCTCAATTCTACACAGTGAATTCATCACCTTTGGAGGGTAGTGCAAGTTGATGGACTGGTAGAGGCGGAAATTAATGAAGCCCACGAGAGTGGTGTAGAACTCCGTGAAGGTGGCCATGACTCGGTAGTCCACGTCTGTTGGGTGCTGGGAGGAAAGAGGGGTGCCGATTAAGCCACTGTAACACACACACACCCCTTTCAAAACACCCAGTTCTACTTCCATGTAGAAGTTTTCTCTACAGACATATCTCATGTTCCGTTTAATTCATGTTACGTTCTTTCAGGTTACGTCCCGGAAGTACCGGAAAGGGTTACTTCCGGGTTTCGCCGCTCGCGCATGCACCAAAGCGCGAAACGATGTCACATGCATGCGCCAAAGCGCTGCGGGTTGCGCTTTGTTCATGTTGTGAACGGCCCTCCGGAATGGATCCCGTTCGCAACCAGAGGTACCACTGTAGTAACATCTTCACTTTCATAGCTCTATGCAGAGATACAGAACGTACTCCTGCAGGAGGCAGTGACGGCCAACGACTTGGATGGCTTTACAAGAGGAGTAAAGCTATCAATGGCTATTAGACATGGTGATGATGCTCTGCCCCCACAGCTGAAGGCAGCAATGCTTCTGAACACCAGTTGCTGGAAACTACAGGAGGGAAGAGGTCTCCTGAGCTTGGCTGCTGCTTTTGGACTTCCCTTTGGGGCGTCTCTGTGGGTGGAGAAGTCATCATCTCCCTTCCTCTTCTCTAAGTCTAAGCTGCTTGGCTTTCTCAGCCCGACTGCAACCATCCCCCTTCCGCCTGAAGCAGAATAATCTTTATTTGCATCAGCCACTAGCCACAGCAATAAAATAAAATGTACTGAAGATAGAGGTAAAAACTTAACTATAGAAAATACATTTTGGGGGTTTACATCAATAATCAAATAACAGATCTTATTGTAATTGCCCCCGCTAAAAACCTTGCAGTTTTTGCCGTCACTTGATCATCTTCATCTGCTAAAAGAAAGGACACTGTAGGAATGGTTGAGCGACTCGGCATGGACAATAATAGAGAGGTAATAACCTCACTCCTCAAACCTTTATACAAGCCAGAAGCATATAAGCCACTGACCCAATACTGTCATCTCAGCAGGGACGTGTTTTTAAAGGGGAATTTTCTGAAATCGACCCTCAAGTACAGCCAAAGGGAGTATATTCAATCTTGCGAAAGCAAAAGCGTGTCTGTATTTTGGAATTGTTAAATTTTACAAGCAGGGTTCCAAAGTGTCAAAATGACTTGGTGGGAAACAATCACACCATGGACAAAATTTCCTGATTGTGGCCAGATTATTCTGCTGCTCGATATCACATAGGCACTGTCTAACTAAATTATTTGCTTTATCCCCCTTCTGCCTGCTTGCCAACAGCAGCACCTGTTATCCAAACAACCCCCTTTAACAAGGCGTGGTTGTATATGTTGCTATTATATCTGTAAGGTGCATTAAGGCATGGCCTGATGGGAAAAGCAACAGATTTAAGTTATGCAAGCCAACGGACAGGGCCAAATGTGTCCAAATATCCGGCTGCCCACCAGCTGAGCAGTGTTCCGGGGGGGTGGTTAATTGTTAATTAAGGTCACTACTGCAGTGCCCATTTTCTAAAGTTAATGATTCTTCGACCCAAGGGAAGCTCAGCTGGAATAACCAAGGACAAGAGGTCAACATGCACCACGGGCAAAAGGCTCAAGGCCCAGGTCACGGTCTCCTAGTTCCCTTTGGGCGGCCAATGGGGACGAGGAGGTGGGCCAAGGCACAGCCAGGGCACCATTGATTGGAGGGTTCTGGTGGCCTCACATCAAAAAGAAGATTGCAGAAAAGGGCAAGCAAAATGATCCGCCACAGGAATCTATGTTATCTATGTTAAGAAAGATATAGTATGGAACTTAAAAACAGGGGGAAATAGCCACCAAAACTGAAAGATTTATCATAGCAAGCTGCCCTATTCTGAGTATGATCCTTGGTCCGTCTAGCTTAATACTGTCTATACTGACTGACAGCAGTTCTCTTGGCTTTCAGGAAGGGGGAATTTCCAGCCGTACTTGGAGATACTTTTGGGGAATGAACCAGGGATCTTCTGCATGCAAAGCAGGTGCTCTGCTGGTGAGCTATGGCCCTTCCATCCCATGATACTGAAGGGGTCAGTGCCTTTGTTTTGCAGGGAATGACAATGAGATTAACAAAACTATCCCAGGAAATCTTGCCCCAGTACTCACATTGTGGGAAAAGGCGTAGGGTGTTATCCAGGTGACAAGCTGCCCCATCACCTCTGCCTGATAGTAGATGCCTTTGATGGACAGGAACACCTGGCAAGGGGAGGACAGAGGGTGGTTTCAGCTGGAGAATCAACACAGAACACAACGGAGAAGTCCAGTGCAGGTGAAAAAAGGCCGGCCACTTCTCTGATATTGCCTTCCTCAACTTGGTGGCCTCCAGATGTTCTGGACTACGACCCCCATCAGTCTGTCAGGGTTCTAAAACTTCTGGTGGGCACCAGGTTGGTCAAGGCAGTGATGGAGCGCTTAAGCCAGCCAGATGTTGCAGGCAGTAATTCTCACCAGCACCAGCAAGCGCAGCCAAAGGGGGCGAAAACTGTTAGTTTCTGTTTGCCACTGTGCAGTGCTTGGTGTCACAGGACCCTGTTTACATTCCTGGGATTCCAGACTGTTGGAAGTCTCACGGAAGACAGGAGACGGATGTGATGTTACTGGTTTCCTGTTCCTTTGTTTGTTCAGTTGAGTTGGGATTTGGATTTGATATCCTGCTTTATCACTACCCGAAGGAGTCTCAAAGCGGCTAACATTCTCCTTTCCCTTCCTCCCCCACAACAAACACTCTGTGAGGTGAGTGGGGCTGAGAGACTTCAGAGAAGTGTGACTAGCCCAAGGTCACCCAGCAGCTGCATGTGGAGGAGCGGGGAATTGAACCCGGTTCACCAGATTATGAGTCTACCACTCTTAACCACTACACCACACTGGCTCTCTGCTTTCACAGAGAGAGGATGTGTTTTCTGTCTGCGTAGTTAGTAATAAAGCATAGTGATGTAGCCATAAATCTCATCACTTCTGCGTGTTGCTTTGATTCTCTGCGTAATGGGGAATGTGCCTGGAGCCTTATCAAAGGCTCAGGTCGTTAATCACGTCGGAGGCGATTCCGGAGGAGCTCGGCTGATCGCAGGTTCCAACAAAAACCTCTGGAGGGCATCAGGATGCTGAAGACCCAGCTTGATGTGTGTTGATCTACCTGAAATAAAGCCAACCCCTTCCTGGATCTGTAACTCCCCATAGCCTCTCACCCAGCTCACCTTGCGTAGAGAGCGCGAGCAGATGACGTAGTTGAGGAACTCCACAGTGAGGCGGCGGCACAGCTGGATTGTCTGAACGTGGCACTTGCCGGTACGCGGGAAGGTGGCGAAGAGGAAGCACATGGAAAGAGCGTCGTCAAGGTCCCGCAGGGCATCAATGAAGGTTGGGTACCTGCAAGGGGGAGGTGAAGAACAAGACCATGTAACTCACACAGCCTTAATCATCCCAGAGTGCTTTATAAACAACCGGACTATAGTCAGCTTGCCCTGTCCCCATGGGATCGGATCCCCCTTCTGCTGGGGACGAAATTGAAGATTCTGGATCAGAAGGGTAACTGCATGTAGGGCCAGCCCCAGTGGCACATCCACAGGATGAGCTCCTGGTACCGGTGCCTCTTTGGCCAGAGGGTACTGCACTCCCATCCCCTGACCCTCCTGTGTGCCCAGTTACTTGGATCCCCATTGTGGTTCCTCTGCAAGGTTCTCCCTTGGGCCTCCCATCTCTTACCTTTCCTTGACAATGTGGTCCAACCTATATCCAGGTTTGTTGTCCTTCAGCCGTTCCACAGTGTTCCATTGGCTCTTCCCGTAAGCTTTGCGCAATTTGCGGACAAACACCTTGTGGGGAAGAAAGGGTTCAGACACAGGTGCCCTTGCCAGCTGCTGGCCACCCAGTCTAGAATTCCCTGACCTAGTCTGCTGTCCACCAACATTACGCTATCATCCTCATCACTACAGATTTAATAATCACCTTCTTAACCAACATCTCAAGGCAATTTACAAGTAAGATAATTAAAAACACAGAAGCAACAAAAACATTTAAAACAAGACTAAAACCTTAACAAGTGGACACTTTATGCAGTTGGAAAAGTCTGGTCAGAACAAAATGTCTTCAATTGTTTCCAGAAAGTGCAGACAGTGAGCGCCAGTTGTATCTTAAGTCCCCCCTCTCGCTTCTGCAGCTAGGAGGCAGCAGCACCCAATCTCTTTGTAGGTGACACATGCTGACATTAGTTTTTCTGCCAGAAACACTAATGGCTGATAAACTTTACACCAGACAAATACAAGTTTGATTTCATTTGAGGGAGTTGATATTCTATCACGTAATGCATCTCATTAGCAACCGGGCTCAGGATCAAGTCATTAAAGAAAAGGCAGCGATGTGGGATGTTTCAGTGCTTTCTTTTTTCCATGGAAAATATTTAGTTGCAGAAGTTCATTTGAAACAAGAAATGATTGAATCCCAACTTCAAATACAGTATCAGGCACATTTGGCAGTTTCAAAATTTTCAAACTTTGTTTACTTGCTACAAGCAAAATAAATAGGCAGAATTAAATCACTCAGGATATTTCGTGATACTTAAGTCCCCTAAGGAAGTTACTCTTTCAGAAACAGTAGTTTTAGTTTGCCTCAATGTCTTTTTCTTCTGCTGTTCAGTGATGTGGGTTAGCCAGGAAATTCTTAAACAGAAATTTTTCCTTTGCAGTTCAAAATTTTCTATAAAACCCAAACCGCTGAGCAGGGGGAACAAAATAGACTGCAGCTCTTGAAAGGAAATGGTAACTCCCTTCCTCTAATCCGTCTCCAAAGTCAGCACTCTAAAACTGTTCCAGGTGGTGATATTAAACCTAATGCTTGTGATTGGCTGCAGGATCCCGTGGGATCACAATACCTTATATTCCCGGAACTTGTTGACAATGGGCTCATGTAGGAGAAATTTTATGTCTTTCAGGAGGTAGAAAGTCCTGGCAGCAGTAGATCCTTTGTTCACCTTCTTCTTATGTTTGGGTTCATGAGGGTAAATCCCTTTTAGGATGCAGAGTCGCCTGGAAAGGGCAGGGGGGTGGGGAAGAGAACAGATGTCTTGTCGGTTTCCCGTTGGCCAAGTTAAGGCAACATAACGCACAATGCTATTCACTGTGAAGCTATCACAGGTCGGAACTGTTAGCAGTCACCTAAATAATGCAGACGGAGACCAGAGAGAAGTGAAAGTGATAATACTTGATTGGGTAAACTGAACAAAAACTGCGTATAACTTAAGGAGACATAGACAGAGAGGTTTTGTCTCATTTACAAGCCTTGTTCATAGCAGAAAGATATTCAGCAACTAAAGAGAAAGAGTAAAACTTCCTCTGAAACTACACAGCCAGTTAGAACGTGAGCTCTCCTGGCAAGAATCATGCCAATCTGCTGGGCAACACCACAACCTTCTAACTAACTGTAAACAGAATTAACCCTTAGGTTATTAACTGAATGGTTCTGCCCTTGTGCTTCCGACAGGATACTGCTGTCACCACCACTACAACCCAAAGCCAAGAAGTCAGTGCGACAGGGTCTGCTATGACTCCACCACCAGCACACTGGCCCTAACTGACATAGGTAAAGGCAAAGGTACCCCTGCCCGTACGGGCCAGTCGTGTCCGACTCTAGGGTTGCGTGCTCATCTCGCTCTAGAGGCCGTGAGCCGGCGCCGTCCGAAGACACTTCCGGGTCACGTGGCCAGCGTGACGAAGCTGCAGCTGGCGAGCCAGCACCAGCGCAGCACATGGAAACACCGTTTACCTCCCCGCTATAAAGCGGTACCTATTTATCTACTTGCACTTAAGAGTACTTTCGAACTGCTAGGTGGGCAGGAGCTGGGACCGAACGATGGGGGCTCACCCCGCCGCGGGGATTCGAACCGCCGACCATACGATCGGCAAGTCCTAGGCACTGAGGTTTTACCCACAGCGCCACCCGCGTCCCTGACATAAGACCTTAAGAACTGACATAAGACCTTAAGAAAGGCCTGCTGGATCAGGCCAATGGCCCATCCAGTCCAGCCTCCTGTTCTCTCTGCGGCCACCCAGATGCCCCCAAAGGAAGCCCAGTAGCAGAACTCGAGCACCAGAGCACTCTCTCCTCAGACTGCGGAAGAGCAGAGTCATTGTGGTGAGTAGCCACGAGAGAGATGCAAACAGAGATCCAGTGGCATGTGTGTACAGAGAGACAAACTACACCCCTGCCAGGCAGCACTGCAATACTCAAGACACTCCTGCCACACACATATGTATCAAGGGGCCACAGTAAGCTGGTAAGCGATGATTCCTTTCCTTACCTGAAGTCTGCAAGGCTCAGTTGCAACTTCTTCCGGGCTTTGTTCCTGGTAATATAGTTGGTGGCAGAACCCCTCTCGTACTTTGGGACGAAAAGAGAGACAACGCTTAATACCCCCAAGTGTGTTTTTATAAGCTGGTCTCCGACTGTAATAAATTATCTATCTATCTAACGCTTAATATATGTCCTTCCACGAGTTAAACCCAAACAAAGAACTGAGTGGCTCGCAGTGAGAAATTAAGCGTATTAATTTAAAAGCAAGTGATCCTACAGTGCTGCCTTCATGCCTAGATAGTAAACAGCTAAGACAGGAACAAAGGAAGCTACCTTAAGCAGAGTCAGACTGCTGGTTCATCTAGCTCAGTATTTTTGACGCTGAAGGGCAGCAGCTCTCCAGGGTTTCAGGCAAGGAGTCCATCCCAATCCTGAAATGCCAAGGATTGACATATGCCTTCTGCATACGAAGCGGATGCTCTATCAATGAGTTATGGAAGCTGCCTTATACCATCTAGTTCACTATTTGTCTGCACCAGCCTTTCTCAACCTTGGGTCCCCAGATGTTATTGAACTACAACTCCCATCATCCCCAGTGAGAAGGGCCAGCAGCCAGGGATGATGGGAGTTGTAGTGTCCAGTAACATATGGGGACCCAAGGATAAGAAAGTTTGGTCTACACTGACTGGCAGGGTTTCAGGCATGGGACATTCGCTGCCACACCTGGGGATGCTGGGGAATAAGCCTCAGACCTTCTACAGGGAATGCAGATGCCCCATGGCACTTCCAACTAGAGTGGACAATAGAGGAGAGTGACACGAGTTGGAAGTCCAGCATCTTGAGAGCATCCCTTCGGCTACTCCTGCCCCAGGACACGGGAACATAAGAAGCTAACACATCCCGAGTCTGGCCACTGGCCCACCTAGCCCAGAAGCGTCTACACGAACTGGCAGCAGCTCCTCAGGGTTTCTCCTAATCCTATCTGGAGACCATCAGGCGCTGAACCCGAACCTGGGACCTTCTGCATGCTACGGCCCTGCGTCACCAGAAGGATAGTAAAAAAAAACAACCCGCAAGCCGCCGTGTATTAGGTAGCCAGTTCCGGAAGTAACGTGTTTCCACTTTCAGACATTACTTCGCTACACGGGAAAGCAAGCGGCATCCCCTCATGAAAGCAACGCGGTGCGCAGGCTGGGCCTGCCTTAAGCCACGCGGTACCTTCTTTTTCTCCACGCCGCCCATCGCTGTCGCCGCTCCTGCCGCCCCACCGACACTCACGTGGCGACTCTCGCAGGACGGCCGAAGGGGCTCCGCCCACTAAATGCGTCATCGCTCCTCCTCTTCAGGGTGTCTATGCGGCTGCCTGACCGGGAGCCAACGTCCTGGAGTTAAGCCCACCCGGCGGCATGTCACCGGCCAAGCGAAGCGGATCATGAAGTCGCTTCGTTTCAGTCGCCACGCCGGGAAGCTCTCCGAGCAGCAAAGGCATAGATTTGGGCACCTTTAGGGGGGCCTTAAGCAAGACCCTAGGTCCAGGAAGCCGACCTGGGGGACGCGGCGCATGCTGGGGGCTTGGATGACTATGATAGAGGCCTAGAAATAGAAAGGCTTCCTGTGACATAAAGTCGGGTGCCTAGAGATAGGAAAAATGTAGACTGACACCCAGGGCTTAGCTTTCGGTTCTTGTGTGCCTGCAGGTTCAATCCCCAGTGGAGTCTCCAGAGATGGCTAGGCATTTTCCCTGAAGAGCTGCTGCCAGCCAGTGCAGACAACGCTGAGCTAGTGGTCTGGCTCAGAAGAAGGCAGCTTCCTAGGTTCCTAAACTGTAGCAGCAAAGATCTCTGCTTTTCCCCCCTAACTGGTTTTTAAACATGTCCAAGCGCCAGTCGCCTTCATGCAAGTCCATTGAAGGCTTTTGTATCCAGCTGCTTGCATTTAAGTGAGTGGGCCTTTTCCTGCAACGTGAGGTGGATGTTTGTCTGAAAACCCAAATCTGCCTCAGCTCCACCACCAACTTGCACTTTTAACACTGGACTACATTGAAGGGCTGTTGTAAGCCTCTCTTTCTCATCCACGGGCCCATCCAATCATAAATATGGAGACAATAGATTACAGGGAAAACATGCTGCCTTGGGTTTATGACACAGCAAGCAGCCTTGCACAGTTTTGGATTAAAAAAATACTTGGAAGGTTCTTAAGCTGCTTACCCACTATACCTTTAAAGCACACCTGAAGCACAAACTCCCCTCAAAGTATTCTGAGTGCAGTAGTTTGTTAAAGGTTGCTGGGAATTGTAACTCTGTGAGGGCTCAACTACAGTGCCCAGAATTCTTTGAGGGAAAGAATATTATGCTTCGAATGTGTTTTAAATGTACAGTGTGCCCAATTTTACAATCAGAGTACCGTACTTCAAATGAATATGCAGCCCATCAGTGATTAATCCAGGCTTTCCCTGATCCATAAATTCAGACTCTATGTGCCTGAATCCCCCAGAATTCCTGTTTTATTTGTTATGTTATCATATTACTGTTTTATTGGTTTTATGTTACATTTTTGTTTTAACAATAATGTTTGCTTTTATGTTGCACACAGGGCTTAATATTTTTCTCCCCCAAATATATTAAGCAGCTTATAAATGCTTTTAAACAACAAAGGGAGATTTCCAGCATTTTTATTTTTTTTTAGAGAGAAATGAAATAGTTACGTCTGATTAATGGTCAAATTAATTCAGATCCTGCAAAAAGAAGTTCATATACAGAGCTTGATCCCTCCTTTTTCACACTCCGGTATTCTATAGCCTAAACGTATATCTTGATGCAAAATCACTATGGGCAAACTTCACTTTGAAAACTTGTGTGAAGTTTCTTTCAGTGAGGAGTTAGGACTTTTGTTTCTTTTTTTAAAAAAGGAGAAGAGTTGTGTTCAGACAGGTGCCAGCTTAGGCTGTTACGATCTTTGTACCCGTTATCTGAAGACACGTTCCAACCAAGAGCATTGCATTATTTCAGATTATTATCTGAGGTAAATCATGGGAAGGTACTAATATATCATCAGCTAGGTCACAAGGTTATTTGGGGCTCCTTTGTTCCTGGCCGTCTCTGTGAATTATTCCAACGTGCTCTTGACCTGTCCTGATTCCACATATTCAGGACTCTGGAACTTGCGTATTTTTCCCTTCCAGAGCTGCAGCCCAGCCACTTAAATTGAAAGGAAACACTCTGCAAACAGCTGACTTCAGCAGCTGGAGGAGATGTCACGTGACCTGAAATAAACAAGAGTGAAAGAAGATTCCTAACTGCCTGCCTGTGGTGAGAAAGTGGAGGAAAAGTCTCGTTCTAAAAGCTGATTTCAGTCCTCGCGCACCCCAATTCATAATTCACAGGAAGAGGTGAAGACTCCTAGGACATCAAGTGACCATATCAGGTAGGCTCTCCTCCTTAAGACAGCTCATTTCCCCCTCACACCCCACATCTCCCCACATAATCCTTGATCCCTCGGGTATAATGTTATATTATTGATATAGCTCAATCCCATGCACGTTTATTTATGCAGAACTAAGTCCTGCTGTATTTAGTGGGGCTTCCTGCCAGGAATAGGTCCATGGGGTTGCAGCCTGAATCACTCTTATCCAACAAGGGATGTAAGAGGCAGACACAATGGCTTGGCTGAGCAGGTTGAAGGGGGAAGAATGTACGTAGTTCAGTAGTTCCCTAAGTGTACGGTATATCACACTATCCCCTCTTGCAATTCCCAGCAGCTGACATTTAGAGGCATACTTCCTCCAATAGGGGAAGTGGAACGTAAACATCTAGCAGCCACTGACGGCAGATCCTATTTTCCGGGGGCAGCCCTCGATTTACAGAAGCCGTCCCGGTTTCTGATTTGATCCCAGAATGTCCCGTTTCCCTTAGGACGTCCCTGGTTTCATTTTAGAAATGTTGGAGGGTATGGTAGGACATCCCTGTTTTCATCAGAGAAATGTTGGAGGCAGTGCCGGATTTATGTATAAGCTAAACAAGCTATAGCTTAGGGCCCCAGTCTCTTGCCCTCCCCCCATTTCACTATTAATATACTTCTTCTTAATTGTATTTCAGTTCAACAATTACAGTGGTACCTCAGGTTACATACGCTTCAGGTTACATACGCTTTAGGTTACAGACTCCACTAACCCAGAAATAGTGCTTCAGGTTAAGAACTTTGCTTCAGGATGAGAACAGAAATCGTGCTCCGGTGGCGCGGCAGCAGTGGGAGGCCCCATTAGCTAAAGTGGTGCTTCAGGTTAAGAACAGTTTCTGGTTAAGAACGGACCTCCGGAACGAATTAAGTACTTAACCCGAGGTACCACTGTACTTTGATAAAATACAAATTTTGTTATGTGCAAATGACTTTAGATACCTATTAGGTCCATAAATTACCATATATCATATATTCAGCGCACAAAAAAGCGACAAATTGTTGTTGACGAAGGACAGCTGGACATACCAGGGCCCCATTACCTTCAGTAGCTTAGGGCCTCATCAAACCTAAACCTGGCCCTGGTTGGAGGGCAGGGGGAAGCATTATCCACGACAAGTTTATTCCTGCATTGAGGGCATGGGAGTCCTCTCTGTGAATGTGTGGTGGACCACTTCCTATGCTTGATCTCAAAGGCTGTGGCGTGGAGTCTCATCCTGCCACTCCCTATAAAATATCTAGGTGAGATAAAGTGGTTTCTGTGGAACCAGATATGTGTGTAACATGCTATCTGTGAAGCATCAAGAGGAAGGATAGCCAATGGACATTTCTGATCTGCCTCACCAGCCCTTGTTGTTTCTCATCCAGCCAAAGTCCTTCCTGTTGCGCAGACTCAGCACTTCTTCCTTGGGAAGATTGTGTCATCACTGATATTCCTCCCATTGAATCTTTCACAGGCTGTCTTTGCCTCCAAGCTCCTGGACTCCTTCCTGAAATTCTGGCCGGCATCTCTGTCTGTTGACTTCCTTCTTGTGACAAGCATGGACCCCAGAGGTCTACGGTTCTTCGTCTTCTTCCCTATCCTGTTTGCCTCTGTCCAGCTGTGTGGTAATCTTTGCTTATGAGAAGTATCAGATAGATAGATAGATAGATGATAGATGATAGATGATAGATAGATGATCGATAGTTAAATAGATATAGATAGCTATAGTTTGCAAATTGCTTTTCCCTCTCACTGAAATTCTTTAAAAAACATGAACAAGATTCACATTATGATGTATAACTATCGAGGATGTATAAGCCAAGGTTCTTACAGCCATAGCTGTCAACGTTTCCCTTTTTTAAAGGGAAATTCCCTTATTTTGAATAGGATCATAGCTGTCAACCTTCCCTTTTTTGCGGTAAATTCCCTTATTCCAGCGCCGTTTCCCGCTGCTTCCTGCTGCTATCGCGGATTGTTAGATATCCCGTAGACTGTCCCTGGGACAGGTGAGGCTGCTGATCCCTTATTTTCAAATCTGAACGTTGACAGCTATGAATAGGATTCCTCGCAAGAAAAGGGAAAAGTTGACAGCTATGCTTTACAGCAGAATGTAGAAGAGAATCGGAATGAAGGTGGAGAATCTGTGGCGCTGATATGGGAAAAGTTTTTACCTGAATGAGGAAGGGTCAGGGCAGATTCACCCCATGCATTTAAAGCACATTCAACACATCTTCAAAGTTCATGACCCCCACCCACCCGGGCAAGAATGCTGGGAATTGTAGTTTCAACCTCACAGAGACACAAGTTGGCTTCATTGCAGGGGGTTGGACTAGAACCCTTAATATAAACTACAGTTCCCACAGTTCTTTGGGGGAAGTCATGTGTTTTAAAGCAGCCACATTCGCAATCCTGTTTTGTTCTTCTCTCGGGTCAGAAATCTCTGCAGGAAATTCTGATCGCATCAGGTCTTTGAACGCGGAGCTCTTGAAAGTGGCGGAGGATGCGTCTAAGGAACCGAACCCCAGTGTTTACCTGGCCCTGCGGCTGTCTAACGACCACAACTTGCAGAAGGAGAGCCAGTACCTCCAACGCCTGAAAGATGCCTTTCAGCCCAATGCCAGCACGTATGTTTAGCACAGGGTTTTGGTGGTGGGGAATTTTGCAGGATGAGGACCAGAGGCAGAAGGGGGTGGAGCAATGAATGTACATTGCTGGAAACCACAGAAGAGAAAAGTCCTCTTGGGATCAGGTCCCCTGCTTGCAGGTTTCACATATGGGTATCTGGTTGGCCACTATGAGAACAGGATGCTGGGCTGGACGGGCCACTGGCCTGATGCAACCAGCAAGAAACTCTTAATCTCAGGGTTATGGGTTCGAGTCCCATGCTGGGCAAAAAGATTCCTGCATTGTAGGGGGTTGGACTGGATGAACCTCGTGGTCCCTTCCAACTCTACCATTCTATGATATATTAGTTCAGTATACTCTTGCATTCCAACAAAGCAACATCAAGCAAGCAAGCAAGCAAGCAAGCAGACACACAGGCCCACCCCATTCCAAGCATTTTACAATCTGAGTTTTGACAGTGTGGGAGACAACAGAGGGGAAGAAGGGGAGAGGGTGAGGGTTACGATCAGGTCTTCATTTAAAATATAGCAATAACGCCACCATTATTATGCCAGTGAATGTAAATTTTATTATGAATGAACATCCTAATTCTAGATGAAACAAAGAGAGAGCCGGTGGTGGTGCCGTGGTTCGTCGGCTGGACTAGCAAATCCCTGCTCAGCCACAAAGCTCACTGGGTGATGTTGGCCCAGTCAGGCACTCTCAGCCTAACATACCTCGCAAGGTTGTTGTGCGGGGAGAGCCGTGTACACAACCTTAAGCCCCTTAGAGAAAAAGGTGGGCTCTGAACGCAATAAAACACAGTTTCCCAAACTTAGGTCTCCAGCCGCTCGCTAGCTCCCATCCTCGCTAGCTAGCAGGACCAGCAGTCAAGGTGTGTTGGGATTTGTAGTCCAGAAACAGCTGGAGACACAAGCTTGGGAAGCCCTGTAATAAAATTGAACTGGATAAATGAAGTTAAACCTGGAGAAGGCCTAGCCTGGTTGCATGGGAGGGGCTAACGGCGTGGTTATTCTGACTTCTTCCAATCCAGCTCTCTGACTCCAGTCCGCTACCATGAGCATCCTAGCACAGGTCAGCTGGCCCTGTACCTCCTTGCGCTGCGGGCCGCCTGCCACGACATGGAGGCACTTGAAGGGAGGCAGCTGGTGACGCAGCTTAAGCTTCACTTGAACAAGGAAAAGGCGCAGATAGGTAAGGTTCCAGGCGATGGCGCCTGCTTGGTGTCAAGTGGCAAGGAGTTCCAGTGGGTAGGTGCTGCCACATTAAAAGACTGATTGAATGAAAGCAAGTGTTGGAAGTCTGAATTAGGGGCCAGCACTTAAGGAGAGGTTTTGCCAGCATCTGGAAGCCTCAGAGCAGGGCTTCGTAGGCTAAAGGTCAGCAGGGAGCTGGGTAATTAATTACGGCAGAAAAGGCAGATTTACCCATTGCACTTTCTCTTCCTGCACCCAGGTCACAAGGACACCGGACACCCCATCACCAACTACTACCAGTACAGCTTGGGGGTCTTAGCCTTGTGTGTTCACCGCAAGAAGACCGACGAGCATGTGATCCGCAAGCTCTTGCACGCAGAGGAGCGGGGACGATTTGTGCTCCACAACAAGCACTCTGTGGGTACGTGCTGCCCCCTTTGCACATGAGTCCATTCAGGTTTCTTGATCTCAACTGTTTTCTGCCCAGGGGGGTTGATGCCTTTCAGCTTTAATGGTCTGTGCGGCTTCTGGCTGGGGGCAGCAAGCAGTTGGGGATGCCCATTTTAATCTGGTTTGCAAGAGGTTTTTTTTACTGCTGGTGAATGACTAATAATGATGATGATTTTATTTAAACCCCATCCATCTGGCTAGGTTTCCCCAGCCACACTGGGTGGCTCACAACAGAATATTAAAAACACGACAAAACATCAAACATAAAAAAACTTCCCTAAACAGGGCTGCCTTCAGATGTCTTCTAAAAGTCAGATAGTTGTTTATTTCCTTGACATCTGATGGGAGGGCGTTCCGCAGGGCGGGCACCACTACCAAGAAGGCCCTCTGCCTGGTTCCCTGTAACATCATTTCTCGCAAGGAGGGAACCACCAGAAGGCCCTCGGAGGTGGACCTCAGTGTCCAGGCTGAACGATGGGGGTGGAGACACTCATTCATGTATATATTATTGTTGGTAGTAGTAGTAGTAGTAGTAATAGTAGTATACTATCCTATACCCGCAGGTCTCAGGGTGGCCTTCAAGTATATATTATTATTATTGGTAGTAGTAGTGGTAGTAGTAGTAGTAGTAGTATACTATCCTATACCCGCAGGTCTCAGGGTGGTTACAACATAAGCCACAAAATAAAAACACAAACTACATTATAAAAACAAAAACATCCCAATGAACTTCCGCAACACATTTTAAAAGGGCATTGGATGTTAATTAGCCAAAGTCCTGGTTAAGGAGGAACATTTTTTGCCTGGTGCCTAAAGCTGCATAATTAAGGCGCCAGCTGAACCTCCCTGGGGAGAGCATTCCACAAATGGGGAGCCACTGCAGAAAAGGCCCTTTCTCGTGTTGCCACCTTCCAGACCTCTTGTGGAGGAGGCACACCAAGAAGGGCTGCTCCGGGGCTCTGTGCCCATTTTCCCTGTAGCAGCTTGGCTCTCTTCTCTGGGACCAGCCCTACCGTTAGACAGAGTGGGGCATTGCCTCAGGTGGCAAGGGGCAGGGACTGGTGATTAGCTGTTGGAAGGACAGAGGTATGGAGAAGCAGGGAGCACCGTGGGTATGGAAAACGGGTGGCGGCGTTCAGTGGTAGAGCACCTGCTGTGCTTGCAGATGGTCCTGGGTTCAATTGCCCACATCTCCAGTTAGGGCTGGGAGAGACTCCCAGAGCTGCTGCCGGTCAGTGTAGACAGTACTGAGCTAGGTGGACCGATGGAGGATGCAAAGGATGTAGGCATGTGTTTGGGACTGGTGGGTCAGCTCTCCTCTTCATGGCTGTTTTAACCTTGCTTACCCAGACACAGAGGCGATGGGAGGTCTGGCCTTTGCCTGCTTGGAACGAGCCACCTTCTACAAGCCAGAGCTGGTGGCAAACCTCAGCCAGGCTGTGCAGAGAGTCAAGCGGAAGATATTGCAGGCCAAGACTGCAGAAGGGGCTTTTGGCAATGTCGACAGCAGCCCCCTGACCACACAGGTGAGGAGGACTCTGCAGGCAAAGTGGAGGGATGGCAGTTCTCACATTTACTATTCTATAGCTCTTGCTAAGCCGTTGCTTAGCTAAGCCGGTCTTCAAACAAAAACATCTTGGAGGTCCCTGGCCATAGAGAGGTTAGGCTGGCCTCAACCAGAGCCAGGGCTTTTTCGGCTGTGGCTCCAATCTGGTGGAACGCTCTGTCACAAGAGACTAGGGCCCTGCGGGACTTGACATCTTTCTGCAGGGCCTGCAAGACGGAGCTGTTCCACCAGGCCTTTGGCCAAGGCACAGCCTGACCCCCTCCTTTGGCAATCCTCATAGAACTCTAGCCCAATGGTTGCCATTAATTTGATTTTGAATTAATTTTAGAATGCTGTGTTACTTTTATTGTGGTTAGCCGCTCTGAGCCTGGCTTTGGCTGGGGAGGGCGGGATATAAATAAATTATTATTATTATTATTATTTTCTTACTCTGTAACCACAAGGCGGAAACTTGAAGGATCCCTTCACTAGTGGGCATGGCCCATTAGAGCAAACGGGGCACTGCCCCACCAACCTCCCTCTGCCCCCGCCCAGCCCCCACCTGCCTGGTTTCTTATGTACAAGCAGCCCAGAGGTGGCTGAGCCTCTCCTCCTCCTACTTTGTAGTCACAGAACTCAACAAGTAAGAGGGGAACAAAGCTAGGATGAGCTGTCTCCTCCTGTCATTGACTCTGGTGCCACCTACTGTTGGTCTCCTTACCTTCAGCCCCATCAGCCCCAGCCACCTCTGAATTTCCTTTCCTGTTGCGTCCCATTCCAGAATCTGATTCTCTCCACTTGGTTCTACAGGTTTTTTTCCAAACACCATTTGCAGTGCTGAAGAGGCAAGTCTTTTTTTCCCAATCTGAGGTTGAAGACCTTGGCTAGGGAATGGCTTGCCTCTTCAGCACAGAGTGGAAGCCTCTGCGGAACGTCCGGCTGATGTGGCATTTCCCTTCTAGCTTTGCCAGGATTTCAGGCAATGCCAGCTGGCCACCGGTAGCCTCTTCTACCGTAGGTGGGAATGCAAGAACTAACATAAAGGCACTTTTCTTCAGTCTCTGATGCCTTTCCCATCTCTTTGCGATTCAGTTCCTCATTGCTACAGGGATGAACCCAGAGTGTCCCGAGGCAGTTGCAACCCTGATTCGGAGCCTGGAGCGAGGAGATTTCCAAAACGCCCTCATCAAGTCCCAGTTGCTGCCTGCCCTTCATGGCAAGAGTTACCTGGATGTTGCCAGGATGGTGTGCCAAGCTGAGAGAGGTAGCGGTGGGGGGGAGGGAGAAAAGAGGATGTTGCAAAGGAGTAGTGGGGACGCAGTCCACTTTTGGCTCCAGTCAAGCCAGGGTAGAGCTGCGGAACACTGAGACCATAGAGGGGGAGCAGATCCAGAACTGGCCTCTGCGGGCCATTTTGACAGGTGCGAAGGGCTGCCTACATGTAAGTTGCCTGGCATCAAGTCACACGATCAGACACAGGCATGTCCCAGCGAAAGAAGAAAGAGTGCAAAAACTTACGGAATATGCAGAAATGGCGAAACTTACCAGAAAAATAAGAAATCAAGGCAACCAACTCTTTAAATAAAAGAATGGAAATGGTTTATTGAATATTTACTAGTAATCTGTAAACAGATAAGAACACTGGCAGGATTATTGTAAAAACCTGCAGTTTTATAAGAGTATATATTTAAAGTAGATGAATTAATGAGCACCGTATTTTTTGCTCTATAGGACGCACCGGACCACAAGACGCACCTAGTTTTTAGAGGGGGAAATCAAGGGGAAAAAAGCCTGTCCGCTTCTCCCAGAGCTTCTTGGGGGTGCGGGGGAAGCCCGGGTTCCCCCCCCCCAGCCCCAAAGAGCAAAGAAGCCAAGACAGCGAGCAGGATCCATCCCGCTGGCTATCTTGGCTTCTGCCATAGCCGCGCAACCTCTCCAGCTGGGAGCTAAACCTCTCCAGTGTGGCTAAAGAAGTGTGGCTAAAGAAGCCAAGGCAGCGAGTGGGATGGATCCCGCTCGCTGCCTTAGCTTCTTTAGCTGTGCGCAGCCTCTCCCAGCTGGAGAGGCTGCGCAAGGCTAAAGAAGAAGCCTCTCCCTGGTGGAGAGGCTGCGCACAGCTATGGCAATTCCCCCACCTCCCGCAAAATCCCACAGGAGCCACGCACGCTTTAAGGAGTGCGCGGCTCCTGCAGGCTTTTTTACAAGGAGGGAAAAGGGATTGACTGGCCGCGTCAGTTCCTTCTCCCTCCTGGGGAAAAGCCCGCAAGAGCCGCACACTCCTTAAAGCGTGCGTGGCTCCTGTGGGCTTTTCCTGCCTGCCTCCCCCACCCCCCTGCATTCACTCCATAGGATGCACAGACTTTTACCCTTAGTTTTTAAGAGGGAAAAAGTGCGTCCTATGGAGCGAAAAATACGGTAAATTAATTTGGAATATGCAGAAATGATAAAAAATAAATTTAAGGAACTGCAGAAAGAGGGGGGAGGAAGTCGAGTTTCGAAATGTTAAAAGGATTGTGAAATCATTGAAATGTGTAAAACTGAAAATCGTAAATAAAATAATTATTATTATTAAAAAAAGATCAGACGCAGGCTTAGCTCCATTCTTAGCAATGTAACTTCCACAGCGCTGAGACCGGAGACAAGCCTCTGCCTGCTGCCATTAAAAGACCTATAAGCAAAGGCTTATCTGTGATCTTAGTACTGTGATGCTAAGCACTAATGTCGGAGATAACAGCTCCCTGATGTCTCATCTTAGCTCTCGGTGCTTAGATTGGAGGCAGCAGATCTCTGTGCCTGGAGCTGCGGAATTCGCTCCTCCAAGAAGCAATGATGGCCGCCAGCTCAGATGGCTTTAAGAGACAAATTTATAGAGGAAAAGGCTGTTGGCAGCTACTAGCCAGGACCGCTATGTACTACCTCTGCTGTCTGAAATATGGGAATCACACTCTGTGCTGTGCTCAGGTCCTGCTTGTGAGCTTCCCAGCTTTTCGGGCCCAGCAGGCACTTCTTATGTCCTTACGACAACTTGCATACTCACTTTGCCACCAGCCAAAAAACAAGCAGAGGTTTCACCTGAGCATACACAGAGGGCCTCTTGCTCCCCCTCTGAGATTAAAGAGGCAGGGTTCTCCGGGTACCACTAGAAGGCCGGAGGGGGAAGAGGGACACCTGTGGGGAGGTGGAGCACACCTGGAAAGGGTCCAAAACGGCATCACCAATGATGCAGAAATGATAAGGTCCACCAGGAGCTCAGCCTACACTTGAGTAGGACCCTGGCAGAGACACATGCCCGACTGGCATGTTCTCTCCTTCCTGGTCGATGGTTCAGGAGCTTCCGCAGAGTCTTCGCAGCTTGCGTAACAGACCTCAGCAACTCAGCATTTTGGCTAATCTACTTTATTTACATATAAACACACATGGAGCACTGCAACATGGCTCCCTCTCTCTCTAGCATCAGACAGCAAAGAGGAAAAGAACAGAGGACAATAGTCCCACTTCACGGAACACAGTAACACAAACATCCTGTCTCTGTCACTTCCCACTCTGTGGAGTCAAAACATACACCGTCATGTGATAGACAACAATCCCATGACTGCAATCATGGAGCAGGAATTCTAACAGAACACACCTGGGAAGGGTCCAAAACGGCATCACCAATGATGCAGAAATGATAAGGTCCACCAGGAACCAGCCTGACTCCTGATGCACCCTCAACCTTTGCTTCCTTGCATGCAGGTGGTTTGAATTTTGTCACCTCCTCTCCCAGGCTGGAGCCACCTTCCGGGAGTAGGCCAATCATCCGTGTCCAGCTGCTTGTGAAGCAGCCACCTCTTCACGTGCCGTTGTACAGACACGTCGTCAGAGTTCCTCTCGGCTCCTCTCTGCTGGACGCGTTGAAAGTTGCAGAGAAGCTGAATACCCCTAAGCGCTTCACGTGAGGCTAATTCCATCTTCATTTGCTTTGGCTGGTGTTAAGGGGGTGGGGGGCAGTGGAAGTATAGGAACTGAGGGAGCTGCCCTCCACCCAGGCAGACCACAGACCCATCCAGCCCAATACTGCCAGCACTGTCTGGCAGTGACTCTCCAAGGTTTCAGACAGGGGTGATTCATAGTCCTACCGGGAGATGCTATGGGGTGGGGCGGGGTTTGAACCCGGGACCTTCTTCATGCATTGTTTTTAGTTTTGATTTACAGTCGTGCCTTGGTTCTTGAACAGAATGCGTTCCGGGATTCCGTTCGACTCCCGGAACCGTTCAAAAACCGATGCGCGGCTTCCGATTGGCTGCAGGATCGTCTTGCAGCCAATCGGAAGCCGTACCGGATGTTCAGCTTCCGAAAATCATTCAAAAACCAGAACACTCACTTCCGGGTTTCGATTGTTTGGGAGCCGATTTCTACGGGAGCCAAGGTGTTTGAGATCCAAGGTACGACTGTAGATGCGTATGCTGTTTTTTTGTGGGGTTTTTAAAATGGTTTATTTGCTTAAGAAAGAACCTACACTTCAATAACATACAAGACGAAAGAAAGGCAGTATAACAAAATAGAAATTAAACATACACACAAATTTCTGTCGTTTCATTCAAAAGAATTATTGTTGGCATTGTTGTTGGGAATGGGGATAGCAACCCCCCCCCCCAATTTTAATTATTTGATTTTGTTATCTATAATGATACGAATGCTTTGTCTTTAAATGTAATTTTATTGCTGTTTTCACTGTATACCACCTTGAGCCAATTGTGTAGAAGGTTACTGATTTTACTTATTGGTTTGTTTCAGAAAATTTATACACCCCTTGCTTGCAAGAAAAGACACCCTCAAAACGATTTCTAATTAATACGTTGATAATGATATTAATAATATAATAAAGCAATCAATGCCTACTAGCTGGCTGTTCTGCCTTCCCTTATCTCTGCCTCTGAATACAAGTTGGTAGCAATCACAAATGCAGAGAGGGATCTTTTATTACGATTATTTATTATTTATTAATTATTATTATACTGCCTTATACCCGGAGATCTCAGGGCGGTTCACAGAAAAGATCACAACAAATGTAATCAGAATAAAAAAACCACCCAATAACACCCCTCCAGAAAAGAGCTACATTTTAAAAGGGCATAGGATGTGAAGGAGGTAAACCAAAGGCCTGGTTAAAAAGGAACATTTTTGCCTGGCATCTAAAGGTGTGTAATGGAGGCATAGCTGTCAAGTGTCCCTTATTTGAAGGGACAGTCCCTTATTCCAGTGCCATGTCCTGCTGCTGTCCCTTATTGATGGATGTCCCTTAAATGTCCCTTAAATGATGTTCCTTAAATTTCAAAGGAAGCAGCTCCTCTCCCTCCCTCCCTGCCGGCCAGGGAGGAGGGAGGCTCCAACTGTGTTGCTTGGCTGTGTTGCTCACCCAATAAGTAGTCTAAGAACGACTGGGGGGTGGAGCTTGTATGCCTTTTGTGTGGCTAGTTAATGCAAGCTGAGGGGTGTTTTGAATGCTGGACGCCATTTTGTTGCACGTGCTGCTGCAAACTTTGCAGTGCAAAGCCAGGTCGGGGAGCCATCTTAAGTTGAGGCTGCATAGGCCTTGTGGTGCATGTGATTCAGATTCTATTCAGTTGAACCTCTGGTTACAAGGTTGGTTGGACAGTGTTCTCGAAGCTACCAGCATGAGTTTGACCAGACTGCAGGAGGACAGGAAGACTGAAGTGCCTGGAACAGGTGAGGCTGCAGGTCCCTTATTTTGGCTGCTGGTCCCTTATTTTCAAGGCTGCTGGTCCCTTATTTTCAAATCTGTAAGTTGACAGCTATGAATGGAGGCCCAAGGTGAACTTCCTTAGGGAGAGCATGCCACAGACAGGGAGCCACTGCAGAGAAGGCCCCGTTCTTGTGTTGCCGCCCTCCGCACCTTTCGAGGAGGAGGCACACGAAGAAGGGCCTCAGAAGATGATTTCAGGATCTGGGTAGGTTCAAATGCTTGGATTGCAAGTTTCCCACATGCAAACTGTTCAGCCACTGTGAGAACAGGATGCTGAGAAGGGAGGTCTCTGGCTGGTCCAGAACAGTTCTTCCATTGTTCCTACACCTGCTCGTTCCTCAGCAATTCATGACAGTTCTTCCTTCTTTTGCTAAACAGGTTTGAGACCCAGAAGACGCTGTCTGGCCCTCTGCTGACCGCAGTGATGGGGGTGAAGCCTCGGGAAGGGGAACGCAAATTCTGGAAGGTTCTCCGAGCTCCAGACACTGCCCTGGAGCAAGGCGAGTGACAGAAGCCCAGCAGCAAAGGAGACCTTTGTCCCATCTCTGGGGCGGGGAGGGAGGGATTGGCTTGGACCAGGCTTTGCCAACCCGGTGCTCTCTGGGTTGTAGCTTTGGGCTACAAATCCCATCAGCCTCAGCTAGCATCACCAATTCCGGCTCTAAACCATTCCCTAGGCTTTGTCCCCACGATTCCAAGCCTGGTTTACACCCTTAGGGACTAAATAATATGCCTGTGCTGAGGGTATTAATTTGAGGGCATAGATTCTCTTGGCAGAACCTTAAAGGTAAAGGGACCGCTGACTATTAGGTCCAGTCGTGGCCGACTCTGGGGTTGCGGCGCTCATCTCGCTTTATTGGCTGAGGCAGCGGGCATACAGCTTCCGGGTCATGTGGCCAGCATGACTAATCCGCTCCTGGCGAACCAGAGCAGCGCATGGAAACGCTGTTTACCTTCCCGCCAGTGCAGTACCTATTTATCTACTTGCACTTTGACGTGCTTTCGAACTGCTAGGTTGGCAGGAGCAGGCACCGAGCAAAGGGAGCTCACCCCGTTGCGGGGATTCGAACCGCCAACCTTCTGATCGGCAAGTCCTAGGCTCTGTGGTTTAACCCACAGCGCCATCCGTGTCCAGAGCCTTACCCTACATCAATTTCTCTGCTTGGGTGTTGCAATTATCGAAGGGCAGTTGAATATATATAGTTTCAATTCTATCCAGGTTTAATTGTTTTTTAATGATTGTATCTCCCCCCCCCCCCCCGGTGTTTTAGCTGTTATTATTTTAGCTGTAAGCCACCTTGAGTCAGGGGGAAAGGAAGGGTGTTATTAGTAGTAGTACAGTGGTACCTCGGGTTAAGAACTTAATTCGTTCTGGAGGTCCATTCTTAACCTGAAACTGTTCTTAACCTGAGGTACTTTAGCTAATGGGGCCTCCCACTGCCGCCGCGCGATTTCTGTTCTCATCCTGAAGCAAAGTTCTTAACCCGAGGTTCTATTTCTAGGTTAGCGGAGTCTGTAACCTGAAGTGTCTGTAACCCGAGGTACCACTCTAGTAGTAGTAGTATTACAGTAGTACCTTGGAAGGCGAACAGAATCCGTTCCAGAAGTCCATTCGACTTCCAAACGTTCGTAAACCAAGGTGCGGCTTCCGATTGGCCGCAGGAAGCTCCTGCAGCCAATCGGAAGCCGTGGAAGCCCCGTCAGATGTTCAACTTCCACAGAACGTTCATAAACAGGAACACACACTTCCGGGTTTGCGGTGTTTGGGATCCAAAACGGACGAGTACCAAGGCGTTCAGGATCCAAGATACGACTGTATTGTTAATGCACACAGCATTGGCCTTGCATAGCCAGCAGATTTAATTCAGTCTCGAGCTTTGTTGCATTTCCAGAAGGTGTTGAAGGTGGCTTGAATGTTACAGGCACTGAGAGGTGGATGCATGAATGCATTCACTTCTGCTTGGAATGATTTATCTTTAAGCATATGTCTGCAAACCTAAGGTCTAGGAACTTAACATTTTTATTTGAAAAACTGAGATTGTCAGCGGATGGAATTCTGCACTTTATTTCTCCACTCCCATATCATTGCAGCAAACCCAAAGTCCTGGGGAGGAGCTAGAGGAGGATTTGGTCTTCGAAGTTCCTCTCTGTCCTTACAGCCTCGTCTTTTGCCCTCCTGTTTTGCAGGTATCGCAGACTACATCCCACAAAACGAAGAAACCATCCTCTTCAAATTTAGCCCTTGGTAGAAACAGCCCACACTCTGATTGATTGGCTCTCTGCTATCTCTGCCTCAACTGGCTCGCAGGACACATAAAGACACCAGCACAGAGGGAGCAATGAAGAAATCATGAAACAACAATGGGACACAAGCTCTGCCCGAGACATAACGGAGAACAGCAACAACTGATTGACACAATATATTACAAGGACAGGAAGAAACATTACGGACAGAATAATTGCCACACCCAGGAAAAACAAGAAGAGCGTTTGAATGCTTCACCTGTAGCTGTATAAATCATTTAATGTGCCAATACAAATGGAAGTCTTTAAAACTGCAGCTGGCGATATAAAGGATTGTTATTTTGACCAGAACGTAATTGGAATTCATAAGATTTTGGAACGCAGAAATGAAGTAAACCTTCAAATAATCAATTCTAGCACGTGGGAGATCACCTTAATTGTATAATTTGGCATCTCAGTGATTGGTATTATTAATTGTATTATAACTTGGCAATGTTAGAATGAGGCTAGTATTGGATTATTGTAATTGAAAACTAATAAAAATTATTTTCCATTCTTTTACAGTAATTCTTTTGGACTTCCACCCAACATTCCATGACAGTTCTTTGTACATTTCAATTAGCTGCACATGTAGTAATATATTCGGCTTATTTTCAACCTTCTCATATCCTTTATATTATCAACTGCTAGTCAGAAGATATCCCCTACTTGTATTTAAGATTGAATTTTTGTAAATATTCCCCTAAATACTCCCACTCACTCCTTGTCTGATTCATCATCTACATTTCTTATTTTGGGTGTCATATTTGCAAACTTAGCATATTCAATGAGTTTGTTTAACATTGTTCTTTCCCTGGGGTCTCTGTTTCCAGTATCTTGCGTATAATATCCTTGCAGCTGTTGTAGCATATAAGTTACAGGCTTTTTTTTGCTAACTCATTCCCATTTATACCAAGAAGGAATGCTTCCGGTTTTTTTAGGAAATGTAAATAATAATAAAAAATTTAGCTCGTTGTACACCAGAGCCTAGGGCTTGCCGATCAGAAGGTTGGCGGTTTGAATCCCCGTGGCGGGTGAGCTCCTGTTGCTCGGTCCCAGCTCCTACCAACCTAGCAGTTCGAAAGCACGTCAAAGTGCAAGTAGATAAATAGGTACCGCTAAAGTGCAAGTAGATAAATAGATACCTGGGAAGGTAAACAGTGTTTCCATGCGCTGTTCTGGTTTGCCAGAAGCGGCTTAGTCATGCTGGCCACATGACCTGGAAGCTGTATGCCGGCTCCCTCGGCCAATAAAGCAAGATGAGCGCCGCAACCCCAGAGTCGGCCACGACTGGACCTAATGGTCAGGGGTCCCTTTACCTTTACACCATTTGCCCACTTGCATTTCTACCATAAGTGAAAAAAATATACTCTCAGCTTCTAGGCATTGCTTTGAGCTGCCGTGGGGAAAAAACAAACAAACAAACACGCACATAAATAAATAAATAAATAAAAATATATTTTTATATAAATTTATTTATATAAATAAATACACACACACATTTTAAAAACATGGATCCACTCCGAAACTGCAATCTCTTCCCAAGCCTTGCTTGGGCACGGCAGCAGCCTCTGCGCCATCACGCTGCTGGCCTCTGCGCACAGGCGGCGGTGCGGGCGCAATTTTGCGCGCGGAGCCGCGGGAGACAAGGCAATGTTACCTCTCCTCTTCCTCCGGTGCGCCCCCCACCCGCGGCCAGGAGGCGGCGCCGGCGAGACGGCTTTGGCCAGCAGGCTCCCGTTTTAGCTTTGCTAGGCGGAGGGGGCGGGAAAGAAACCCTGCAAAGCGATTGCGCTCCCCGCTTCTCCTTTTTCTCCATCGCTTTCCTTTCTCCCCTCGACTTGCCGCCTCCGGGGGGTTATTGCAAGGATACCGGAGCAGGAGCAGCAGCGCATCCTCGCCTGGGAAGGGAGCGTGGGAAAGGACGCCCAAGGGCAAGGAGGGACCCGATCTCGGATGCGGAGCCCGGGGGTCTGTGCGTGGTCCCAGCCACCGGCTCGCCCCGGCTCTGCCTCACCTTCTCGGGAGAGCGATCCTTTGGGGACCCAGGAGCCGGCGCCCCGCCCGGCTGGCTGCGATGGAGCTGCGCCTCACCCCGCCTTACCTGAAGGTAAGAGTCACCTTGAGGGCGCCGCACTCTTCCCCTCCACCCGCATCGCCCTCCTCTGGCCGGTATGGTTGCTTCCCGGGCCTGCGGAGAGTTCAGACGTGACGCCGTTCCTAACCCAGGGAGACGCTTGGAGGCGTGTGCCGGGTCTCCCTGGACGGGGCCGGTGGATGCCAGGACTCCAGGAGCCATCGAAAACGGGAAGAAGAGCGCAGGGATTAAATGATAATAATAATAATAATAATAATAATAATTAATAATAATTTATACCCTGCCCATCAGGGTATCCCCAGCCACTCTGGGCGGCTTCCAACAAAACACTAAAATACAATAACCTATTAAACATTAAAAGCTTCCCTAAACAGGGCTGCCTTCAGATGTCTTCTAAAAGTCTGGTAGTTGTTTTTTTGTTTGACATCTGGTGGGAGGGCGTTCCATAGGGCGGGCGCCACTACTGAGAAGGCCCTCTGCCTGGTTCCCTGTAACTTGGCTTCTCGCAGCGAGGAAACCGCCAGAAGGCCCTCGGCACCGGACCTCCGTGTCCGGGCAGAACGATGGAGATGGAGATGCTCCTTCAGGTATACTGGACCGAGGCCGTTTCGGGCTTTAAAGGTCAGCACCAACACTTCTGAGTAAACACAGGATGCTGCCTTATTCTGAGCCACGTCTACGGGTCCAGCCAGCTCAGTGCTGTCTGCACTGACTGGCAGCAGCAGCCGCTGTCCAGGGATCCAGGCAGGCAGCCTTTCCACCCCCAGCCTTAGCTGGAGATGCTGCCAAGGAATTTGAACCCGGGATCTCCTGCATGCAAGGCAGATGCTCTTCCATCCAGCTGTGTGGCCTTTCCCCCTTTTGCTACCAGAACTAGAGAATCTGTGATTCCTGACTCCTAATTAGTTTGGGTCTGTGCAAATTGGGCTCCAGGTATTAATCTGTGTGCAGTTCACCCAGGGGTTTTTGCCTTGTGATGTTGATATCAGTTGAGAAGCCAGGCAAAAGGTCAGCCTATGGAGGAAGGACAATATACAAAATTTAATTAATAATAATAATAATAATATGTGTCAGTTGTTTCTTTTTTCACCCAGGTCCCCACCTGTTTAGGGTTTAAACCAGGGGAGGCAACCTAAGGCTCAGGGGCCGGATGCGGCCCAATCGCCTTCTAAATCCGGCCCACGGACGGTCCAGGAATCAGTGTGTTTTTACATGAGTAGAATGTGTCCTTTTATTTAAAATGCATCTCTGGGTTATTTGTGGGGCATAGGAATTTGTTCACCCCCCCCAACATATAGTTCGGCCCCCCGCCCATGGTCTGAGGGACGGTGGACCGGCCCCCTGCTGAAAAAGGTTGTTGGTTTAAACCAACCTTCCTAAACCTATTTTAGAATCATAGAATAGAATCATAGAGTTGGAAGAGACCACAAGGGCCATCGAGTCCAACCCCCTGCCAAGCAGGAAACTTTTATTTCCAGCTGTTTTATTTCCAGGTTTCTTGGGGTTTGTGGGTGGTTTAAATGTGCCTTAAATGCATGGTGAGTACAGAGCCTTAGACTACAATTCCCATGAGGCCCCAGCAAACACCGCTGCTTTGAAGCGGCATGTATCACCAGCTTATGGCATTTCCACCCCATATATTAAAGTACTGTACATTCAACACACGCTTAAAGCCCGTGACTCCCACCAAAGAATCCCGGGGAGTTGTAGTTTGTTCTGGGTGCTGGGAATTAAAGTTCTGGAGGGGGGGACTACCATTCCCAGGATGCCTTGGGTGAAAGCCATGTGCTTTAAATGTATATTGAATATAATTTTGGTAGTTTCACAGCCCTCAGAAGTTTGGTGGGGGTGGCAGGCCAGGACGGGGCTTTCTCAGTGGCAGCCCCTAAATTGTGGAACTCCCCACAGAGGTGCATCTGACAGCTTCATTACATGGCTCTCAGAGAGTGCTGAAGACACACCTCTTCACCCCAACCTTTGACACCTGAAATATGTGTGTTTGCAAGGCCTACCCTATTCCCGTGACAGCAATCTGCATTTTTTTATTCTTTATTTTATTTTATTTTATTAACATTTAAAACACATACATTTACATTTACACAATACATATACACAACACACTACCTTATTTTCATAGCGTAAAACTCTATATAATACCTAATAATACCTACCTATACTATACATATCAACATACCAACACACCTACAACATACCTACCCCACACGGACACCCACCAAGTGACTTGACTTCCAGCTGTTCTTGTTACGCTACTTTATTTTAGCAATTAGCTTAAATGCATTTCGTTATTTCTTTAATCTCTTCTTCTATCTTAACTTTACTCTCCTTTCGCTCTAATCATTTTCTGGATTCACTCAATATCCGTCAAAAGTTCTACTTTTTCCACATAGATTTTGATGTATTCCTTAAAGACAGCCCACTCCTTATTCACTTTTTGTACCATATCTCCTCTTTTTTATTCTTAATTTTAAATCGTCGTAACTCACCCTGGAGCTCCTGCCAAACGGCGAGTAATAAATTTATGAATAGTACCGATCAAGAAAGCAATGAATGCGTGCTTTAAGCGGCTGTGGCTTCCATCACCATTTTGAAAGCACTTTTGGACACATATTGAAAGCACATAGTTTCCCCTTCCAAGAATCATGGGAACTGTAGTTTGTTCTGGGTGCTGGGAATTGTAGTTCGGCAGGAACAACCGTTTCCAGGATCCTTGAGTGGGGTGGAAGCCATGTGTTTTAAAGGCACAGCGTGGCACAGTCTCTCTCTCTCTCTCTTTCTCTTTTGGATTGCTATGTTTCCATGGCGACTGGGTTTTTTGTTTAGGATGCTCTCCTGACTGCTCTTTCTTTCCGCTGCTGCTGCAGCCGGTCTGTATGATCTTTTTCCTCCCACAGGGACAAACCGCAGATGAGTCGGCCTGGGCGGGCCCACAAACCGCTTGGGCTGCCTGGCCTTGATCACTTTAAGGAGGCAGACACATGACCCATTGTTGTTGTTGCTGCCGCAGTCCCAGGATACGAGAGGGAGGAGCTTCGCTGCCAACCTCCCAGCCAGCCCATCACACTTTCCACTGCCTTCCTCCTCTCCGCCCGGCATCCTTACACAAGGCTAGCCGGCAGCAGAAGTGGCTCAGCCTCTCCTGAAGTGGGACAGCATCTCTCTCTGTAGGCGGCAGGCCAGCCCAAAGACTCCAGGGATCTCATCTGTTGTGTGTCGTCCTACAGAATGAGGCTTGCCGAGTGTCTAGAAGCCGCTGGATTCCTGTCCCACCGGAGCTGACAAGGTGCCGGACGTCGCAGGAGCTGGAGGTCGCAACCGAAGGTGATTCTACAACGTCCAGGCACATCCAGGGCGTTTCTCCTCTGTCTGCTCCAGATTCCTCCTGAGAAAGCCAGAGGGATCCTCGCTCGCTCCCGGCCGGGACTGGAAATTGGATACTGGTGAGTCACTGGGAGTGACTTTTGGAGAGGAGTCAGGAAGGGGGAAATAGCTGAGCAGGACATGGCAAACTTTGTGTGGGCACCAAAACCAGCCAGGAGACAGTGAGCTCAGGCAATATGATTATATTTATTTATTTATTTGCCAGCTTTCCCCCAGACTGGGACTGAAGGCAGCTTTCACAAATTAGAACAACACCGATAAAATACAAAAAGCTAAAAACGTGTAACAGGTAATTGTTAAAAAGGAATTGAATTCCATAACAGAATTAAAACAAATCTACAGTGGTACCTCAGGTTACATACGCTTCAGGTTACATACGCTTCAGGTTACAGACTCCGCTAACCCAGAAATAGTGCTTCAGGTTAAGAACTTTGCTTCAGGATGAGAACAGAAATTGTGCTCCGGTGGCGCGGCGGCAGCAGGAGGCCCCATTAGCTAAAGTGCTGCTTCAGGTTAAGAACAGTTTCAGGTTAAGTATGGACCTCTGGAATGAATTAAGTACTTAACCTGAGGTACCACTGTATTAAAATGCTGATAGTGAAAACAGCACCTTAAAAGTAGTAATTTCCCGAAGGCCTGTTGGAATGAAAGTCTTCACCTGCCATTGTAAGGACAGCAAGGAGGGAGCCAGTCTGGCCTCCCTGGGGAAGGAGCTCCAATGTCTGGGAGCAGCCACTAAGAAGGCTCTGTCCCATGTTCCCACCGAGCATTCCTGTGTGGGTGGAGGGACCGAGAGAAGGGCTTTGCTCAAAGATCTCAGAGCCTGGGCAAGTTCAGATGGGAGAATATGGTCCTTCAGATAACCTAAGCCGTATAAGACTGACACCAGGGTTAGTTGGATGATTGTTTCCGGATAACCTTTTGTCTCTAGGCTCACAGCTGTTTGCACAGGGACTCTGTCCCTTGTGCTGATGCCAGGCTGCCGCCCCCGATGTGCCCACCCTCTCCGGGGAGAAGAAATGAAGCAGAGATGAACGCTGGCAATGGGGCACGACCCCTCTCTCCCTGGAAGCTGGATCCGCTGCCGCGTGGGGGGCAAAGGCCCCCCGAACCGTCCCGGCACGCTCTGCCCCTGGTCTTCACGGTCTTCATCTGGCTGGCCACAGGGACCACCATGTCCAGCCTCAACAAGTGGATCTTTGCCGTCCACAACTTCCGCTACCCGGTCTTGCTCTCCTCCCTGCACATGTTGACGGCCGTGGTGGTGGGCAACCCTTTGGCGAAGCTGCGAGCCGGCAGGGCCGGGCACCCCGCCCCGTGCCCTGGAGCCAAGGGCAGGGTTTTCCTGCTGAGCCTGACTTTCTGTGCCAGTGTGGCCTTTGGGAACCTGGGACTGAACTATGTCCAGCTGGACTTTGCCCAGATGGTTTACACCACGACGCCGTTCTTCACCCTGACCCTCTCCAAGGTGCTGCTGGGGAAACACCACCACCCCCTGCAGTACGTGGCCATGGGGCCCATCTGCCTGGGGGCTTCCTTGAGCATTGTCGGGGAGGTGCATTTTGACCAAGCCGGCTGCTGCTTCCTGTTTGCCGCCACTTTCCTCCGCGGGCTGAAGTCCATACAGCAAAGTGAGTGTCTTGCGTGGCTGCGTGTGGGCCGCAGTTCCTGTGGGTGGGTGGCCTGTGTGGAACGTTGGCCCTTCTTAAAGGTAAAGGGTAAAGGGACCCCTGACCAGTCGTGGCTGACTCTGGGGTTGCGGTGCTCATCTCGCTTTATTGGCTGAGGGAGCCGGCGTACAGCTTCCGGGTCATGTGGCCAGCATGACTAAGCCGCTTCTGGTGAACCAGAGCAGCGCACGGAAACGCCGTTTACCTTCCCGCCGGAGTGGTACCTATTTATCTACTTGCACTTTGACGTGCTGTCGAACTGCTAGGTTGGCAGGAGCAGGGAACGAGCAACGGGAGCTCACCCTGTGACGGGGATTCGAACCGCCAACCTTCTGATCGGCAAGTCCTAGGCTCAGTGGTTTAACCCACAGCGCCACCCGCATCCCATGGCCCTTCTTAAGGGTCCTTTTTAAAGTGAGTTTCTAGTCTGGGAGTCATTTTAGACTCACAGGTGTCCAGGGACGTGTAGGTCATTTCTGTGTCCAGGGCAGCTGTCTACCAGCTCCATCTGGTACGCAGGCTAAGACCCTACCTGCCCGCAGACTGTCTCGTCAGAGTGGTGCATGCTCTAGTTATTTCCCGCTTGGACTACTGCAATGCACTCTACGTGGGGCTACCTTTGAAGGTGACCCAGAAACTGCGGCAGCTAGACTGGTGACTGGGAGTGGCCGCCAAGACCATATAATACCGGTCCTGAAAGACCTACATTGGCTCCCAGTACGTTTCCAAGCACAATTCAAAGTGTTGCTGCTGACCTTTAAAGCCTTAAAAGGCCTTGGTCCAGTATACCTGAAGGAGCGTCTCCACCCCCACTGTTCTGCCCGGACACTGAGGTCCAGCGCCGAGGGCCTCCTGACAGTTCCCTCTCTGCGAGAAGTGAGGTTACAGGGAACCAGGCAGAGGGCTTTCTCGGTAGTGGCACCCACCCTGTGGAACACCCTCCCACCACATGTCAAGGAAATAAACAACTATCTTACTTTTAAGAGACATCTGAAGGCAGCCCTATTTAGGGAAGTTTTTAATGTTTGATGTTTTATCATGTTTTTAATATTCTGTTGGAGCCACCCAGAGTGGCAGGGGAAACCCAGCCAGATGGGTGGGGTATAAATAAATTATTATTATAGTCCTTATGGCTGCAGAGATGTGCTTGAAAGCATGTGGGTGAAGAATATGAGTGCTCTGTTTTAGTTCTCCCTGGGAATAAATAATGGAGGAATTATGCCAATAGAGCAAATCTGCAAAACGTCTCTTGTTTTGCATTAAGCAGAGTCCAGCCCTCCCCAGAATTCTAATTGCATTGAAACCACAGCCAGATTCGAACCTGGAATCGCTCGTTTCGTTTGTGTGCTGAAACTTAAAACGCTGAGCAGGGCAGAAGGCATGTTTTGTTTTTGGGATGCTAAATCTTTGCCGGGAGGTTTTCAGAAGGGAATACTTTATCCTTTGCTGGGCTGTTGTCTTGGAAATGGGATAGCTCATTCCAGTTTGTGTGTAACTTAAACATACAGCCTTCTGAACCTTCTAGTGGTAGAGCTAGGTCAGAGTCACGCCATCTATTCAAAGCACCACAAATGCCACTTTAAACGGTCAAAGCTTTCCCCCAAGAATTCTGGGGGTTGTAGTTTGTTAAGGACTCTGGGAGCTTGTTAGGAGATACCTATTCCCCTTCCAGAGCTGGAGCTCCCACAGTTTCCTGGGAAGAGGGATTGATTGTTAAAGCACTTTGGGGAAGAGTTTTTCCTAACAACTCTCACCGCCCTTAACAAACTACAATTCCATGACTAAAGTGGGATCATAGTGCTTTAAATGGATGGTGTGAATGTGACCCTACACCAGTGAATCTCTATGCCAGTGATGGCCAAACCTGGCCCTCCAGCTGTTTTGGGACTACAGTTCCCATCATCCTTGACCACTAGTCCTGTTAGCTAGGGATGATGGGAGTTGTAGTCCCCAAACAGCTGGAGGGTCAAGTTTGGCCATCACTGCTTTATGCATTTTTCCAGCTGCTGCCTGGCAGGCGTTTGGGACTACAATTCCCATTAGTCCCGGCCAGGGCTGATGGGAGCTGTCGGTCACAACAGCCTTGCTGGCTAAGACTGATGGGAACTATAGTCCAAAACACTTGGAGGGCATCAACTTGGGAAAGGCTACTCCCTAAAACATCATCTCTGGGCTGGGCTCTTGTCTCCAGTGCAGGGTTGTGCAAATTTAACATGTACTTCCTCATTCTTGCTTGGTCATCTAGATGCTCAGAGAAATGTAAGTGGCTGTTTACTTTTGGATAAGAGGCCACTGGGGGCTTTATGATGGATTTATTTTTATTTCAAAAACACATCTTTTTAAAAAACAACAACAACAACACCCACATATACAGTTTGGAAAAGGTCAGGACTCAAGGGCCTAGTTCTCAGTGAGGTGGTGAACCTGCGTTAGGGCTGTACTGATTCAAATTGCGGGTTTGGGACTCCCAAGATTGAATGTTCCTCTGTACAAAAGGATTCAATGCACATAAGGAGTGAGCTTTCTCCTTGACCTGCTGGTTTTCTATGTGTGGGGAGTTTCCTACCTGTGAGAGAGCATTTCAAGGCATGAGGTTTCCTCCCCCAAAATCTATTATTATTATTATTATTATTATTATTATTATTATTATTATTTTATTACTTATACTCCTCCCATCTGGTTGGGTTCCCCTAGCCACTCTGGGCAGCTTACAACATATCAAAAAACAGTTGTATGAAGCTGGGACTGATGGGTTGCTTGGCCGTCCTGGCTGGGGCTGATGGGAGTTGTAGTCCAAAGCAACACCAGGGTGCCACGTTGAAGAAGTCCATGCCATGTCGAGGAGCGGTCATGCCTCGGGGAAGTTCTCTCCTGCCTCCTGTGTGCTTTTCTTTCCCTCCTCAGCCCCTCTCTGAATTTGGTGTTTGTGAATTTGGTGTCCAGCTCCGAGGGCCTTCTGGCGGATCCCTCCCTGCCAGAAGTGAGGTTGCAGGGAACCAGGCAGAGGGCCTTCTCGGTAGTGGCACCCGCCCTGTGGAACGCCCTCCCATCAGATGTCAAGGAAATAAACAACTATCTGACATTTAGAAGACATCTGAAAGCAGCCCTGTATCGGGAAGCTTTACAGTAAATGTTTGATATGATTTATTATTATTATTATTATTGGTAAAGGGATCCCTGACCATTAGGTCCAGTCACAGACAACTCTGGGGTTGCGGTGCTCATCTCGCTTTATTGGCCGAGGGAGCCGGTGTACAGCTTCCGGGTCATGTGGCCAGCATGACTAAGCCGCTTCTGGCAAACCAGAGCAGCACACAGAACCACCATTTACCTTCCCGCCAGTGCAGTACCTATTTATCTACTTGCACTGGCATGCTTTCGAACTGCTAGGTTGGCAGGAGCAGGGACCGAGCAACGGGAGCTCACCCCATCACGGGGATTCGAACCGCCGACCTTCTGATCGGCAAGTCCTAGGCTCTGTGGTTTAACCCACAGCACCACCCGCGTCCATTATTATTATTATTATTATTATTATTATTATATTTTATATCTCTCACCCCAGGTACCTTCCTGCAGGAGGAGCGGCTGGACTCGCTGACCTTGCTCTGCCTCACTTCCCTGCCCAGCTTCTACATCCTCTTTGCGGCCGCCCTGGTCCTGGAGGTGGGGCCCGCCTGGGACGGCACCCTGGCCTACGGAGGGGGCCTCTGGGCCTGTGTCCTGCTCAGCTGCCTGGGCTCGGTGCTGTACAACTTGGCCAGCTTCTACGTCATCTCGCTGACGTCGGCCCTCACCATCCACGTCCTGGGGAACTTCAACGTGGTGGGCAACCTCCTGCTCTCCCACTTCCTCTTTGGCAGCCGCCTGACGCTGCTCAGCTACGCGGGCATCGCCCTCACCCTCTCCGGGGTCTTCATGTACCATCACTGTGACTGCATCGCCTCCTGCTGGCGCTCCAGGGGTGGGCGGGGCAAAGAGGAGTAAGCAGAGAGAGGGAGGACGTGATTGGAGCTGTGACTGCCAATCGCGGGAGCCATAGGGCCAATGGGGTAGGGGCCTGCCCCGCCAACCTCAGCCTGCTCTTGTCCAGCCCCCATCTGGTCCAGGAGGGTTGGCACTGGCTGCCCGCTTCCTGCTCCCTGGTCTCAGTGTCGCTCAGCCGGGAGCAGGACGGGGACAAAACTAGAATGAGTTGACTCAGCCTGCTCTCTGGCGCCACCTACTGTTGGGCTCCCTGCTTTCTGCCCTACCGGTGGGCACCGGCCGCCACGAGGAGTTAGGGTGACTCTGAATACCCGTTGTTGGGAATTGCAGGTGGGCAGAGTGTCGGTTTGCTCAGGTCCCGCTTGCAAGCTTCCAATTGGGGCATCTGGTTGGCCACTGTGAGAACATGATGCTGAACTAGATGGGCTTGATTCAGCAGAGTTGCTCTTATGTTCTTACACCACCACTGCAGGCGGTGGCACTGCCGGCCATCTTCCTCCCCTCGGTGTTGCCCTTGCGGAACTGCAGAAAGGAGGACGGGGACAAAAGCTGCAATTAGTTGGCTCTGCCTGTCGTTGGCTGTGGCGCCACCTACTGTTGGGCCTCCCTGCTTTCTGTCCTGCCAATCCCAATGGGTGCCAGCCACTACTGCCGCTGTGGGAAGGTGTGCCTCTCCTCTCTGATGGATCATAGCATGCCTCTGGTACGTTGCGGGGGGACAGTGGGTGCTCATGATCAGCAGATGCCAGAATTGTGGGAAGGCTTATCCTCCTCCAAATAACTCAGTCCCACCTGACCCCTGAGCCATTTTACGCACTGGGCAAGAGCTACAGCAGATGGTTTTTAGAGGAAGCCAGGAGATGCCACCTCTGCCCACCGAAGGATTTGACGGCACGGGGTGCAGGGATTAGATGCTGCGTATCTGAATTCTCACCTACATAGAATCTTTTTAAAAAAATATATTTTAGAAATCCCTGCCCCTAGAAAGCCAGCATTTTGGAAGAGAGAGGGTTCTCTTCTCATTTTCTCCCTGATGTGCTAGATTTCTACACGCAGGTAGTCTCCCCAGCTCCTCTGAGGCAGATAATTCAAACATGCAGACTCTGGGGAAGAGAGAAGGGAAGAGCGGACCTGCCTCAGCAGACCTTCCTGGCACCAGCCGCTACTTCTCATAGGGCTAAAAATTGGGGGGAAACCAAGTGTTTTCTTCTTTTTAAAAAATGTTGAGACTTGAATGTGTGCTGGACTGCACCTCTGATCTCCGCAAGCCGCTTTGCAGCCATGCCAATTCTCGTGCCAGTTCCTCTCCAACCCCTCCTAGGGCACTGTGGGATTGATGCCCGCAGAGGGAGGTGGCGCAGAGTTCCTCCTTTCCTTGGGTAGGGCTCCCCACTAGGTACTAAAGTACTGAATGAGGAGCTCCCATATAGGAGGAACATGGAGATGAAAAGTGGTGTGTTCAGGACATGCATGTGTGTGTGTGTGTGTGTGTCTATTTCCGTTCTCTACTGCCACCTGGTGGGGTGGCGTATAGTGCAATTTTTATGGATGGATGTTTTATTTCTGTGCTGCCTGCTAGTGAGTTAAGGGTGTGTGTGTTTGAGAGAGAGAGAGAGCGCATGCACATTTGCTTATGAGTAGACACCCATTAATATTTCCTTATCCTCACTGGGCTACAACAAGGATGAGGAGATCTGCAGCCCTCCAGTTTCCGTTGGACTACAGCTCCCATCAGCCCCAGCCATCCTTGTCAATGGTTAGGGATGATGGAAATTGTAGTCCCAGCATGTAGAGGACTATAGAGGTCCCCCCATTCCTGGACTAGGTAACTCCTTAGGGTGCTCATTTGCTTTCGGTGGATGAAGAAAATCTTTACTTGTGGCTTGTGTGAATATATTCGAAGGGCATTTTCCACCTGCCCACCAGATTCACTGAAATCCTCTGATAAATGGGCACCCATTAAGCCCACTGGTAGTGGGTGAAAATGGTCAGTATTACGCTCCATGGGGTAAAATGCTTTTGGACACGTTTGTTTTTGTTTACTTGTTGTTTCAGGGTGGGGATGCACCCCGTTTTTGAAGGAGTCAAGATCAATCTGTGCATGCAGATCAAATCACATGGCGCAGAATTCTCTTGGACCAATTTCTGCTTGCACGTGGAAGTCTAGCATGTGAGGGGGTGACAGTTCTAGCCCACCCGAACTCCCTGGGAGGCTAGCTTTCTACACGCAGGGAAGTGTTCACTCTGCATTCTTTGGTGTCCGTTCCTGCGGTTCGACGTGGAACTCATGTGTCATGTGGTTCACCAGCAAGTGTTGGTTGGCTTTCAGCCACTCCTATAGAAGTGGATTGTCGTTTCCCCCTTACGACACTGGCTGTCCTGCTTTGTGTTTTACATTCTCTCCAAGCGGAGGCTAATGTGCATATCCGTAATGTCTGCAAGATGCGCCAATGTCGGCTTGCTGTCATTTATAGCAAAGGGGGTTCGATAATCTGTGTGTGTGTGTGTTGGTCAGGCTTCTCTGACCTGGCGCTCTCCAGACGTTTTGTTCTTCCATTTCTACCAGACCCTACCAGCATAGCTGTTCTGAACTACAACTACAGCCATTCTGGCTGGGGGCTGCTGGGAGCTGTAGTCAAAACATTTAAGAGGATGTTTTGGAGGAAGGCTGGGTTCCAGATATCACGGGCAGAGCCAACACATTTGTGCCTGGTGAAAAGGCTGTGGATACAGGCATTTCGCTACTCAAGTGTAAAGGGAAACATAAAGGCTGAACTGATCCCCACATAGCCTGCCAGAATCAATTTGGTGCAGCAGAAAGAACTGTTAGCAGATTAATAAGATTGCCACTAGAAGGCTAGCCGTGAGCACTCAGCAGTGCTGGGTGGGTGTGTGGCCAAATGTTTTTGCCAGTGTGTAAATTATTCAACTTTTTTTTTTATTTACAATATGTGTGTGTCTTTTTTGGGAGGGGGGAAGGGTCAAATTAGGTTCAGCCCTACCACTTTTGTGCCTGAGATAAAAATTTGCAAGGCACCACCTTTGTCCACTGACATGAGGAAAAGTCAATATGACGATTCCTCTGGATATGTTCATATAGGGCTGAGTAAAAGTGTTTGAAAGTGCTGGTGGATCAGGTCTGTCTGTCCTACTAGTACCCAAAATATATCGGCTGGAACAGCCACTCCTAGTGTCTGTCCTCTGTCCACTGTCGGAGGCAGTATGCAGGGGAAGGTAGAAAAAAACCACCACTGTTGAGGAATTCAGTATTGAGAGTTCTTGGGCTTCTGGTCTTTTCTGGCCTCCTGTTTATGGATTGATAGAAGGGCAAAGGTCTCCTCACAATACCATTTGTTTCATAAAACCAGATTTCTATGGTGTGAGGTCGGCCCTGTGTCATTGTTAACTGCTGCCTGAGTTGTCCATAAAGCACAAGGTATTTTGTGACAACCGGAGTGGTGTAGTTGTGAAAAGTGTCTAATTGGGACCCCGGGAAATTTGAGTTCCTGTTCTCACTCAGCCATGAAGCCCACTGGGTGACTTCAGGCCAGTCACACTTTGGACATAACTATCCTGGCTTCATACCCCATGGTTTGGGAAACTGGGAAACAGGGAAACTGTAGTTTGGTTCACCAGTATTAACTTAGGAAGCTGCCTCACACAGAATCAGAGACTGCCGGTCCACCTAGCTCAGAATTGCCTACGCGGGCTATCGGCGACTCTCCAGAGTTTCAGATCTGAGACATCACCACCAGCCCTACCTGGAAATGCCAGGGATTGAACCCATGGCCTTCTGCTTGCAAGGCAGATGTTCTGCCACTGAGCTACGGCCCTTTCCTTGAAGCCACCAGGGGAGAGGAAGGAGTTTGTAGGCTCGGTTTCACAAACCATGGTTTCCAAAGCCAGGATCGTTACATCCTGACTGACCGTGTCTGTCAGCTTAGCCTACCTCACAGGGTTTTGTGGTGAGCATATAAAGGGTAGGCAGAGGACCTCATATGCCAAGCTGAGGTCCTCAGAGGGAGAGTGTTAACAAAATCACCACCGTAGTGGAGGCATTGCCATTGTATCTGTCCGGTTTCCTGTCTGGTGATGCCGTCGCCGCTCTCGTCCCCGACCCTTCCTTCAGCAGTGAGCGATCCTTGCCGTATCACACCCGGCCTGAACCGTCCCAGCTAGGGACACGTGTCAAGTTCTCCTTTCGTGAAGCGTCCGGGTCATGCCATCCGATCAACGAGATAACGGGCGACTGAGGGAACCTCTGGCGCAACCAGAGCACAAAGAAGGCCAAGCCGGCCTCTCCGGTTTCATTTGCCCTTCAAATAAAGCTCTATTTTTGTCTTACTTGAGCGGTTGTGCTTGTGTCCTTGAACGACCTGAGGAAGGGAGGGAAACAGAGATGTGGGCGAGAGGGAGAGCCGGAGCCCACTCCTCCACCTCCAGCAGCTGTTTTGAGAAAAGAAATAGCTCTACATCAGGAAAGAGGATAATTCCCCAAGGTCTTTGCCCTTCTGTTGCCAGAGAAGGCGGGTGATGCAGGAAAATGCCTGTTCCTGCCCATCACGGATGGTTGCCATGGCAGCCGGTCACATGAAAGGCTTGCTTTTGCCAGCAGCAAACTCAAGGGGAGGTTTTTCATCCTACACCGGGGGGGGGGGTGAAGCACCTTTTTCGGCCCGATGGCCATCTTCTCTTCCGGGCAACGGTGCCAGGGGTAGGTGGGACTGGAGGCAAAGATGGGAGGAGAAACAAATACGAGTTTTGACTTACTGTATATATACTAGGCAGGTTCCTACTCACACTCAAACACAGCTCCATCTGCTGTTCAGGCAAGCAGGAGGCATTATCAGAGTTCAAGGGCACATTCCAGCCTGGCAAAAACACTCAAGGCCAGATAGGAAGCAAAGCTGGTGAAGGACAGGGCCTGGGGACAGGGAGTGTAGCCTGGAGAGCATTCCAAAAGCCAGATAGGCCTGGAGGGTCACACTGACTCCCCGCCAGGCCTGAGGTTCCTCACCCCCCAATGTATGGAATAAATGGAGGCAGCAGATCAAGCCAAATCTTAGGTCAGGAGTCAGCAGACTTTTTGAGCAGGGGGCTGGTCCACTGTCCCTCAGACCTTGTGGGGGGCCGGACTATATTTTTTTGGGGGAAATGAACGAATTCCTATGCCCCACAAATAACCCAGAGATGCATTTTAAATAAAAGCACACATTCTACTCATGTAAAAACACGCTGGTTCCTGGACCGTCCGCGGGCTGGATTTAGAAGGCAATTGGGTCGAATCCGGCCCCCTGGCCTTACTTTGCCTACCAATGTCTTCGGGCTTAGGCCATCTGTTCCTCCTCCTCAGATTTCCCTCAGCTGATCTGACTAGTTTTCTTACTGAGCTCCTGAGGCAATAAGGAGCTGTCCACTGGCTATATACTGTATTTTTTGTTCTATAAGACTCACTTTTCCCCTCCTAAAAAGTAAGGGGAAATGTGTGTGCGTCTTACGGAGCGAATGCAGGCTGCCCAGCTATCCCAGAAGCCAGGAACAGCAAGAGGGATCGCTGCTTTGACTGCGCAGCGATCCCTCTTATTGTTCTGGCTTCTGAGATTCAGAATATTTTTTTTCTTGTTTTCCTCCTCCAAAAACTAGGTGCGTCTTATGGTCTGGTGCGAAAAATACGGCATTTGAGCTGATGTAGGGGAGACCTGGAGCTCTATTGCTTTATCCCAGTTTAAAACAGATCTTTAATTGACCCTGGTTTCCACCCTTCAGTAAGGGGCCCAGGAAGGCAACGAAAGGGGAAATAATATTGCTTGGGACTTACTCTCCCTTGCCTATTGCCCTTCCCCCCTCTCCCAATTTGGATTAACAAGATTAACGTCTTGGCATGATCTCGCCCTCCCGGGAGCCTCACTGCATGGGGAACATTCTGTTCCTGGTTTGTCACCTTCTTTCTCCAGCAGGGCTCCTGTGCCTTTCAACGCTGGAACCCTAGCAGAAATGCAGGATCCTTATGGCAGGGAATGTCACACGGGACGGACATCCATCCTGCATGCGGCAGTCGAGTGCATCGGAGCTCTAAAAGGAAATGGAAAGTGGGCAAGAGATTTAGGGCAAGGGATCCCCAAAGCTGCCGCACACAGAGCAGTGGGAGGCTTTGTAAACACTGTACATTTAAAGCACCATGTTATAAAGTTTTGTTCAAACAAGTCAGGATGGAGGCTGACTAGAGGGGTCATTTAAAAGAGCTCCCAGTTTAGCACTCGGATCTCTGGATGAACGGAGGCTGCTTTCAGACTTTTGCTGTTTTCAGGTAAGATTCAGTCGCTTCCTGACAAAAAGATTAGACTTTTTGCAATAATGAAAGTCGTGGGGAAATGCACTGGAAACAGTGAGAAAACCCTTGTTTCGATGCAGTGTCATCTAAGCTCCCCAACATACAAATTAAAATGAATCTCGTTAAACAGCCAATGTTGTGTGATCTCACTGCAAAGAAATAGCCAACATCGTCTAACCTCCCTGAAAACGAATCAGGATCGATGCTCAAGAAACTGGTCACCTGGAGGCAGCAACAATCCTGCTACGCTACACCAGGATTTGTAGTTCTTATTTATTTTCCTACACCCTGTACAAATCACCTTTAAGGACAAGGACTCTCAAGGTAGCACACAATTTTTAATAAATGATGTAATAAAAGCACGTTAAAAACTACTGAAAACGGCTGCAAAATAAAAGAGTTAAAAACCAGCAACAGATAAACGCATTCTTGGCTTTAGCTTTTCGGAACACGGTGGACATGGTGATTTGAGGCTTTTCCTATTTTGGAAATATTTTTTCGCTGCTTATCTGTGTGTCTGAATTCTTACAGCTAGTCGGAAAAGACATCTGGCTTTCTGTAAACACAGTGGAGCTCTTTGGTTTATATTCTGGTGCCCAAGTTGCCACCTTTACATCCTGGCTGTGCTCCTCCTCCTCTAACAGCAGACAGAGCAACACAAATAATTTAGGGAGGGGAGCTTTTTCCTGGCAGGGAGATAATGTGTTACCTGCTTAATTACATCATGGTTGCCATTGCTTAAGACAGAATGCTTTATTGGCAACCCTATATTTATATAAAAGAAATATAATAAACATATTGAAGCAGTTTATATAAAAAGCAGTAACATAAGCATGCCTATATTATAGTTCTTCAAAGAGAAACATTAGCAGTGCAATCCTAACCTAATGTCTACTCAAAAGTAAGTCCTATTGAATCCAGAGAGCTTACTTCCGGTCAAGCAGGGTAGAGAATGCAGCCTTAAACACTACACTGTGTTTTAAAGTGTTCCAGTTATTCAACAGACATTTAAAGCACATGATTTCCCCCGACAGAATCCTGCGAACTTTAGTTTCCTCGCAGAGCTAGAGTTTCCAACACTTTGAACAAACGACAGTTCCCAGAATTGTTTGAGAGAAGTCTTCTGCTTTAAATTTATGGTGTGGATCTGTCCTTAATTTATTGAGAGGAATGAATTTATTGAGTTGTGGCAAACCTGGCGCCTTGTGAACTCTCACTCTGCAATGCGCTTGAGAGCTGCAGGAGATTACATTGAGCTCAGGTGGGAAAACTGGCCTGCTCAGAATCCAGAGTTTGTCAGCTGACTCTGGAGTAGCACAAAGCAAACTTCCTGTAGACAGTAAAGAATCAGTCAGGTTCCTGTTCAGTACTTTTCCTTTGGAGAAAGGAATAAAGTCGTTTGCTTGCACACATATCTCATCCAGAAAACACCTTTGAATTCCAGCTGCAGAGGACTTACCTGTCTCTCCAGGTAGGTCAAGGGCTTCTCTCCTACATTACAGGAGTTTAAAGAAGCTGGGGATTTTGTTTCGAGGTAGACTGACAGGTGTGTGTGTGTGTGTGTGTTGCCGGAGAGAGAAATTCAGAGCAATAAGGATGTGTGGTGTGCTCAAAACCCATGAAGCCGTGCTTAATTGTTTGTTTTGTTTTTTAAAAAGCAGTAAGTGCTGCAATCTGACATCCAAGAAATCTATCCCCTTTGGGTGTGGAAGAATTACAACAGCCTTCCCCAACCTGGTGCTCTCCAGATGTTTTGGATTGCAGTGCCCACCAGCCCTTGGGCAGGGATGATGGGAACGACAGGCCAAAACATCTGGAAACTGCCAGGTTGAGCGCCGGCTGCATTAAACACTCAGATGTGAAGTTAGCAGCAAGGCTGTTTAGAAGCGAGGGGAAAGCACACCTTTCAGCTGGCTGGCTGCTGCAAACAGCGGGAATTAGTGGCTGTTTTTATCTCCACACTCCTGTGTTTCCTTGAACGCTTAACAAACCTGCTGGGTAAGAAAAAAACTTTCATGGACCACTGCCTGCTTTGTCAAGATGCAGTCTTAAAGGTGCCAGTGGACTCTTTCGGGTTTTCTTTTCACTACAGGAAAACCGGATCATTCTGTTCTTCTGTGTACATGGCCTTTCATTAAAGTCCTGGCCCATCTAGCTTAGTATTGTCTACACTGACTGGCAGCAGCAACTCTCCAGAGTTTCAGATGGGACATTCCCTGCCCTGCCTAGGATCTTCTGCATGCAAAGCAGATGCTCTACCATTCAGCTACCATCCTTCCCCTAAAAATGAATTAAGATCCTAGTCCTTATGGTTTTAAAAGTGGCAGAGCGTGCAGGGCAGATGCTCTACTACTGAGCTACAACTCATACTCCTCCAGTGTCTTCAACAGATGCACGGCACCCAGAAATATAGCTGGCAAAGCTTTCCCTGGTATGGTGATAAAGAAATGGGGAAAGATTCAGCAGCTACACTTATTTTATGTTAATCTGCCCATGGCCAGAGGCAGAGGAAGAGGGGCAATGGTCGGTGAAACCCCACCACCACTTACAGTTTACATTACTCTTAACTTCTTCCTCATTCCTGTCAAGGCTGATGAACTCTGAGGCTGCCCATCTGATGAGATGCTTGCAGCAGATCCATAAGGTAAGGCTATTGGTGGCTATTAGCCACAATGTTCTCATAACTATAATTAAAGGACCCTGCACTTCTGAATTTGCTAGTAGGCTACCGTCCCAGGTATGGTGACTGATCTGCCACTACAAGCAGAGGCATATCTTCTCCCCTACCCTGTGGAAATAAGTTAGGTAAAGGTAAAGGGACCCCTGACCATTAGGTCCAGTTGTGACCGACTCTGGGGTTGCGGCACTCATCTTGCTTTATTGACCGAGGGAGCCGGCGTACAGCTTCCAGGTCATGTGGCCAGCATGACTAAGCCGCTTATGGCGAACCAGAGCAGCACACGGAAACACCGTTTACCTTCCCGCCAGAGCGGTACCTATTTATCTACTTGGCACTTTGACACGCTTTCGAACTGCTAGGTTGGCAGGAGCAGGGACCGAGCAACCGGAGCTCACCCCGTCACGGGGATTCGAACTGCCGACCTTCTGATCAGCCAGTCCTAGGCTCTGCAGTTTAACCCACACTGCCACCCGCATCCCTGGAAATAAGCTTGTGCCCTCCAACTGCTTCGGGCAACTATTTATTCAATTGATTAACTGCTTTCTGCATAAAGAGCCTCTTTAGAACACAAGGCATAACGTCAGATGAAAACACCAATACATCACAATAAAATCCATAGAATAACCCTCAGAAGAGACCCAGTTAAACAACAGCAAAAGCCTATAATCAGTAAACCGCACCATCGTCATCTGTGCAGACTGGGGCTGATGGAAGTTGTAGTCCAAAACAGCTGAGGGGGGACACAGCTGGAAGTATGGGACGTGGGTGGCACTGTGGTCTAAACCACTGGGTCTCTTGGAGCTTGCCAACTGGAAGGTCGGCGGATCAAATCCCCGTGACAGTGTGAGTTCCCGTTGCTCTGTCCCAGCTCCTGCCAACCTAGCAGTTCAAAAGCACGCCAGTGCAAGTAGATAAATAGGTACCGCTGTGGCAGGAAGGTAAACCGTTTCCGTGCATTCTGGTTTCCATCACGGTGTTCCGTTGTGCCAGAAGCGGTTTAGTCCTGCTGCCCACATGACCCAAAAAGCTGTCTGTGGACAAACACCAGGTCCCTCGACCTGAAGGCGAGATGAGCGCCACAACCCCATAGTCATCTTTGACTGGACTTAACCATCCAGGGGTCCTTTACCTTTTTACCTTTTAGCCCGGTGTGGCTTATATGGGCAGTTTTGAGCCTTTCCTCTCTTCTATTCTTACAAGTTAAACCTATGTTCTGTTTTGCGTTCCTCGTTCCTGTCCTTTGTCACTTTCTCCACTCCATCTGTCTTCTGGGACAAAAAAACCTTTCAAATGCTGATTGCAGGATTATTATTTTTTACTGCCTGGCTGCGTGTTTGGCATCTTCCCCCCTCTGCTGGTTGAACTTAGTCATTGCACCGGCATATGTGGGTCAGCCCTTTGATTCTTTTCAATTCTCTTGGGGACTCAGCGCCCTTCAAAGAAGTGTTCTTTATGTTCTTTGTGTTGCATAACTTTGGTTTTTGCTCACAGGTTCTGGTTTGAAAAGTGTATTGTTTTTCCTTCTCTGTGGCAAGCATCCAGTCTGGAGGGAGAGACGGCACTCATCATCTTATATGGGAAGCAATGGACTGGAGAAATAGTAATTTTTGATGTGCTTGAAGCCCTAAGAGAGGATTTTTTAAAAGCCTCCCTCAAATCTCTGTTTAATTCCTGCACATTCAACAGATGCAGCCAGGACAAAACTGGTTTTCCAACTCTTCTTTGGCTAAATGTTTGCTTTTCTCAAAACCAGTTTCTGAGTGATTGGCTGGACCAGGGGCTCAATGTGGCCATCAAGCCCTGTTGTGTGTTTTTTGAAATGTTTAATCTTTTGGTTGTTGTTGTTAACTTTGCTTGCGTTAAATATGTATTCTGTAGTTGACCACCTTTGTAATGTTTTATTTTGAAATATTTAGGATAATATTTTAAAAAGGTAAAGGGACCCCTGACCATTAGGTCCAGCCGTGGCCGACTCTGGGGTTGCGGCGCTCATCTCGCTTTATTGGCTGAGGGAGCCGGCATACAGCTTCCGGGTCATGTGGCCAGCATGACTAAGCCGCTTCTGGAGAACCAGAGCAGCACACGGAAACGCCGTTTACCTTCCCGCCGGAGTGGTACCTATTTATCTACTTGCACTTTGACGTGCTTTCGAACTCCTAGGTTGGCAAGAGCAGGGACCGAGCAATGGGAGCTCACCCTGTCTCGGGGATTCGAACCGCCAACCTTCTGATCTGCAAGTCCTGGGCTCTGTTGTTTTGACTGTATACTCTTTATTTGACTTTCTTCAGAAATGTTTGATTCTGGATTGTTTTACAGTATTGATATTTTAATATGCTGTAAACCACTTTGAGATATATATATATATATATATATGAGAGAGAGACATTAATAATAATAATAATATGGCCCTTGAGACTCTCCCCAGGACACACCCTGCCCCATGAACAATCTGTCTAATGTTGAACCTGACCATTGGTCCATCTAGCTGAATCATCCTGATTGGCAGCGGTTTTCCTTTCCAGGAGATCAAGATCCTTCTGATCACTTGCTTCCTGAGATCCTTTCAACTGGGGGTACCACAGACTAAACATGGTGTGGTCTGTAGTGCAGGCTGCTCCTCCCTCTTTGAATGCTTGGGTTTAGTTAATGCTGCACAGTCTGTAGAGCCTTGAAGGCTCCTGTGAGCACACAGGGATGCACCAGAATTTCCAGGCTCAGCTCACCTGTGAAACTCGTAGCCTCTTCATCTGGACTCTCCATAGGACACACAAACACCCGCTCTGCAAACTCCTTGAGTGTTTTCGTCTGGCTGGGACGGGCATTTGAATTCTGATAATGCTTCTTGCTTGACAGAATAGAGGATGGAGGAGGGTGTCTGAGAGTGCAGAAACCAGCTCGCTTTACAAAGTGGGGAAAAACCTTCATTGCTTTCCCTACTTTTGGCAAAGCTTCTAGCCCTCAAGGCAGTTGCCTTAAGGGAATGAGGCAGATTTAACTTTTCTTAGAGAAAAGTGCCCCTAAATTGCTTCCAGGCAATCCTCTCTACTGAGCGTTCATTCTGACTTTTTGGTGGGGTGGTTATAAGATGTTGCACCAAGCAATTCTTGCCCCGTGCTTTTTCCATGCATTTCCCCATCACTTTCCTTACTGCAAAAAGTGTGATTTTTATTTTGAGGGAGATGAGAGTTTGGTGCACCAGAGTCCACTTCAGTAGCACAAGCTGAATCTGCTGATATGCCTGTTCGATACACTGCTAAAGCAGCAGCTATCTGGAAGCACTCAAAATAAAGGAAGAGGAGGCAGGGTATTAGCATGTGTGGCTAAGGGCTAAAACTGCCACTTTTATTTTGGGGAGAAAAAAAGAAAAAAGAAAGAAACCTTTATTTTTAAAGATGCCAAAACGTCATGCAGTAGCTAGCAAGCTTCTGAGTCCAGCAGAACTCTTCATCGGGTTGGATATTAAGCAATGCAGGAATAAGGGAGAAAGCTGACTTTCTATTGAAACTACAATGTCTGCATGGTTCAAAAGCTCACTTTTGTCGCATTAGGAGTGCTGCTGTTTGGATTGCTGTGATGACTGCCTGCACTTCAGAGTTTGCTGTTGCTAGTGATCCAGCTCTGGTGTGCAGAGATGAACATACCAAGGACTTTGGTTGCAGTATCTCTCTCCCTCTTTCCCCTGCAGGTATTCATCAATGCCAATGAAATCCTCGCAGGCATCAGTCAGCCATCTGTGTGCAGCGAGGTGCTGCTGTCTGCACCAGGGACTGCATATATGCTGGGTATGGTATGGATTTGTGCCTATAAAAAAAGGCCCAGTGTCACAACTTCTACTGCCTATTGGTCTCCCTTTTCTGGAACTTGGGGGGGCTGTTCAGTGAAGCTGACTATTGGAAGATTTGAGACAGACAAAAGGCAGTAGTTCCTCACACAATTATGGAACTTGCTGCCACGGGAGGCAGTGGGGGCCGAGAAACTTGGATAGCTTTAAAAAAAATTAGACAAATTCATGGAAAAGGCTGGAAAGCTCAAGAGCAGTGACGTAGCGTGGGTTGCCAAGGCCCGGGGCCACGTGGAGGGAAGGGAGGGAAATGGACGGAAAAGGATGGAATATGCTCAACTGCATTCGCGCCACCCAGGAGATTGCAGCTGTAGAGATAAGAAGAGTCATTTCCATTGACTGGAGAGGTCACTTCCTGGTTCACATGGAGAAGCCATTTTCATTAGACCCCCAGCGAGGGAAGTGCACAGCTGTAAGAAGAAGAAAAAAGGGATGTGGGTGGCGTTGTGGTCTAAGCCACTGAGACTCTTGAGCTTGCTGATCAGAAGATTGGCAATTTGAATCCCTGTGAGGGAGTGAGCGCCCGTTGCTCTGTTCCAGCCCAGCAGTTTGAAAGCACACCAGTGCAAGTAGATAAATAGGTACTGCTGCGGCGGGAAGGTAAACGGCATTTCTGTGCGATCTGGTTTATGTCACGGTATCCATTGTGCCAGAAGCGGTTTAGTCATGCTGGCCACATGACCTGGAAAGCTGTCTGCAGACAAACACTGACTCCCTAGGCCTGAAAGCGAGCTGAGTGCCGCAACCCCATAGTCACCTTTGACTGGACTTAACCGTCCAGGGGTCCTTTACCTTTCTGCACAGCTGTATTGAGACAGCACCAGGTGTTGAAATCTTGCGCCCCAACAAATTTGCAACCCTCCCCAATGCCACACCACTGCACAGGAGGAGAGGGTTCTTGTGCTTGGGTCCTGCTTGTGAGCATCCCATAATGAGCATCTGGTTGCCCACTGTGAGAGCAGGATGCTAGCCTAGATGAACCACTGGCAGCCTAAATTTGCCGATAGGCAAGCTGGATCTTACCCACAAAACAGTGGACTTTGGGAAGTGGCTGTTGCAGCAATGCTTGCAATATGTGACTTGAGCCCTCAGAGGTGATATCCTCCCTCGCTAATTCTTTTCTAAGTAACTCCACTCCACCTCTTTATGCTTGTGCATGTGCAAATCTATATCCCAACAGCTGCAGAGGACGACTTTCCTTGCTGTTTCTTTTTTTGCATCCAGGGTTGTCGGAAGTGTACCGGGTCTCCAAGCGCTTGGAAGAAGGGATGAAGGCTCGGAAAGCAGAGAGCGAAGCCCTGCTGCATTGCCTGCGCAAGGTGGATCTGGCCTGGAACAACCTGCTGTCCTTTCTCGCCTTTGGCCATTCTGTGTTCCAGATGCTGGTAAGGACGTCTTGGGACATGGGTGGCGCTGCGGGTTAAATCACAGAGCCTAGGACCTGCCGATCAGAAGGTCAGCGGTTCGAATCCCCACGACGGGGTGAGCTCCCGTTGCTCAGTCCCTGCTCCTGCCCACCTAGCAGTTCGAAAGCATGTCCAAGTGCAAGTAGATAAATAGGTACTGCTCTGGCGGGAAGGTAAACGGTGTTTCCGTGTGCTGCTCTGGTTCGCCATAAGCAGCTTAGTCATGCTGGCCACATGACCCGGAAGCTGTATGCCAGCTCCCTCAGCCAATAAAGTGAGATGAGTGCTGCTACCCCAGAGTCGGCCACGACTGGACCTAATGGTCAGGGGTCCCTTTACCTTTAAGGACGTCTTAGTGGATACATGAAGAACACCCGGAAGCAAGGGCTAGCGCTGACCCCACCTCTCCCTCTGCTTAGCTTATTTGGTGGGTTTCTCTCTGATGACAGCTTGTTTCCATACCCTCCAACAATTCTCCAATGAAAACAGGGACGTTCTAAGGAACAGCAGGACGTTCTGGGATCCAGTCAGAAACTGGGGTGGCTTCTGTAAACCCGGGACTGTCAAAACTGGGACACTTGGAGGGTCTGTATTTATTTGACCTGCTGAGGCTTGGTCAATGGCACTCTGGGAAATGGTGTCATCATTCCGGCGGTGAAATAAGCAGCAGCTTATTTATTTGTCCCTTAGGAAGAAAGAAAGCTGTCAAACAGAACTGGGTCATCTAGCTCAGGAATGTCCGCACCATCGGATCATTCTGTTCTTCTGGGTACATGGCCTTTCATTAAAGTACTGGTCCGTCTAGCTCAGTATTGTCCACACTGACTGGCAGCAGCTCTCCAGGATTTCAGGCAAGGGGACATTCCCAATCCAACCTGGAAATTCTGAGATTGAACCCAGGACCTTCTGCATGCAAAGCAGGTGTCTTGCCACTGAGCTACAGCCATTCACTGTGCTGAATCAGACTCTTGGTCCATCGAGCTCAGTGCTGCCTACACTGACTGGCAGCAGCTCTCTGGGGTTTCAGGCAGGGAGTCTTTCCCAGCCCTACCTGGAGATGGTGGGGATTGAACCCGGGACCTTCTGCATGCAAAGCAAGTGCTCAACCACTGAGCTACAACCTTCTTCACCATCTCTCTCAGCATTGCTTACTCTGACTGGCAGTGTGCCTCTTCAGAGTTCTGAAGAGCTGTTCGACAGTGGAATTTGCTGCCAAGGAGTGTGGTGGAGTCTCCTTCTTTGGAGGTCTTTAAGCAGAGGCTTGACAACCATATGTCAGGAGTGTTCTGATGGTGTTTCCTGCTTGGCAGGGGGTTGGACTCGATGGCCCTTGTGGTCTATTCCAACTCTATGATTCTATGATTCTATGATCCTTGACCAAGTGCCTGGGTTGCTGATTTGGCCTTTGGGGGAGAGAAAGCCAGGTTCTGACACTTTGGGTGCCCCCCCACCGTGTTGACTTTGCTTACAGAATGTTAACCTGCTGGAGCCGTCTGGTGAAAGTGACTCTCACTTGTCAGCTTCTGACCTAGCACCCGAACCAGTCTGTGGGGTTTGCCTAACTGAGGTGAAGCGGGAGCCCCAGGTGAACTTATTCATTTTCTAATTTGTTTCACACATGGAATGGGGAATCTGTGGTCCTCTAGATGCTGGTGTTAAAAGTGCCAGACTAGGGACTTAAGAGAGCAGGGTTTGAATCCCCACTCAGCCATGAAGCTTGGGCCAGTTGCTGCCTTTCAGCCAAACTACCTCACAGGGTTGTTGTGGGGATTAAGTGAGGAGTACCTTGTACTGTACACTGCCTTGAGGAAAAATGGTTGGGATGTGATTATAATAAGCATGTCTATTCTTATCACCGTCACGACTACTACTATTTGGTAGTAGTATTTTAGTTGCTTGTTATCCAAATGTAAGGGACGCGGGAGGCACTGTGGTGTAAACCACTGAGCCGCTTGGGCTCACCGATCAGAAGGTTGGCGGTTTGAATCCCCACAATGGAGTGAGCTCCCGCTGCTCTGTCCCAGCTCCTGCCAACCTAGCAGTTCGAAAGCACGCCAGTGCAAGTAGATAAATAGGTACCACTGCAGCGGGAAGGTAAACTGTGTTTCCGTGAGCTCTGGTTTCCGTCACAGTGTCCCACTGTGCCAGAAGCAGTTTAGTCATGCTGGCCATATGACCCTTAAAGCTGTCTGTGGACAAACACCGGCTCCCTTGGCCTGAAAGCGAGATGAGCGCCACAACCCCATAGTCGCCTTTGACCATCCAGGGATCCTTTACCTTTATCCAGATTTTAAAATGACCATAATAGTTGTCGTTGTTAAATTTATTGCCTTCCCTTCACTGGCAGGTCCCAGGATAGGTTACATCAGCTTAAAATGCAGAATTAAAAACTGTTGAAACATTACAGTCAGAGGAATACGGTGGGTCCTGAAAACTCACATCTCAGGTGTTCAAGGCTTGTTTAAAAAAGAACATTTTCAGCGTTTATTGAAAGCTGGAGAATGAAGGTGCCAGGCACACTTCTGTGGGGTACAAAACAGAAGCATGAAAACAGAAGAACACCCTTAACAGCCACAATAAGCTTTGGCAGCACATCTTAGTCTATGAGATGCCTAGGGGAAAACACAACTGTCTAACTGGCGTTGCAAAGATCTTAATGAAGGTTTCAGGTGGATCACACTGGGAAGGGTATCCTGCGTACAAGCCGTGACCGAAAAGGCCTTATTTATTTTTCTTTGCCTTCTCAGGTGAGTTCTGGAAACTCAGATCCTATTATGTATGAAGGTAGCTGTTATCATGCCAGCTGTGCCAATTTCTGGCTGAACTGTGTGGATGCCACTTTGCCAGGAGGGACGTGATTCTCTCCCCCCCCCCCCAATTTTCTGAATGTACTCCAGTCGTCAGTTTCTTTGGAGGTTAAGAAGATCTGGAGACACAAACAGAGACTTTTGGAAGGCTACAGAATCATCTCCCAAGGCTTCATTGCTGGTGGGAAGTATCTCTGGAGAGACAAAACAAGATTGCATGAAACCAGACTTGTACTTTTCTGTTCATCAAAACAATCTTGTTTTTTAGGATGCTTTAAAATGTGCCCAGGAACAACCTGTTTTCTAATTTATTTCGAGCACTTCTCTATCTGTATTCTGTGGTTTGCATCCAGACTAAATCAGTGGTGGTTCGTCTCTGTGAGCATCAGTGGGACTACACAGAATCTTTTTGCACGATTGATGTTGTTGGTGAAGCTTCTACCTCGAGTGACAGCTTTTTGGATCTGCTGTGACTTTTTCTGCCCACCCAACCAAACGTCTGCTAGATGTTTTGGACTACAATATATAATTCGGTATTTGAATGATTGGTATTAGTAATTGTATTATAATTTGGTATTGTTATAATGAGGCTGTTATTGGGTGGTAATTGAAAATTAATAAAAATTATTATCAGCCTGATGACCACCAGAAGTTTTACACTACAACTCCCATCAGCTCCGGAACCATACGGCCATGCTGGCTGAGAGTGATGGGAGTTGTACTGTAGTTTAAAACTTCTGGTGGTCACCAGGCTGGGCTAGGGCTTAGCAGTGTGAGACCTGACGCGGGCAGCCACGATTTACATCCCTGGTATCTTTGCTCCATTGCCAATTTTATGCCATCTTACTTTGGTCCGACTGAATTGAATTAGCCTTGCACTTAAGTATGCACATGACATTTGCAACCAGTATTGCCAAATAAAGTCTTAATGCAGGTCTGTAGCCTGAAATGTGGGGGTAAAGAGGCCTAAGGAAATACTGTAAAATGCAAGCAGTCTTTTATTTTACTAATTAAATGTATTGTTCCATTTTATTAATATAGGTGCTCTGTGTGCAAGTCAATTGATGAACCTAATACTAGTTCTGCTGGCTGGTTGGCCTGCCTGCCTGCCTGTGTGCTCCTGCTGGGCAGCTCCCTGCCAGGCCACACAGATCAAGGAAGGAAGGAAGGAAGGAAGGAAGGAAGGAAGGAAGGAAGGGGGTCAAGGAGGAATGGACAGCCAGGCAGGGGACAGACATGCTGCGCACTCACATGTGCCCCCTTGCTCCTCTGGGAGGCAAGCAGGAAACAGAGGGTGGCGCCCAGCTGGGGGGAGGCAGCAGACTGAGGGAGGGAGGGAAGCAGGAAGGGGGGCAGGGGAATATTGAGGGTGCTGTGCCCCAGAAGAAAATGAAAGGTAAAAAAGATCTTTTCAATGCCAGTTAGAGAATTGTGTTTTCCCCTAGGAATCTCATAGACTAAGATGTGCTGCCAAAGCTTATTGTGGCTGTTAAGGGTGTTCTTCTACTTTCATGCTGCAATGCATTTGTGCCCCACAGAAGTGTGCCTGGCACCTTCATTATTCAGCTTTCGGTAAACGCTGAAAAAGGGACGCGGGTGGCGCTGTGGGTTAAACCACAGAGCCTAGAACTTGCCGATCAGAAGGTTGGCGGTTCGAATCCCCGCGATGGGGTGAGCTCCCGTTGTTCAGTCCCTGACCCTGCCAACCTAGCAGTTCAAAAGCACGTCAAAGTGCAAGTAGATAAATAGGTACCACTCCAGCCAATAAAGCGAGATGAGCGCCGCAACCCCAGAGTCGGTCACGACTGGACTTAATGGTCAGGGGTCCCTTTACCTTTACCTTTAAACACTGAAAATGCTCCTCTTTAAACAAGCCTTGAACACCTGAGATGTGAGTTTTCAGGACCCACCGTATTCCTCTGACTGTAATGTTTCAACAGTTTTTAATTCTGCATTTTAAGCTGATGTAACCCACCCTGGGACCTGCCAGTGAAGGGAAGGCAATAAATTAACAACGACAACTATTATGGTCATTTTTTTTAATGTGAATAAAGGTAAAGGTAAAGGACCCCTGGATGGTTAAGTCCAGTCAAAGGCAATTATGGGGTTGCGGCGCTCATCTTGCTTTCAGGCCGAGGGAGCCGGCGTTTGTCCACAGACAGCTTTCCGGGTCATGTGGCAGCAGGACTAAACCGCTTCTGGCGCAACGGGACACCGTGACGGAAACCAGAGCGCACGGAAACACCGTTTACCTACCTGCCACAGCGGTACCTATTTATCTACTAGCACTGGTGTGCTTTCAAACGGCTAGGTTGGCAGGAGGTGGGCTAGAGCAATGGGAGCTCAATCCGTTGCGGGGATTCAAACCACCGACCTTCTGATCGGGAAGCCCAAGAGTCACAGTGGTTTAGACCACAGTGCCACCTGCATCCTTCAGAATAAAATTACTGGGTAGGGGGCAAGGGACCCCGGCCCCCTAGAGTTGACACCTATGTGGTCTGGTAACCCTAGGCACTACAGTCCTACTTTGCTGCAACATTGGGTGTTTCCCAAAGGAAAAGCTCTCCCTCTTCACTGAAGGCTTTGTTATTTTGGAACGAGACACAAAGGAGTCACAAACTGAGCTTGCCTATGGTTTGCTTGTTTTTTCAATTTTTTGTCACTTTTATGTATAGAAAAGAAAAAGGCACACGCATACACACAGAGCATCCCCTTATTGACAATCTCACCCCCCTTCTTCTTCATCAGGCAATAGGGCTCTGCACTGGACAGAGTTGGGCAAAATTTCAGACTTAGTAAAGATAGCGTCGGGGTTCGTTCAGTTCCGCTGAGCCCCCTTCTCCCGGAGGGCGCGAGTTCTGTAATTGTCACAAGGCTATCATGACCCTGACTTCGTTTTCGTAGAGGTCAGGAATCACCCCCAGCGGGGACTGGACCATCTTGACGCTGGTTTTCCCAAAGAGTTTCTGCTCGTACTGGATGAGCTGCTGCCAAAAGCCGTTGTTGGGCCGGACGATGGGCCGGCAGCACTTGACCCAGGCGTGGGCGTTTGCCAGAGACATCGAGTGGTACTTCATCAGGTAGGCAATGCACAGGGCGGCGGAGCGGCTGACGCCCGCAGCGCAGTGAACTAGTGTCCGGCCTTGGTTTGATTCCACGGCGCGGATCTTATCGGCTACGGGGTCAAAGAAGTCCAAAAGGCGGGACGAGGGGCAGTCTGTTATGGGGACGTGGATGTAGTAAATGTCTGGGAAGTAAGTGTTGACCACCTCCACCGAAACGTTGATAACTGTGGTGATCTGGTTGGCGTAGAGGAAGAGTTTGTTGTTGGCGGCCTCGCCATTACTGAGGAACAGGCTGTTTGTGATCCGGGAAAGGCCGTAGACAGACGGGTGCCTGAGTATGATAGGGATGGTTCCAAACACTGCATTCATCAAGGCGAACTTTAGACATCAGCTACGACAGGAAGCATCATTCTTGCTCGCTATGCTTTAGGGAGGCAAATGAGGCTTCCAGTTAGACAACAAGGAAAAAGGAACCAGAAGCTTTGCTCTTGGGAATTATAGGGACAGAACTACCTAAATTGTATAGAAACTTACTCATGTATGCGACTACAGCGGCAAGAATGTTACATGCCCAAAAATGGAAAGAAGAAGAAGTCCCAGCAAAGGAAGAATGGATACAAAAACTTATGGAATATGCAGCAATGGCAGAACTGACCGGAAAAGTAAGAAATCAAGATAACAAGCTTTTTATAAAAGAATGGAAATGGTTTATTGAATATTTACAGATACATTGTAAACAAATAAAAACACTGGCAGGATTATTGCACTAACCTGCAGTTTCATAAGAGTATACAGTGGTACCTTGGTACTCAAATGGTTTGGCTTCCGAACAAATCGGCTCCCAAATGCCACAAACCCGGAAGTGAGTGTTCTGGTTTGTGAACGTTTTTTGGAAGCCAAATGTCTGAACGCGGCTTCCGTGACTTCCGAATGAGTGCAAGAAGCTCCTGCAGCCAATTGGATGCTGCACCTTGGTTTTTGAACAGTTTTGGGAGTTGATCGGACTCCCGTAACGGATTAAGTTTGAGAACCAAGGTACCACTGTATATTTAAAGAAGATGAATAAATGAGCAAATTAAGTTAATTTGGATGTGCAGAAGATATTAAAAATAAATTTAAGGAACTGCAGAAAGAGGGGGAAGGAAGTCAAGTTTTGAAATGTCAAAAGGATTGTAAAATCAGAGAAATGTATAAATCTGAAAAATATAAATATATTTTAGAAAAAATAGACAATGAGGAAAAAGGCAAACTGAATGTGTGATATCCAGCAGTGGCTATCGCCAGGGTTTTTGGGTTTTTTTTACCTCCCTGGTGGGCACTATCACCATTCTAAGAGAACAAGGGAGAAATTATTGGTGAGTTCCTAGCACCTCATTTTCTAGAAAAATAGTACTAGCTATTGCTCAATGTTGGGAATTATTCGTAAAGCATTAGGATTAAAGATGTGAAGGCAGTGAAGAAGAAAAAGAATACCTGCCAATTGTTCTGGTTTCCCTTGCAGAGAACAGGGCTGGAGGAACCTGCAGATCTCCAAATGTTGTTGGACTACAACTCCCATCAACCCTGGCAATTAGCCCTGCTGGCTGATGGAGGTCGGAGTCCCACTCTAGAGGAATATATGCCGTTATCTAAAAATCTTGCAAATCTTGCCAAAGTTACCAGGGAAAACAGCAGCACTTTGTGTACCTGTACCTTTGCCTGTACCTGTATATATTCCTGGTCAAACACCACCGGCATCTATCGTGGCCCCCAGACACACTGATTCAGGAAGTCGTTTGATTCTTGAACATCATAGTCTTTCAATAATGTCTAAAAGGAGAAAAAGACATTGAAAACTTGGAGCTATTTCAAATAAAGTTCTTTGTAGCCAGTCCTAGCTCTCCACACCCTTAACAAACCACAGTTCCCAGGATTCTTGGGTGGTTGGAGCCATGATGACTACCGTATTTTTCACTCTATAAGACGCACCAGACCATAAGACGCATCCAGTTTTTGGAGGAGGAAAATAAGAAAAAAAAAATCTGAATACCAGAAGCCAGAATAGCAAGAGGGATCACTGCGCAGCGAAAGCAGCAATCCCTCTTGCTGTTCTGGCTTCTGGGATAGCTGCGCAGCCTGCATTCACTCCATAAGACGCACACACATTTCCCCTAACTTTTTAGGAGGGAAAAAGTGAGTCTTATAGAGCCAAAAATACGGTATTTAAAGTGGAACAATACTGCTTTAAATGTATAGTGCATAATACAAGTAAAAGTGGGAGGGAGGGAAGGCTAATGACTTGGAGCATTTGTCGAATGAAAAGTTACTAGCAGGAACTTACAGGATATGCACCCTTTGGAAAATGAAACAGTGAGACCACCCCAAAGCTTCTGAAGATGCAAAAGCAAGATTGTTTAGGACCACCTCGCTAGCACCGCAAGCGCAAATAATCGTAAATTGCATCCTAGTTAGATGCAACCCTTTAAAAGCATGGTGGTTATTTTGATTACCCTCGCCATCTTTGAATTTGCTCAGACCTGTACATTTGTGCATCTATGTGTATAAATCAGCACATGCAAATTTGCATCAGGAGCCTTGCACCTTCTTCACTACCTAGAAATCAGCATTCTGCGATTCTATGTTTCTGTGAATTAAGTGTCAGAATTTAAGGACTCATTTTGAGTTCAAGGTTCCGGGCTAAATGGCCCTTCTGCTCCCCTTCTGGCAGGGTTTCTGGCAAGGATCTTTGCAATCTCACCTGGAGATGCGAGGGGCTGAACTGGTGGTATGCTACTTACGGTAGCTACAACCCTTCTCCAAATCCCAAATCCTGTCAAGGCTCAGAAACTGATATGCCAGAGCAATGAGATGGCCATATTTGCTGAACTGCTCAGCAGGGTTCTTAATAGAGAGAGAGAGAGATTGCAAAGGGCTGCAGAGGGACCCTCTCCAAACTGAGTGAATGGGCACATATATTATCATCGGGTCTGAACAATGGTGGACTTGGGGTTTTTTCAAATTTAACAGTGCCCTGTGCAATGCCAAAATTCGGTGCCCTCCTGCCTCTTGTCTTCCATTCTAAGTTACTGTTGCAGGGGCTCCTACAGCACCCTCTTGGCTAGGCGCCCAGTGTGGGTGCACTGGTCTCTCTCCTCTAAATCCTCCTCTGGTTTGAACCAGCCTAGGAGCAACACTTTGGAGTTACAGCAGATAGCTGGATGAAGATGTCAACCCAATACAGTATATGGCAGCTTTGAAAAAGGCAGATCCCACGCTAGGGATCATTGGGAAAGGAACTGAAAACAAAACTGCCCATATTGTAATACTAATATACAAATCTAGGATGCGGCCATATTTAGGATGCCGTGTACAATTCTGGTCGTCTCCCATCAAAAAGGGCATTGTAGAGTTGGAAAAGGTTCAGAAAGGACATATACATATATATACACACACACACACACACACACACGGGTTAAGTACCGTACTTAATTTGTTCTGGAGGTCCGTTCTTCACCTGAAACTGTTCTTAACCTGAGACACCACTTTAACTAATGGGGCCTCCTGCTGCTGCCGCGCCGCCACTGCATGATTTCTGTTCTCATCCTGTGTATGTAACCCAAGGTACCACCACTCTGTGTGTGTGTGTGTGTGTGTGTGTGTGTATAAAATTAGTTTTTTGACATATCATTTTCAACAGTAATTAAACATACTTTTACATCTTATACAATTTTTTGACTTCCATCAATCCTGTCTGAAAATTTTCCAATCTAATTTCTTCGTATACATTTCTTACTTTCCCTAGTACATTTAAATCTCATAACTGATCTCTCTATTCCTTTTCTACACAGAAAGGACCTCTTCACGCAGCACAAACTATGGAACTCCCTGCTGCAGGAGGCAGCGACGGGCACCAACTTGGATAGCTTTCAAAGAGGATCAAACAAATTCATGGAGGAGAGGGCTATTGATGGCTACTAGTCACAGTGGCTCTGCTATGCCTCCGCAGCCAGAGGCAGAAATGCTTCTGGAAAACCCGCAGGAGAGTACAGTGGTACCTCGGGTTATGAACTTAATTCGTTCTGGAGGTCTGTTCTTAACCTGAAACTGTTCTTAACCTGAAGCACCACTTTAGCTAATGGGGCCTCTGCTGCCGCTGCACCACTGCCACGCGATTTCTGTTCTCATCCTGAAGCAAAGTGCTTAACCCGAGGTCCTATTTCTGGGTTAGCGGAGTCTGTGACCTGAAGCGTATGTAACCCGAGGTACCACTGTATTCTTGGGATCAGATCCTGCTCCCCACTCAGGCCTCAGGTTGGCCACTGTGAGAAGAGGATGCTGGTCTAGATGGCAGGATCCAGCAGGCTCTCCTTTCGTTGTTATGGCCATTCAGAGATACAGTGGTACCTTGGGTTACATACGCTTCAGGTTACATACGCTTCAGGTTACAGACTCCGCTAACCCAGAAATAGCACCTTGGGTTAAGAACTTTGCTTCAGGATGAGAACAGAAATTGTGCTCCGGTGGCGTGGTGGCAGCAGGAGGCCCCACTAGCTAAAGTGGTGCTTCAGGTTAAGAACAGTTTCAGGTTAAGTACGGACCTCCGGAACGAATTAAGTACTTAACCCGAGGTACCACTATAGACTGCCTTTGGACATGGAGGTTCTTACCCCCCCCCCCATCCTTCCCTGACTTTGGGACTGGATTCTTGAGCATCACTTCCTCCGCGCCCCACTCGCCCCACCAAAACCCCTTCTCGACCTGGCGACGGGGAGCTCTCCTTACCCACCGCCCACCCCCAGACGCTTCCTGCGGTGCCCCCTCGTCGTCGTCGTCCTCCTGCTTCAGAAGCAGCGGCAACGAGAAAGCATCGAGCCCTTCCAAGCCCCGGGGCCGGTTTCCAGGGCAACTCTGAACGCCCGATCCCATTGTGACCTCCGCTCCCTCCAGCGGGGAGGCATTGGCCAGCCATGGCTCAGCGCAGTCCGGTCCAGTCCCCGGTCAGGGGAGGCGCCATGGAGGCGGGGAAGCCCGAGGACGCCCCGCCGGCCGTGGTCACTTTCTTCCAGCCCCACGTCGGCGGCCAAGTGCTGGTGCTTTTCAGGTAAAAGGGCTGGGTGGATGGGGGGAGCGGGGCACAGGGAGGTAGGGGAGGGGCTTCACTCGTGACACTCTCCCCTCTCAATCAGGAGTTTGCCCCGTTTTGCCTCTGAACATGTGCAGAGTTCTTTTCCTCCCCGAAAGGGGAAAATACTTTTTTGGGGCACAGGGAGGTAGGGGAGGGGCTTCACTCGTGACACCCTCCCCTCTCAATCAGGAGTTTGCCCCGTTTTGCCTCTGAACATGTGCAGAGTTCTTTTCCTCCCCGAAAGGGGAAAATACTTTTTCTGGGCACAGGGAGGTAGGGGAGGGGCTTCACTCGTGACACCCTCCCCTCTCAATCAGGAGTTTGCCACCTTTTGCCTCTGAACATGTGCAGAGTTATTTTCCTCCCTGAAAGGGGAAAATAAATTTTTTTGGGGGGGGTCCCTCTTTCGCAAATGTAAATATTGCACAGTCCCGATGAAAGGCCCTTGAACATGTGCAGAGTTCTTTCGTTCCCTGACAGAAGACGGAAGAGGCATTGTTTTGCTTTCACCCCCATTGTGTCTGCATGAATTGCATGCCATGTTCAGGGGTAGTAAGGCAGCCCCCAGTGACATGCCTCTGAGCATTTGCAGAGTTATTTTGCTTCAGGAGGGAAGAAGGGTTTATCTGTTGTTCCTCACATATAAAGCTTGTTTATGTGTCTCCTTTAGGGGTTGCAAGGCAGCTTCTCTGAGAGTTTTTTCGTTGAAAGAAGAGGAAAGAGGGTTGGGGGGGTTGTCTTTCCACAAACATAAAGTTTTATATTATGTGTATGTAAAAAATAATATTCTCTGTCATGCGTATGGCAGTTGCTTTTGGTTAAAACAAAAAACTAGTGACCCAGAACAGATCTCGCAACACCTTTTATCCTGGGCATTTTCACAGCACTTTGCATATGCTCTTGAAATCCTTACAATAACCTTGCAATGTATATCAGTATAAATATTGTTCAGATATTGCAGAGGGCCTGAGACTAAGAAAGAAAGAAGGCCTGACTTTTCTATAAGTCACGAGGTTAGAAAGACAAGGTTCGAACCAGGGACTGCCTTGTTTATTTAAATCTTAAAATGTTTATTTGCTTCCCCCCCCCAAAGAGGCTTACGAAAATAAGAAGGCAGCTATATCAGTGTTGCAAGAAAAAGATAAAAACACATTCAAATCTTCCATAACATAATATTTCAGCCTTCATCCAGCGAGCAGGAGAAAATGGCTCATGGAAAATTAACTTGCATGTGGTTCAGCCTCCTCCTAGCTCCTAGAATACACCAGTGTGAAGAGACAGTGTGGTGTAATGGTTATAGTGCCAGACTATGACCTGGGAGACCAGGGTTCAAATCCTTACTCAGCCACAATGAAGCTCACTGGGTGACCGCAGGCCAGTCGCTGTCTCTCAGCCTAACCTACCTCACAGGGTTGTTGTGATGGTAAAATCTGGATTAAGGAGAACCATGTGTACTACCTTGAGCTCCCTGAGGTATATAAATGTATGAAATAAAAAAGTTTTAGGCCTACAGGTGGATATTCCTAAATTGGTGGTATTTACTCCCTTAATTTTGGAGGGAGGCAGTAGCAAATGCGGTTCTAACCAGGCGCCTTTCCCCCGTGCAGTTTGCTCAGTGGCAGCGAAGCCGTTTTAAAGAGGTTCTTACCCAAGAGTCATCTTTCTAAGGTGATCATTCGTGACAACATCAGTGTCCAGAGAGTGCACGATATCAAGGTACATCTCACTACTGAACCTCCTTACCTGAGCCTTCCTGCTTGTGTTACATTTCAAATGCAAGAGAATGTTTCTTTAGGCTGGTGAGCCAAATAGCTATTGTGTATCTGGGAAATTGTTTGTTTACCTCTATCTCTTTTATGTTCAAGAAGCTCCCTTTGTGTCAATGGAGGAAGAAGGCGTTCTGTGCACACAATGTCCTTGCAAATCAACTCCATCCACAGGAATGAGCAGAGTTGTGGAGGTGGAAAGAGCTCCACATGGCTCCCAAACCAGGAATACTTTGGCTGCATTTGCACAGCGGTTTATCCCATTTCCCCAGAGCTTCCCTTTAATCTCAGCATTATATTTGAGCTTTCATACAACGCAAAAGCCACTTCTGGAAAACTAATGGAATACAGTGCAGATTGGGCATTTTGTTTCCATGTTTTTGAGCCCCCGAAAATGTGTTTGCAGCCCCCAGTTTACCTGGAAAATTGTGGGAGTAAAGCAATGAAATTTGGGGTAGTATACTGGCATATGTCCCCCCCCCCCGCTCTTTTAATGGGGGAAATAGAAGCACACATATGTGGAAAGGGCGGTGGCGGCAGCGGGGCAGTTAATGACATTATCCAGTGACATGCACGTCTGAATGCACCCCTAGGTTACACAACTGGATTTTGTGTTCAAGCACAACAAACCCGCTTCTGACCAGGTAGAGTGGCATGAATTTCACGCACAAGCTCTGATTGGCTGAGTAGTTTGTAGGGCTTTTCCTTCTGTATGTTTGGCTATATGTCTCCCATGAATGGAGAAAGACAGAACCTCTCTGTTCCTTAATCCTCAGATTATGCACCGGTTTGGTTCAGCTTGCTTAGAGTGTTATTAAGACTTTTCTCTCTGGACTTTTGTCTGTGTTTATTTAAGTGACTTTGCTAACAGTTGCTTCTGATTTCTTAAAGCTCAAGCACATTGAAGAAAGCAAAAGGAAGATGGGCAATCTCTTTGACCAGATGATGAAGAAGTTTGTGCATGACCAGCAGAAGAAAATGAACCGCTGGAAGAAGGAATATGGCCACTACCAGAGAATGCTGGAAAAGATTGACCAGAGGGCCTGGCTCAAAGCCCACACCTCAACCTTTGCACTGCCAGAGCTAACAAAGGCCAAGGATGTCACAGGATGGAAAAATGTGAACCTGCCACAGCAAAACAGGCTTAGGTAACTTGAGTGACCATGAGCTAAAGGAGTGGCTTCATGGTTCCACTTGGCACAGAAAATCATCATGAAAAAGACCCATGCGTTTCCCCCCCCCGCCCCGTAGGCTTTCCTGCTGGCTTGTCTCATTAGGATAATGGAATTAAAGTTAATACAAGGCCTTCACAGCATTCATGTGGCACAAATGTTTCTGTTGTAGGCCTTTAATTGGATTTTTTTTGATGTTCAGAGGGCTTTACAGTCTTTTTGCAGGTCCAGCCTTACCATTAGGCAAAATGCAGCAGCAGATTTTGGGTGTTATGGAAAAGTAGCAAATTGTTAGCTATTGACCCATTTATTATTATTGTATTCTTACTGACAGGAAGGGGGAAAGGTGCTTGTGGGTTGGTTTGGATTTTTTTGCCTCAGGTGCTAAAATACCTGTTTGGCCTTGGACGCTTTGCAACTTGATTTGGGGTGGGAGGGGGCACCAGGCTGTTCTATCTCAAGTGGCATAATGTCTTGGACTGTCCTGGTCTTTTGGTTCTCTGCAACCTGTTATTCCCTGTTTACAGATAGTTGATTGACTAAGGCCTAAGGTGAGCCTGTGACCATGGGGGGGTATTTGAACCAGCTTGTCCAGATCGATTGGATGCTTCCAAAATGAGATGCATTTGGAAAGTGCATTGAAATGGTACATGCTGCGTCCGTGGGGTCCTTTTCTGCAGATTGGTGTTCTGGTATGCAGCTGGCCGGCAAAATTTGCATGGAACTACACAACACCCCCATTCCCAAACACCAGTTGTATCTGCATTGCAGCCAAGGTTGTGCATAGCACACGTTGAAGGAGACAGAAGTACCTGGGTTTATTTAGTGTCTGTACCCTGCTCTTTAGTCACAAAGACTCCCATGGCAGCTTACAAACAATCAGATATAACTGTCACTGTCTGCAGGCCTACAACGTAAAATACATGGCACACAAGGAAAGAAGTATAGGGATGGAAGAGGAAGAGAGCAAACCCAAGAGCACTTCTTAAAGTAAAAAAGTAGTTCTTATAACTACTTAGAGTGGAAACAGTTCAGCGGCCAGAGATGCTTGATGAAGCTGGTCTTAGGAACACAGGAAGCTGCCTTATACAGAGTCAGGCAGGCCATTGGTCCATCTTGCTCAGTAATATCTACAATGACTGGCACACACCATGAATAAATGTATACATCTGTATCATGTCTCTGCTTACCTGCCTTTCTTCCTTAAACTAAAACCCCTTGATGATGTAGTCTTTTCTCAATCTGCCGGACACACAAACAATTTAGCACCCTCCTCTTCATGTCGAGCAGGCAGCAACAGCCCTCCAGTGGTGAGCCTCCAGGAATCCCTGAACTTGAATCCTCTTATACCACTCACATAGAGAAACTACTAATAAGTACTTCTTTTATTTATTTCTCTATGTGGCCAAAAGATGCTGCTAGCTATCAGCAGAGATGTCTGATGAGCTGAATAGGCAATGAATGGTGTCCTTTATGTTTACTCTAGAGATAAACTGGCTTCCATCTGAAAAGCATCCAGCAGATGCAGACACCTGACTTGCAAAAGCAATAAAGATCTAATTCATTTCTGTGACATACATTTGCAAGGGATTAAGACAAGAAGATATTGCCTACATTGATCATCTGTGCTAAAGGGGCAGTCTCATATGGTAAAATTGGTCTGTACACAACTGAGTTGAGATTGGCAAGGAGAATTTTCTCATCTGACATCACAACAGGCTGCTAGCAGAATACACATTTTTGTGTGTGCATCTCACACACATGCACAGAAAACTGGACAGCTGACTGCCTTCCAATAATGGTTCTGTTCTCTCAGGTGCCAGCCACCAGCTTATGGATATCCTGGCTCAAGTTCGCACTAAAAGACAGCATCAGGACTGACTGCAAATTGCCTCTTAGTGCCTGAAATAGTGACTTGCCTGCTAGTGATTCTGCTAATGCCCATACTAGGCACAAACCCTGCCTGCAGTGTTCTTGTCTGTTTTCGGCATCATTCTGGGTGAAGTCTCTTCCTGTCCCTTGATCATCCAGAAAGAAAGGAAAGTGCAGGACCTAGGTGACTGGAGATATGGTGGCCACAACTCCTGTGAGGCACCAACTCACTTGCAGGTTTGAAGCCCTATCCCCAGAACTATAATGGTTGTTGCTCCTGACTTGTTCTAGCTCCCAGTGCTCCCAGGTCAGACCTAAATGAGCCTGGTAGGTGGGCCACTGTTGCTTACCAGGAGGGGCAAAGCAGTGCACAGGTTGGCATGTGCCAAATAAAGTAAGAAGCAAAGTTCACTGGATAAGCCCAAGGAGCCATCTAGTATAGCGCCCTGTTCTCACAGTCAAGCAGGACTCAATCACAGGAGCCCTGTCCTCTCCTGTGGCTTCCAGCAGCGGATACTCAGAAGCATTACTGCGTCCGACCACGGAGGCAGACTATAGTCATTGTGGCTAGTAGCTGTTAATAGGCTTATCCTCTATGAATCTGTCTAATCCTCTATTAAAGACACCCAGGCTGGATGGGCTTTGCCGGCACATTTGCACTGCGCCAATCTCCTTTTCACCTTGTCCCCTTACTGTAAGCAACAGTGACCCCTCCTGCAGTTGTTTCTTCCGACCGGCCTTCAATCCTGTAGCTGAGACTTAGGGCTCACAAGGGGTGAGGCAGGCTGAGTTGGACGGATTCAGTTGGAAGTAAGCCCAGACATAACAAGTCAGGGCAGGGCAAGCCTGGTGACTCGGCCACGGCATTCTCTGGGGATCAGCAGTCAGGACCATGGATAGCTCCAGGTACATTGTGTACCCGACCCGTAGGATGCAGCCTTAGCAAAGGATTCTCTGATGAGATCCCCCAACAACATCTGTAGTGACGTGTCCACACACACATTTTACCACACCTCACCTCTGTTTTGCAGAACTGTAAAACTGTGTGAGAAAATGTAGAGTCAGGTATCGTCTGGATGGAGTGACAGTTTAGCACAGTTTAGATGTGTGTTTCATGTACAGTGGAACCTTGGTTGTTAAATGCTGCTTCGGAAGTCGAACGTTTCAGCTTTCAAACGCCAAAAACCCAGAAGTGAATGCTTCCATTTTTCAAATATTTGATGTACGTTCTTAGAATGTACAGTAATTGTTTAAAACATTTTTTACTTAATTCTTTGATTATAACTATTTTAACTACTTCTCACGTGTGATGCATTAATATTTCTGACTTTTAAAACTTATATATTCATACAAACACCATTTTTATTTTTTATCAAAACATACTTTCTTAAGCTTGCTTCCCGGTGCGTTCCTTTTCCCTTTTTTAGATTGTAACCCTGAAGGCAGCGACTGTTTTGTTTAAAACTGACTGGATTTAGGGCTCTTTATATATAAATGTGTAATAAATGACATATAACTAATTTATTTATTTTTTGTATAAGCTTTCCCTTGCGTCATCCTGGCCACGTCGCCAGACGAAGCTTTTGCCGCCCTGTCACCTGAGGTAACAGCGTGGCAAAATGGCCGCCGGCGCCTCCACCTGGACAGCGAACCGTTGAGCCTCGAGCAGCTTCCCGCCTTTTTTTTATTCTAATCAAGCGGCGTCCGCATGATTCCTTGATTGGCGCCTTGCCGGCCCCGCCCCCTTTCCATTCCCCGCCCTCCGCCTTCCACACAACTCCCGCGAGATCTCCGACCCTCAGGCAGCCCGACGAGCCTCGCAGACGAGGCGCACGTGATCCGGGAGCCGTTCGGCGCCCTCGCCGTAGGAGAGGGGAAAGAACAGAACGCGGGGCGCCGCTGTCGTCGCGGCCGCGTCACGCCGCTCCCTCGGGTGGGGTGGCGCGTCACATGGCCAGGAGCGGAGGGGCGCGGCCTGCCGCCGTCACGTGTCGCGCGGCCCCGCCCCCTCGCTAGCCCTGGCGGCGGCGCTGAGGCGAAGCAGCCAGGAGGAGGAGCGGCCGGGCGCAGCCTCAGCGGCGGCGTCGCCTATGGGGAAGGCAGCCGCGCCGCTGTGCAGCGCCGGCACCCGCGGGCTGGTCTCCCTGCTCAGCGCCGTCCCTTGCCTGGCCTGCAAGCAGCCCCCTCGCCGCCCTCCTCCTCCCCCCGCCCTCCTCGTCGCCATGAGCCTGGCCGGCGCCACCACCCTCGAGGGGCCCTTGCCCTCCACCCCCGCGACCACCCCGACCTCGGCCGGCCCCGGGCCCGACACGTACAAAGGCTGGCTCTTCAAGTGGACCAACTACCTGAAGGGCTACCAGCGCCGCTGGTTCGTGCTTAGCAACGGGCTGCTCAGCTACTACAGGTACCGTGGTACACTTTTTTTGCCCGGGCATTCCTTTGCTAACGTTTGTGAGTGCGCGAACTTTAGGGGCAGTGTGGTAGTTGCTGAAATGGGGAGCAGTTGCTTGTGGGGGGCGCGAGTACTGCGGTGCTGCAGACTAGGGGGTAGGAGAAGTCGACGTGGCCCGTTACTAGTAGTATTACGGTAACGCTGTCTAATATATGGCACTCGAGAGGGGGGGTCGTGGTCGTGTGACATGGGTGCTGTGCAGCTGCTACGATAACTCAGATGATTTCCGAATACTGCTGATGCTCCCACCCCCAATAACTCACCAGCAACAACCTGCCACCCAGAGTGATCCTTAGTTCGATGGAAGAGCATCTGATTTGCGTGCAAAAAGTCCCATGTTCAATCCCTGGCCTGTGTAGGTAGGACTAGGAGAGACTCCTGTCTAAAATCCCAGAGAGTCACTGCCGGTCAGTGCAGACAGTACTGACTTAGATGGACCAATGTGTCTGACTCATAGAATCCTAGAATTGTAGAGTTGGAAGGGACCGCCAAGAATCATCTATTTCAACCCCATGCAATGCAGGAATCAATGGCCATAGCTCAATGGTAGAGCACCTGCTTTACATGTAGAATGTCCCAGCTTCAATCCCTGCCATCACCAGGTAGGGCTAGGAGAAGCTCCCTTTCTGAAATCTTGGAGATCTGCTACCACTCACTGTAGGCAGTGCAAAGCTGTGTGGGCCAATGACCTGACTCCATATAAAGCTGCCTTCTATAATAGGGAAAGGGTTGTAGGCAGCTCACTGTTAGAGCATGTGCTTTGCAGGCAAAAGGTCCAAGGCTCAGTCCCCAGTAGCATCTCCAGGTAGGTCTGAGAACGACCCCTGACTGAAACGAGAGTTGCTGTCAGTCAGTGTTGACAGGACTGAGCTAGGTGATCTGATGTAGTATAAGGCAGGCTCCTATACCTTTTTGGGAAATTGTGTTAACGCTGTGTGTGTTTGCCTGCATGCTCAGCTACTATCTGAATTGTGACAAATGAAAGATGGAGTAGTGCAGTTTCTACAAGCAGCATGTGGTAGTGTGTCCCACCACACTGTAAAACATGCCTTCAATGTAGGTCTCTTGTCTGTTGAATTAGTAGCTGCAGTCAGAGTACCAGTTGTGTTAGTGGAGGGATCATCCTGAAAATTCCTGGTGTTTTTAGCGCTTCAGGTGAAGGCACTTTGCAATAACAGTAACAAGAAGAAACTAGTTCCTGCCTGCAGGAGTTTATGGTCTAAGCTTCAGCAGCTGGGAAAACAGGGAAGGGAGGGGAGTGGCAGGGTAACAAAACAAATACAAGAAAAAAGGGGGGAGGATACAATGAGAACGGGGAAGACGGGAGCAAATAGTTAGCAATATCTTTGTGCTCAATTTCCAGAGAAAGGGTATTTTTTGTTTTTGCAAAAAACAGGCTTACAAGAGATCTGTGGCATAAAGCTTTTTGGGTGAAAGCTCACTTGGTCAGATGCACACAGAGGAAAAATGGGTTATAAACAATGGAGACAAAGACCATGAAATTCAGATGGTAGTGATAGTTCTCTCTCTGATAAGAATAGAAGGTTCTGCAGGTAATGCTTTTGCCATGCTAATTTCTTGCCTAAGAAGAGAACTGCTTTCAATTATTGATTAGGTTTAGTTTAACCTAATTTGCTAATGAGTACAGTCGTACCTTGGTTTTTGAACAGCTTCGTTCTTGAATGTTTTGGCTCCCGAACTCTGCAAACCTGGAAGTGAGTGTTCCAGTTTGCGAACTATTTTTGGAGGCCGAATGTCCGCCACGACTTCCGGAGCTTCCTGCAGCCAATCAGAAGCCACACTTTGGTTTCCGAATGTTTTGGAAGTGGAATGGATTCCGTTCGACTTCCAGTGTAAAATTGTACTACTTAATCAATTTAATGCTGTATGAATTTCTGAATTCTTGTAATCTGAAAGGTTAGGCTGGAAGCTGTGGGTCCAGCTTTTGGAAACTTGGTGCCTTCTTTATGTTTTGGAGTTGTGGTCATTTCCACACTATGGTCTTCTAGGCCTTTAGTAGAAAGTTGCAATGGCTGGAAAGAGCTCTGGTATTGTTCTGTCTTCTTGCTTAGTGTGAGAAGAATAGGCACTCTTTTGTCAGATATAAGTATTTAAATACAAGTTTGTTTCCTGTTGCACCAGTGACGGCTGCTGGGAACGCAAGGCTTCTTATACAACAGGAAAATTGTCTTCCCAGATGCATGTTGGCAGTGGTTCTCCAAAAACATCTTGAATGAAGAATGCTTCTAGTTTTGTGAAATAGCCAAATGAGTATTGTATAGGCAAAGTCTGAAAGGAAATAAATAACAAATTATTGCTTAAATATTTATATCCTGCCTTTCAGTTCATGTAGTGCTCTTGTGGCATCCGCAACAAATGTTAAAACCGAACTGAATCAATAAAATTGTCTGCGGTCTTTGGGTTGTCTGGATAACAGGCACAGGTCTGGATAAGAGGCACAGGTAAGGTTGGCTAACGTTGTCAAGTGACTTGCTGCTCAAGTCAACTTACTCATTTACTCATTGCTTTGTTTCATGTATTAGCACTTTTGGATCAGTGGGTGGAAAAATATGTTGCACTTTACTTGGCAACAATCACAGACTCTTAGATTCTGGATTCGCACCAAACCATCCACTTTATATTGTGAAATGACAGGTTTATAACATAGACCAGACATTTCAAGCTGCTTTTATTCAGGCTTTGCTTGGTGTGGAGCAGTGGCTTATTCTGTTGATACTTATATTTTTAGTACTGTGTTGTAAGCTTCCCTAAGCCTGTTGAATGGAATAAGCAGCATTTGTAAGATGACTGCATTGAACATTTTTATAACTTCCTGCCTTCAGGGGGCTGATTGCTTTTTCCATATACCACTAATGGCTTTTGTTTGTGATAGAGAGAAGTCAAGGGGAATTTGCATCCCTGCACCTCTATTTTGGGGACGTGGGTGGCGCTGTGGGTTAAACCCAGAGCCTAGGACTTGCCGATCAGAAGGTCGGCGGTTCGTATCCCCGCGATGGGGTGAGCTCCTGTCGCTTGGTCCCTGCTCCTGCCAACCTAGCAGTTCAAAAGCACGTCAAAGTGCAAGTAGATAAATAGGTACTGCTCCGGCAGGAAGGTAAACGGTGTTTCCGTGCGCTGCTCTGGTTCGCCAGAAGCGGCTTAGTTATGCTGGCCACATGACCTGGAAGCTGTATGCCAGCTCCCTTGGCCAATAAAGAGAGATGAGCGCTGCAACCCCAAAGTCGGTCACGACTAGACCTAATGGTTAGGGGTCCCTTTACCTTTTACCTCTATTTTGGGGTAGAAATGGTTCTTAACAGCTACACTCTTGAGTGGCTATGGGTTGTATCTGATATTAGTCCTACTTAGAGTATAGAACCATTGGAATCGATGAACTGTAGGACTAAAACAAATGTGACAGGTGAAGAAGCATATCTTTTGTCAGGATTTTAGAGAGATGTGATGCGTAAAGTCAGTTTTTAAGCATGATTCTGCTACTATATTATTTATCTAGGTATCTCACATGAATGTGGTTTTACTGATTGTATTCCTTTTATTGCTTTTGCACCTAGTGTAATTTGTGAGAGCAAAAAATTTGGGGGAATGTTTTCTGTCTGACATATTTAGGGGCATCCCTGCATCAATAACACAAGAAGAGCCCTGCTGGATCAGGCCAAAGGCCCATCTAGCCCTGTATCTTGTTTTTACAGTGGTCAACCAGTTTCTCCTCTGGAAGCCCTGCTAGCAGGACCAAATTGCAATAGCTTTCTTCCAGCTTGGGATTCCCATGAATTAATTTCCCCATGAATTATTTGTTTCAGTGAATTCATGATCTTGTTTCTTTCATAGCTGAAGAGTTTAGGTCCAGGAACATGATAGATAAAAGCAATAAAAAGTTTTTATCAGAAAGAAATATATCAACTTACCTCTATCTAGCCTTTAATAACTTCTATTGATGCTTCAGGTGAAAATCCTCACTCTCCAGGCAGGATTCCTAGAACACAGCGCAAGGTTTCATACATATTGTGTCCTGCAGGGCTTTAATATGTTTTATAGAGAAAGTGTTCCTGGTCAACACTTCAGATGCATTGGAAATCAAAAACCTCTTTTACAGAACAGAGCCCCAAGCTATTTTCCCATTTAACACACACACTAGGTGAGAGAACACTGCTTTGCTGCTAATCAAATTGCCAGCATTAAATATTGAGACTGCATACTGGTTTGAGAATGACCTTTCCCTGAGCTGAGTAGCAAATGTAAACAGGTTTGTTTTCAAAGACTTGAGAATGTCATAATAACATAAGAAAAGCTGTGTTGAATCAAGCCAGTGGCCCATCTAGTCCAGCATCCTGTTCTCACAGTGGCTAGCCTGACATCTGTGGGAAACCCATAAGCAGGACCTGGGAGCAGCAGCCACACTCTCCCCACACCCTTAGTTTTTCCAGCAGCTGGCATTCAGAAACAAACTGCCTCTGACTGTGGAGGCGAGTGTGCCGGTTGTGGCTAGTAGCCATAGTTGGCAGTATCCTCCAAGTATTCTGTATTCTTCTTTTAAAGCTGCCCAAACTGGCGGCTGTCACTATTTATTGTGGGAGCTGATTCCATGGTTAAACTAATTGCTGCAGGAAGAAGGACTTTCTTTTGCCTGTCCTGAATCTTCCAATGTTCAACCTCACTGGATATCCACCAGTTCTAGTGCTATGAGGCAGAGAGCAATACCTTTCTCCAACCACTTTCTCCGTGGATAATTTTATACACTTCTGTTTTGCAGCTTCTTGTTTGTTCTTTCTATAAATAAAAATGCTGCAATCTTTCCTCATATAGGAGTTTTTCCAGCTCCTTGATCATGTTGGTTTCCCTTTTCTGAATAGGCAGAACTTTGTAGCTAGGAAAGTAAGAAAAATACAGGAAGCCCAGAGCATTTGTTCTTATATTCATCTTTACATTTATACCTTTCCTCCAAACAGCTCAAAATGGATATGTGCTTCTCACTTGGCATTTTATTTTCACAACAACCTTGTGAGGTAGATTAGGCCGAGAGACAATGAGTGGCCCAGGATCACCCAGGTGGCTTTATGCCTCTGTGGGGAGTTCAGTTCTGGTCTCCCAGTTCCTAGTGCGACATTCTAACCACTACGCCACACTTGGCAATATTGAGAGCTGCCATTTCTAAGCAGCAGTCAACACTGCTGAATTGCAGCTGTGTGTTCCTCTTTCCTGTGTGGCTTTCTATTGTTCTTGCTGAAAACCTTAATTCAATAATGCTTTGGGACAAGTACCCTTCTTTGGGCAGCAGGGGTGGCAAACCTGTGGCTCCCAGGTGGCGTTGGACTTCAGCTCCCATCAGGCCCAGCAAACATGGCCAATGGCTAGGAGTGTTGGGTGTTGAAGTTCAGCAACAGGTTAGCCACCATGATTTACAGCAGATTTGGTGTGTGGGAGGTAGAGCACCTTGTTAACAAGGAAATGCAAAAGAGTGCAGACACAGTTTATTTAACCCAATAGATCAGCTGAAATATTTCATAGTGAAGTGAATATCTCTGCAACTGATGGAGATTTTCAGAAGTCTTTCCCACTGGCCAAATGCAGGTGGGACTCTTGTATTCTTGACTCCTGTCACGTCGTCAGTGTATCAGGTGAACAGAAAAAAGAGAGTCTAACTAGCCTTTTTATTCTCACTCAAGGAGAGTGCCGCTTCGCCTCTAGCTCACCCATAGCCTATTAACCAATCATATTCCATGGAAAGTTTAATAATGCTTTCTATTTGGGTGGGTCTTCGATTAGTAGGGTTGCTTACAGAACAGCATCTCACACAAGCACAATGTCAGTGAACTTAGCAGCATGATTTAGAGCTCAGATAGCCATCTGAAATGAGAACCCCAATAAGCAGCACGTTGACTTTGTCTGGAACTATTTTGCATAATTCATCTTAAGAAACGTCCTTTGTGCCAACTGCAGTCCTTGAAGGAATCTTCCAGCTGTGCCTGGCCCCGCGTAGCTAATGTCCTCAAGTGCAGCTATATTTGCCTTTGCAAAAATTCAAGAATGTGCTGCGATAGTATTTATAGCGGACAACTTGCCAAATGTTGACAAGCAAGTACATGCACCCTGGCAGCCTTGCAATATGTGCTTGATACTCTACAGAAAATTGAAACAAGACCTTGGTAGAAGTGTGCATTATTAATCAGGCAAAATCTGTGACATGGCAGCAAGAGAGCAGGCAAATCCAAGTTGGTACAACCGCAAATGAGAAACATAAGCCTGGGGTAGGCTGTGAGCATGAGTGTTTCATTATTATTATTATTATTATTATTATTTAAATTTATTGGTCATTTTTTAACCAAGATAACTCAAAATGACTTACAATATATAAACAAAGCAACACGCACATTAAAACAGGCATAAAAGAAAAAGAAAAGAAAAATCTAAAAGACAACCTTCTTTTTAAAGGGCAGGAGTAAAATTTGCCCCCTGCTCAAGGAGGCCACAGCTAATTAAGAACTGAAGGCTTGCCAAAAAAGAAATGCTTTTTGCCTGGCACCTAAAGCTATGTAATTGTAGCGCCATCAGGCAAGCATCCCTTGGGGAGAGCATTCCACCAACCGAGAGCCACCACTGAAAAGCCCCATACTCCTGTTGCCAAACCTAGGAGTGGAGGGGGCACATAGAGAAGGGCCTCATAGGATGAAGGCCCTCAACCCAGGACATTTTCCTTAGGGATGTCCACTTAGTAAGGCCCTAAGAAGAACCTCCTCCCATGAGCTACATTAGGAGTAGCCACTGTTGTGCCCTCCATATGTTCTGGGACTGTAACTCCCATCAGCCTCAGCAAGCATGGCCCATTATCAGGGATGATGGGAATTGTAGTCCAACGTTTAACAGGCACCATGTTGGCTATACTTGACCTAAATGGTGAGGCTGATGCACTTTGTCATGTACATTGGGACCCCAAGGTATTAGAATTTTATAAGCCAATGACAGAAACTTGGATGGGGCTCAGAGCAGAACTTAGAGGCTGGGTTTAGACAACATGATGAGCTATGGTTTTATGGTTTGTTGCTCCTGGTGCATGGCGACTTCACCTGGCGTAGGGGAGGTGCAAAGTGGGGGACTTTCAAGCATGCTGCTCATTTGTGTTTATACCATAGGTAAACTTTATCGATTGTTTAACATGACACGTGAACCAGGTCAGTGTTTAGCAGTAGCCGCTGACTACAAAGACAGCCACTCTGCCTGAAATGTAGTCCTGGAAACCTCCCCATTTTGGTTTCATGTGACCAGCACTTGCCTGCCAGCTGGATTGAGAAACTACAAAGGGGCTTTGTTTGTAGACTAACAATCACAGAGATATTTTAACTTCAGTGCCTTGTAGTGTAATTTCTAATGCTGTGCCCTTGCAAAGCAATCTTTCATTTGAAACTTACAGCTTTGCTGAGCTCCTGTCTAGCCTTTATTTCTTTAAATTAGAAGTAGTCACTGTGGTGCATTCTAGATGTTAGGTTACAACTCCTATAATCTGTGACCATTGGTCGCGCTGGCAGGGACTGATGAGAGTGGGAGTCCCGCCCTAGATCAGATGTGGTTGCAGCAGCCACGTATAGGGATGTTTTGACTTGTTGTGTCCATCGTCTTTACGTTGCAAGGCCTGTCACTGATGTTCTAAAAGGCAGCATGAGCAATTGTTTACTGGGGAGCCTCACATCAGGAAGTGGCCTTCTTCCAAGAACTGCAGTTCATGATCTCCTACTGTACACCAGAATATTTATTACACGCATGAGTTCTGTCCCCTTTTGACCAGAATGAATGGTGGTTATGGTTCAGTTAGCATGGTGTTTTTAGAGACTGAGCTTCAAAGGGAAACTGGAAACTCATGCATTACAAAACGCCAAGGGTTACATTGCATTGTGAATTGAATGGAGACAGTTATGTGTATTAATTGGCTAACTAATGCTAGGGTGCCTGTATCAGAAAACTGTTCTGTGAGTTACCAGTGTTATGTAATTAAACAAAAACCATCTGTACTTTTCCGCATTTCATTTCCCCCTGACCTTGCTTTTTACCATGCCATCCCCCAGGTATACATTTATTTACCTGCATCTCAAGTGAGCTCTTCATGCAACTTGTGAAAAAAGTGGACTGTTGTTCATGAAAGCTTATGCTTGGTGTAGCAAATGTGATGCATTCTTGGTGTTTTTGGACTGCTAACTCGTGTAACCGCCAGCCAACATGGCCAACTGCTGAACACCTTCCATCAGTGATTATGGAAGATACCCAATAGCATTTGAGAGGGCTTCAGGTTGACTACTGCTGGGTTCCGCCATTATAAATAGGTTAGTCTTCAAGGTGCCCACAAGACTCTGTACAATTTTAGGTGCCTCTTATTCCCTTTTTGTCTCTTAAGGCAAGGATTGTATTGCTGTGGTTCTTACCAGTTCCGTACTAAAATTCATATAAAAACATGTTGCCATAGCAACTGTAATTATACACTGGGAAACTTTGCAAGATGTTTCTATGTTACATAACTTCAATGGGGGTAAATGGTGAACTCATTCATGGGAGTACCTATCTTAGAAACACATTTGACCTTCTTCCATATGTTCAGAGCTTTCTGGTCCCTCAGTGTTCATTATTATTAATCTTCCCAACATAATACACCTCAGCTCAGGGGTATAACATGTGAAGCAGGGAGTAAAATGCTGAGCATGTTTTAAAGAAGGGTTTGCCTGTAAATGTGAGTAAAGTAAATGCATTAAAAATGAGTAGTTCTTGCAGTCCAGCAACATCTCTGGATGGATCATAGGTTCTCAGGCCTGACTTAGGAATGCAGGAAGCTGTCTTTTGTTGAGTCAGAGTATTGGTCCATCTTACTCAATATTTTCTGCACTGATGGGCAGCAGCTCTTTGTTTCAGATACAAGTTTCTTCCAGCCCTACCTGGAAATTGAACCTGAGACCTTATGCATGCAAAACAGATGATCCACCACTGAACTGTGTTTCTTTTTAAACAAGACTTCATGTTGCTTTGCTTTTGTAATCACAGAATCATAGAGTTGGAAGGGACCCTGAGGATCATCTAGTCCAACACTCAGCAATGCAGGAATATGCAGCTGTTCCTTACGGGGATTGAACCTGTGACCTTGGCATTATCAGCACCACGCTCTAACCGGCTGAGCTATCCAACTATTTCCTTTTTAAAAAAATTGTAACTGTAGGCTGACCTGATCCTGGTATTCTAGGATAGAACCCAAAGAACAACAGCTGAGTAAATCATTCATATTTATAGAAATCCTGTCCAAGAACACTACAACAATTCATTGTAATTTAAAGAAAAATAAATTTCATTTTAACAGTAATAGCTAACTGAAAACAGCAATTGCTTATAAGAGTATGTATGTTAGGGCTTTGGAAATATTTGACCAAATATCTTTTTCGACTCTTTTTTGACCTAGTTCAGTGCTTGAGGGAAAATTGAGGTAATGCTGCGTTGGTACCCAGTACCAACCATTTCATTTCTTTCTTTTTCTTGGTCTAAGAGGAAATTTTGTTTTTTTTTGTTACTTTTGCCTTTGTATTCTTTTTGAAGAAGTGAAACAAAAGTAAACAGAGGTTGGATGGCCGTCTGTTGGGGATTCTTTAGCTGTGATTCTGGCATTGCTGCATCCCTTGGTGTCCCTTCCAACCTGACAATTTTATGATCCATGATTTGGACAAAGAATTGCTGAAGGACCTAGACTTGGAAGTTTCATGAAGCTGCCATGCATATATATTCATGTCAGAGCTACCATCCTATTCCATTAACTTCATATTCATTGAAATTAGTGCTTTTGAGCAGTGTATTGAGTAGGTGGAATTAAGTTGTCAGTTCTGGAAAACAAGCTTGTTAAGTGTTACCAAAACAGTGGACTCTCTTGTTAGCTTAAGCATAGAAATTAAACACAAGCGGACTGAATTTCAAGAATGTGTGTGTGTTCTGTTCTGGGTGAAGAGCAGCTTTTTCAGCCGGAGGGCCACATTCCCTCATGGGGAACATTCCAGGGGCCACATGCAAATGATGGACAGAGTCGGGAGCTGAAGTGGGTTTGGCAATGGATGTGACACCTTTGTACAGTAGACTTTTTTCCAGCCACACACTCCTTAAGCACACACACTCGTATGCACATATCCCTCCTTCCACCATCCAGGCAAGAAGGAGGTGTTATCAAAGGCTATCCCCAAGGTGTGACCTAGTCAAATATGGGATTTTAGTTGTACTTCTGTAGAATGTACAATGGCTGGAGGCAGTAATGGTTCTGAATACCAATTGCTGAAAACCAAAACGGGGTGGGGTGGGGTAATGCTCTTGTCTTCTGAGGGTTTCTCATAGACATTTGGCCGTGTCGCTGTAAGAACAGGATGCTGGGCTGGATGGACCACAGGCCTGATCCAGTGGGCTCTTCTTATGTTCTTAGAAACAATGTTAAATATTTTTATACTTTCTAAATGGCTTTACTATTTCAGAGTTCATAGAAGATTTTTTTTTAAAAAAAAAATTCTACATTTTGCATTTTGTTTTTACCTTGTACAGTCATACCTCGGGTTGAATGCGCTTCAGGTTGAGCGCATTCGAGTTGCGCTCCGCAGCAACCCGGAAGTAACGGAGAGCGTTACTTCCAGGTTTCGCCGCTTGCGCATGCGCAGACGCTCAAAATGACGTCACGCACATGCGCAGAAGCGGCGAAAAGCGATGCGCGCAGACGTGCCGTCACTAGTTACGTTTGCTTCTAGATATGAACGGGGCTCCAGAGTGGATCCCGTTTGTATCCAAAGGTACCACTGTAGTGGTAAAAATGGTTTATAAATTTGTGAAGTGGCCTGTGAAGTGGGGGCATGAACGAAGAATGGCTAGGGCCAGATGTAGAGAGCTTGAGGTTTCCCACCTTTGTACCGTATTCCACACAGCATTACGGTTGTCTGCTCAGTGGCGTTTGCTTACTTGATTCCTTATTTCTGCATTGCGAGAAACCAAGAGCAATAATCTGATTGATTTTGGCAGCTCTGCTGTTGTTTGGCAGTAAACTGCGCCTACACCATGTCAAGTTCTATGTTCAGATGGGAGTTGTGGTCCTAAACATCTGGAGAGTGTGTGTGTGCGTTGATGGAGGAGGCTGTTCTGTATTCTCGTACTGTGGAAGCTTCATTCTAAAACGAGTGTGCAAGGAGGATGCTGTGCAATTAGAACAGTGTGTCAGTGAATTAAGTTCACTTTGTTCCTTGCATATACCGTAAGTTCTGTGCTGTGTGAGGATGGCAACAAGAGAACGGGCTCTTTCTCCCTGATTGTGGAATGCTCTCCCAAAAGAGGCTTACTTGGCACCATCATTTTATGTCTTTAGGCACCAGGGCAAAACATTGCTCTTTACCCAATCCTATAGCTATTAAATAATCTATGGCCTATAAAAGTGTGGAGGAGAGGACTGTTATTATGATGACCATTTTATTTTTAGGCTGTAGGCTGTCTGTCAGTATGCTTTTTATTATGTTTTATTGTCATTGATGTTCTGTAATGTGTTTTTAATGTTGTACACCGCCCTGGAATCTTTGATAAAGGGTGGTATATAAATTGAATAAATGCAGAAGATCCCAGCTTCAGTCCTTGGCTTCTCCCGGTAAGGCGGGGAGAGAATCTTCTCTGAATCCCTGGAGAGCCATTGCCAGCCTGTTAGACAGGTGGACCCTGTGCTCTGACTTCTTAAGCCTCTCAACCCGCACCACTGCTTTGTGGCTTTGTGGCTGCTTCTGAGGAGGGATTTGAAGGAAAAGAGAGGTGATATCTGGAAGCGGAGGCTAAGGAAGCAACCAGGGCTGCAGCAACTGAACTTGTGCATGGTCAAATTTAGGATGAGGCTGCTGAGGCATTGCTGTGGGAAAGATGATTTGGGCAATGGAATGCTTACATCTGTGGGCATGGAGTCACTCATGACAAATGTGGCAACTGGTTCCTCTTACCAGAAATCTCTTCTGATGCTGCTGTCAGGGAAGCATTATAAGGCATAGGTGGAGCTGGATGTTTCTGTACTATCTCCAGGATCACACAGTACATTTTTATGGGCTGCTGGCAGCACCCCAACCCTTAAAATCATCCACGCATGCTAAGCGATGAGTGTTCATTGCCACATTTTGCTTAAAAAGAAAGAAAAAAAGTCATAGAGCAACATGCCCTTTTCTTAGTTGTTCCTTATTTATGCAAGTTTTGAAGTTGCCCTCATCCTCAGGGTTTCTGCTTGGAAATGCTTTATCAACATTTATTCTTGTTGAAGCCCCAGAGTATAGTTTGAACGACACATAGGAGCACCATCTTGCTGAATCTAAGTAGGTCCAGGTGTAGTCAGTGCTTGGATGGATGATTGCCTGAAAACCACATGTAGGCCTCTGTGGATTCCATGATGGGAGAAAGACGGATTATAAATGTAAGCGAGTAAATAAATACTTTTCAGGTGAATGGTGTAATATAAATACTTTTTTATGAACAAACCAGAAAGTAAATGGATGAAATTCATTCTACTTACATTCTTCAAATTGTCCTGCAGCCATATGTAATTGTAGTGAGGGCTCCTTTGGTTAACAGTAGATAGTGGGAATTGCAGCCTCAAACAGCGGCAGGGTACCTGGTTGGTCAAGACTACCTTAAACATTGTCCCTAATTTCCACTGCTTTTTGGAGACATTGGAAGGGGCAACATTTAGGGCAGCTTCCCACAATTGGGTTCTCTTTCTGAGCTCTGCTGTACAGCGCAGTACAGCAGTCCTTTGTATAGGAAACTTAATTTCATATTTGACAGTCATGATCTGTCAGTTTCCATTTAATAAACCAAGTACTTGAGATGAGACAAGAAGCTTAAGCCCAGAGCTCATGCGCTATTGGATAACTTATTTCAAATACATTAACCTGAATGTCAGGGAACTGCCATCAGCTCAGAGGCGAGAGATGGAAAGGCAGTTGTGTTATAGGGAGCCTCCGAAAATCTTGCAAAGCAGTTCCTCTTCTGGCGAGGAGGAAAGCTCCACCTCCAGTGGAGAAGAGGTTCAGGGACCAGGGGATGCTAGGGAGAGCCTCAACACTGAGCCTGAGCAAACGGGAGAGGCGGGAAGTACGCCCTTGCCAGGGCCCATTCTGCGCAGTAGGCTTTGGCGCAGGGAGGGGCGGAAAAGGCTGGGGGTGATGTGACTTTTATGCTGGGGGGAGGTACAAAGACCGACCACTCCCAGATTCTGCTAGTGATTGAGCCAGACACTGTACACTCTTTACTGTAAATAGTTTGCACCAAGAATAAAGTCTGGAAAAGACAGGTTGGAGTCTTGCCTGTTTACTCTCGAGCAACCACACCAGCACCTGACACTGAAGATGGGTTAAGAGAATTCTTTAGGATGAATATGCTACTGTCTGCATTTTGTTCGCAAGCAACATTTATTTGTCATTTATAGCTCTGTCCCAGAATGGGACTTTTGTCCCTGCTGCAAAAGTGGTGACAAGTTTTATAATGGAAGGTTTCTGCAGGTGGGTTGCACAATGGAAAAGGTGCAGGGAAAGGGTGTATTTCTCGGAAGCATCCTAAAAGTAGCCAGTGCATTGATTGTTTTTTTTGTGGACTGCATGTAGAAGAGGCTAGTTGCCTCCCCCCCCCCCATTTCCCCCAAGAATGTTTTGTTCTCAAGTCTCCTGTTCTGCCCATTTTTATGACTTTGTTTTGTGACTGGGTAGGTGGAATTTCCCTACCATAACGTTCTACACACATGTAGAGCTCAGGCATACAGTGGCTATGAATAAAAGGTCACACTTAAGGGCAACTCTGCACTCATTTGAATGAACAGGAAATTCCTGTCTTCATTGAGATTATGAGGACAAAGGAGCTATGAGGGAGAAATTGATTATGTCTTGTTGGAGCACTCCTGGGTGCTAGGGCCCCTGTTCATGTCCTGGATTTAACCTTCTCACTAGATGGGTTTCCCTTGAAATGTTTTGGAAACTACAATTGGTCCAGAATGGGGCATCCCAGTGCTTGGTGTGAACAAACTGTAGTGTGCTTATTAGTCTGTTGTTAAGGCAGCTTTCACTGCATCTGCTTGAAAGTGAAGCAGTCTACATACATATTCCTGTATATTTATATGTCTAGGTCCAACAAGGACTGATGAAATAGAACAA